AAAAAAAAAAAAAGGAAAAAAGAAGAAAAAGTAAAACCCCGGGCGAAACTTTTCCATCCGCCTTGGTTTGCGCACCCTCCCGCGGCCGCGACAGCTTGCAACACCTTCAATATTTCACTCCGCGGCGTTGCCCCTTGTTCCCGTGTTTCCAATAAAGATGTTAATGCTGCGTTTCGATGGAATCCGATTATTTGAAATTTCCGCGACAAAGCGGGGGAAACTTTGGGGAAGCAGCGTTTATATAAACATTCATGTTGTTTCCGAGTGGCAGGCGTGGCAGACGATGAGAGTGAGAAATATTTGGATGCGAGACCAACCAATGAATGATGAAAAAAGTCGTCGATGCTTCGAGCTGTTATTAACTTGGCGAAGAGATCATACGACGTTTCTACTTTAGTTGTTCGTTCGTAGATGGTGGGGGAAGCAAGGATACTTTTATTCTCGAAAATTATTGGGAAGATTCTCAAACGTCTCTGAAGAGACGTTGGAGAATTTTTTTTTTTTCTTTTCTTTTCTTTTCTTTCTCGTAACTGGGTTTCGAAGATGGAAATTTCCTTCTTACGACGACCCTTTTGAAACTTGCCGCACAACTTTTCTCAGTTGTTTTATTGAATATTAGGGTCGAGCGATGAATTCCTGGAATTTTTATACCGTAATTTCCTCGCCCCAAATTAAAAGAACTGTGTGAAACATCAAATTTTAAAGTGTTCAACACTGCACTTCAGTATTATTGCGGAAAATCACTGAAAATTGTGTGAAGCTGCTGAAAAAAACTGCGGCAAAGTGTGTAAAATTATAAGCATGTGAACTTTGGAGAGGTATGTTGAAAAAAAAATTGTTGACAGATGACGTAAAACTACGTGATAATTATTTCGAAGACAAACATGTTGTAACGAGTAGAATTAATTCATTGTTGCTGAGATATTCGTCGTGACAATTCCACACGTTCGAAAGAACGAATTTTTCCTACTCTTTTGCAAGACTACGAGACCCTGTTTATTCGCGTCAAGCCTAGGTATATTGGACACGTGGAAGACGTAAGAATATGAGGAACAGGAGGCGCGATCAGGTTATGTCTGCCAGAGGAATTCAAGCACGCTTTGACACGGGACACTGTCACTCAATCGCCCTACTCAACTTTGGCCTCTGACCAGACATTCGCTCCTGGTTATATTGCCATGAAAACCAACAGGAATTCTCCTTAATCTTCGTCGGGCAGTTATGAGGGACTTAGATCACTTGAAATCTCGCATCGCTCCATTGGTTAGCGTGGAGATCACGGATACAAAAGCGGAGAATCCTCAAGTTGTCTTTTGTGAATTCACATGATTGAACAGAGACATTGTCACGCAGAGGAAATATGATTTATGTAAAATATATGTTTTACATACATTTATTATGTATAGTTGTATATTTTCATTTAAAAAGAAAAGAATTTTAATTGTTAAATTCCATTTACGTAAGAGTGTCAAAGTCCCCTTTGTCTTATTAAAAAACAGTTGTTCTGTAATATATAAGATTTCAATCATAAAATTTATAAAAAATTCTCTCAGTTCTAGTTACATAGGTTAGGTTAGGTTAGGTTCGTGAAATACGCAGAAATTCGCAGTCTGTTAATTAATAAATTATCGCCCGATGCTCGACATTTTTTACAGACGCCGTTGCTATTTTTTTTTTTTGTCAAAACACGGCATTAATTCGCGAATCGGTGGCAGGAGCGAATCGTTGACCATCGGTCGATAACCGAATCGGATGGGTGAAATCGTTGGAAAGCAGCGGATGGATGGGGAATCGGCAGAAATCCGAGCCAGAAGCCACTTCATACGCCGTTTCTGCAACGCTATCCAAAACAGGGGCGTGATCGGATTGTCTCAAAATGAGTATAACACAATTGTGAAAACGAGATGAGCCAGCGTCGATCCAGTTGCTGAAACAACACCGTGGTCGACGTACTCTCGTATCACATGCAAGTGGGTAGTTGCAGTTCTGGCCTGCCGGCTTGAAACTGGAGTGTAACCAGCCGTGCTCTGTGTTTATCTGAAACGTAATACACGCCGACACTTTTGACAGCCCCCGCAGAGTGGGTGTGCGCCTACAGTAAATCACAGGACAGACAGTTCTGTAGAAAAAAAAAAAAAAAAAAGAATGGGAAACATTTAATTGACGCGTACATTATTTCTCCTGGTTTCTATGTCCCTTTCGCCGTTGAATCAGTTTTTGCTCGAAGAGTTGAAATTTCTCGCGCATGTTTCGTTTACACATGCACGTCGATGATGAGTTAAGTCCGACACCTTTTTTCCTCATCGTTGGTTAATTGAAATTTGTTACTGAATGTGAATTTTTTTAAGCACAGTTTTATCGTTTTAACCTTTTGCAGGATAATGATAATGAATAAACGACGATTTAGCTTAGAAACAGAATAGAAACACAACAAACTGTCGATATAATTACTGATATCTGTGACTTGTGTTGGAGTTTATGGCCAATTTGGTTCGTGAAACTTGATACAAAAGCTAACATCAAGCTAACGAAAGAATTTTCATAAATATGTACTAAGAGAAGAAAGTATAGTAAAGATATTGTTTAGAAGATATCGTTCAAATGTTAGAACAATTATTAGGCTGGTACATTTATTGTTTTATTAAACTGTGCAGACGTTCAGGAGTAATGGAATACCCTGGAGGACCCAGGTCTTTGAAATCCGATCTTTCTTTTGGTACCGGTACGAGTTTATATTAAACGGCATTCGAGTGACATTATTGGATCCTTCGTATTTCGTCCATTCATATGAAAGCGAAGAAATTCGAGTTCTATCGATACCCATTCCCTTTGTAAGTCAGAGACAAAGGACGGAAAGAATTCTGACCACACGATTATTGAATTTTATTTTAGCGAACAAAACGTACTAAATGAAACAGATACTAAATACTAAATTAATTAGATATTGAACGCCAAATATTAGTACTAAGTTAAGTGTTGCTAATTTTTTTTTAACCCCTGAAACCCAAACCATGGATTCACACCACCCAAAATTAGGTTGTAAACGTTGATCGCCGTATCATTTGCACGCGTAATGTGATCAGCGGATCAGCGTTCGAAATATTCGGCTCGTTTTTACCATTTCAACGAGCTCTCAGTTTCGAGCAGCAATTTTTTTACATCAAAATTTTTTGTTTTCTCTGTTGGCAGCTTGCACCGCCTCGCAATTCAAATGCAGAAACGGTCAGTGTATCGACAGCAGCGCCCGCTGCAATAACGTGAAGGATTGTTTAGACAATTCAGACGAGCACAACTGCCGTGAGTATATATACACGCCGCGCGATGCACCACTTCCTTTCCTTCATCTTGTCGTGCATGGGGAATTAATTCCTTAATTGTTCCTCCCCCCCCCCTCCCCCTCTCGTTTCGTTGTGCTGCCTCGTTATTTACAGTCAAGCATTTTCGCGAATTTTTACTGAAAAAAAAAAGAACCGCCGACCGGTTTTGTACATTAATACTGCAAAAATAATTCGCACAGCTGAATAACTGCGGGCTACTGGCGATTGAAAAATCGCCGGCTACGGTAATCCTTTTTGCATGTTCAATCGTGACACGTCGACTACTATGGTAATTTAGCATGAATCCTTGGGAGATTTATTTGATTTGGAATGTGTTTGGGAATTGTTTACTAACCTAATGTTTTGATTAATTTACCAAACTCGGGGGTAAAGTGTTTACTTATTGTTGGATAATTAAGATTGTCTTCCTTTCTTTTGTTTGTTTGTTCCTTTTCTTTGCTGAGGATTCGCCGAATGTCTCAATTTTTTTTTTTTTCTTACTTTTGTTTAGATGTTTTAGAATAGCGATGGGTGTAAGTCACTCGCGTGTTCCCGAACAAACGTATTTATACATAAAAGGCACCCGAAACTACTTTAACATCGATATACTAAATGCTCACTGAAAATAATGTCGATCATTCGACATGGTTGCTTTCAATGTTTGCCTTCGAATCTTCCGAGCCAATCAGTGTTCCTTAAAACGACTTTCCGCTATCTTCGACAAACTCTTTTCATAAACTGGCGCGATATGTTCAATGTTGAATTCGCTTAGATAAAATTTTAAAAGAACCATCGAGTCCAAAGCTTGCTAGATAATTCACGTGGTCTCCAAATCTCAACCTCCATTTCCCTCTAGACTCTCTCTCTCTTTCTCACGAACCTTCAGCTCCCCGCTGCCATACTCATAAATTCTTCAGACACAAAAACTGGCTACTCCTCTGCGTGTGTCGCTCTTTCCTTGTTGGTACGACGCCGGAAACTTGTTAAACAGTTCGCGCGCGTGCGAAATATACGTTGGCCTGAAGGGTGGCAGAGCACAGGCCGATTTTATCAGGAGCCATCATCGGTGTCGCACGCGACTGCGCCCGGAACTAATCGCGAAACGGGGCAGGTATTACGATGAGCTGAATAATTACAACAGCCGGTGACAATAATAACAATAGCGTGTTCGGAAGACGTGGGTTGACCAGGCAGAGAGAAAAGGCGATGAGGGGATTGGCCTCGCGTTTTCAGGCCATTGCACTTGTTGCCCCCCCCCCCCTCCTCTTTCTTCTCTGCCTCCATCAGCCCGACCTACCCTCTGTCTTCCTGTCCTTTTTAACCCCTTATTATTTCCATCGTCTTTTGCAGAGGCACGCTCCGTCGCTACACGTCGAAAGTTAACCACCACCCACGCGCCGTGATAGCACGCGTCTTCTGCCTGGGAATATACAGCTCTTTTTTTTGGTCGAAGCACGTTGAATTTCGAAGATTAGTCGCTTTTCACGATCAATCTTTTTAATCGTGTGGCTATTAGTTGCAGAAGAAATATCTTAGATTTGCCAATAGTTTTTTTAGTTTTTGCTAAATTGAGGGAAGATCACACGTAGTTAACAGATCAAGTATAGGAGTAGGATTAGTTGAAATTGAGAATGGGCAAATATTTTCGTGCCAGTTCTGTTTTGAGCGCTTGCAATCCTGAAATAATGAAAATTGTCTTGCAGTTTCAAAGGCTGGTCAGAGTTACTGTATCATTCGCCGGATTGGCCAACATTAAGATTTGGATTAGGTTGAAAGGCTTCAACAAAACTGTTAAACTGAATTCGACAAAAAGTTTATGTTTCTTTATCATATTGAAAGTATGATACTTTCCCCTCGGCTCTTAGATGTCCTGAGGCATTCAAAAGTAACGAGATCCGAATCCCAACGTTCGCTTCGTATCTTACGTAAATTAAATTCGTTGTCCGATTTCTTTTCCCCGAGTTTATGTTTCCTGGAAACTCTTCTAGAATCTTTCGTAACGTCCTGATAAAATAAAAAATACAAAGCCCGTTATGCTGTGTCGACACTTTCGGCTTTAGTGTTGTTTTTGGAAAAGTCGAGGGGGGGGGGGAGGGAACATCAGTCTGGTACACATGCTCGTACATACGTACGTTTGCGACGAGAGACGGTCCTGAGGGGTCCAGGCATGAATCAAAATTGGATTAAACCCGGTGAAAACGGATGAAATTCCAGGGCCGAGGCCGCGAAAGGGGCTGGTCAGCCCTGCTGGAGATTAATGTCGGATTAAAATTGCAGCCGGTTATTAGGGCGGCTTAATAAACGCGAGTAAATCTCGTTCGGCCACGGTGGTTGCCTTAAATTTGACCGCGGGAGCGTTGTCCGTTTTTGCGCGCGTCGATATTAATGCCGCTAATGAAGTTTGTTGACGAATTACAAAAAAAAAAAAAAGAAAGAAAGAGAGAAAGAAAGAAAGAAAGAAAGAAAGAGTAAAAAACTGAGAGGGAAAAAATACAAGAGAAAATACATGGTAGGTAGATGAAAAACGGAGAACCGTGAGGTTGCTGCTCGGCTAGGGAATTTGAAGGAAGTAAAACTAGGGAATTTTTTTTTCTTCGAATTTCAACCCTTGAAAATTTAGATTGCGCAAATGTGAAGTAAGTTAGGTCGGTCTGATTTAGCTAATTGTAAGCAAGTTAAAGATAAAGTTAGGTTAGGAGAAGTACAAAATATAGGTTAACTTTAGGTTAGGTTAAGTTTCGTTATAAACGTTGCGAAACTGTTGGATTTAGGTGGAAAGTTGAGAAATGACAAAGGAAATTCTTAACGCTTCTTTTCGTGTATAAAAAAAATGAAAATTTCATAGCATCGTACAAAATATTATGGTAATCTTAATTCGTATTGGCTTAATTGTGTTACAACTCCGAACTTCAACTGCCTAAAACTCTCAGAACTGTCCAGAGACAATAAGCACACCTAACCTCAAAAATTCACGTGAAACGAACGAAAATTCACTATACAATCTCTCAGTTCCTCGATCTTACGTTCCTCAATGCCTCGTGAACCATTTCGTGAAACATCAATACTTCTCCTCCTAACCTCTAACCTCAGAATCTAAGATGGAAGATAGGTTAGAAACTTTTGTCGTCGGTGGTACGTGACCGAGGCAGAACGTAAAAGCGGCGAATTCGTGGCTAGAAAAGGTCATCGCGATTCCGATGGCGACGGTCGTTTACAATTCCAGCGTGGAACAGGCAAGCAGCTGAGCCTTGAACCTGAGAGATGATGTCAGAAAAATCTCCACGGAGGTTCACCGTTCCCGTTTGCGCGATACTACTTCCTGTTTGTCGAAGCGCGTCACGCGTGTCGCCGTGGCTTCCAGCACGTTTGCCAATTTCGAGGTCGCGATATTCGCTTTATATTCGTCGATCATCGCGATGCACAACGATCAGGAAGAGGGAGCACGCACTTGCCGGCTTGGCAAATCACGTTAAAATCGTAACTGGATTTTCGCACGGACGCGACCTCACGTCCCATTCGTTTCGTTGCTTCCGTGGAATCGAATTAATTTCGACTTGTATCCCTTTTTTTTTTATTTTCTTTTTTTTTTTTTTTGTCTTTTTTGAGGGAAGGTTAGTCCCGTCCAGTGGTGAAACGTGATTACAGAATTTATCGAGAACCGTTTCTCGCTTTTCCAAGCCGATTTACTCCGGTTAATGTCGAATTTGTTGCCTCTGACTGCTGGCTCTTGGCGGGGATATATACTGGGTGTTCAAAGATCACGAACTCGAGAGTTTTGTCGCAGAGGAAGAATTGAAATTCGATGGAATATATATTCTGGGTCTTTAGACTTTCTGAAGTTTAGGATCTGTCCACTAGCTGTAGTTAACCTTGCAACTGCCGAATGTATATACTGGGTGTCCAAGGAAAAATTGAATGCAAGAAAGAAAGAAATTCACCAACGATACGATAACTGAAAATAGAAACAACGTACAATTGAATTAAATCAATATTTCGCAGCAAAAAAAAGTTAGACAATCAAAGGGCGGCTATTATTTAACAGATAATGACGGGAAAACGGCGGATTAACTCAGACGCGAGCCGGTTAGTGCGTTCGCCGGTGATCGCGTGCCGCCATTTTTCGCGTGCGAAGGAGCCGACTCTGAAGAAAAAAAAAAAAAAAAAAAAGAAACGCGTAAACGTCGCCGTTTAATGGAAACACGGGGACACGGGCTCGTAACGGTCGAGCTTCTGTGTAATTATTGCGCGCGTAAGGGCTGTGTTTCGCATGCCGACGAGCAACAATGCACCACACCGCGGGAACAAATTCGTTCAAAGAGCAAGTTAAAAAGGAACAAAAACGAGGGAGAGAAAAGAGAACATGGTTAAAAGAACTGGCGCGCTCGCCTTTGTGTCTATTAATTATTTCAACGTTGTTCGACGACGGGACAATAGTTTTCGCGATTTATTGTTATTCGTTGATCATTTTCTTTTTTCTCTCTCTCTCTCTCTCTCTCTCTCTCTCTCACTCTTTTTGAGACACCCGAACGTATGAAGCCAATAATTGATCATTTAGTAAAATCATATAGTAACTGTGGATTTTTCTGCGTCCGTGGGAGATTCAAGGGATGAAAATTACTATTGTTGCTACTGTTAATTTAATATCTCGACAACGTTCAATTATTATTAACAAATAAATCAGACGATTCGATTGTTAATATATAAATCAAATTGTCAGATTGCCATTCGTAAATAAGCTAAGGATTGATTAAATTATTCTCAATAACAGCTATTAATCAAGCGATTAAATTGTTCCAGATGAAAAGGCGAAAGAAATTCGTATAATGTTTCGCTGTCTGAAATTTATAGTTGAGAAATTTAATCTTCGGTGTCTTTTGTTTCTGTATGTCAACGATCGAAATATGGGGATGAATTTATCATGGACGCGGTCTGAGAAGAGCGTTTAGGATTTGAAAGTAGTGTTACGGAACAATGGATCGACCGCGATAGTATTTCAATTTCTGCGGCACGGTATTAAAACGCGGGAAACGGAATGTACAGTTGGTCCACTCTGTCACTGACCCATTTTTCTTTTCGCCTCGATCTTATCGCCCGTGGTAACCTGCACGTTATATTTTTCTTTTTTTTTTTTTTTTTCTTTTTTTTTCACCATCTAATCGCTGCCGCTAGTAGCAGTTCTTGCTTAAACAGTGAAACAACGAAGGACATAGTATTACTACACAGTATACTTATCGCCGCATTAGGAACGTACGTACGTTAGCGAACTATCAATCTTCTTAATCTTTAGACGGGTCGTTAAATTTAAATTAACTTTCAATTTTATGCAATTTTGATAGCTGTTTATTATTAGCTTACAAAATCACGCGAATCTACGTATAACTGGTATAATAATTCCAATGCTTCGATTGGTATAATTGGTATAGTCTACTTACGATTGACTATCAGTCGGTGTATGATAATGTAATTAATAATTATCGTGTATAATATATCCAAAACGTTGTATACATCCAAAATGGACACCCAGTATACACATTCTGAGGATCCAGAAGTTTCTCTGCAAAGTGTGTCGTCGTGTAATATATCATTTATCATATATAATATATTAACTACTGATATATCAACTACTGATTATTATTGGCAAAGAGATTTTGCAACTCGAGTTCGATTCGAAACGGACACCCGGTGGATAATATAACTTCTGAGAATGCAGCAGTTGGCTTATTTTTCACGTCGGGAGTCGTTGGGGTAAGATCCGGTGGAGCTCGATGGAAATTCCTGGCGGTTGGCTGGATTCCGTTTCCATTCTTTCGAGTGCACTCCCGTTCGAAGTGCCGTTCATCCTCGATCGTTAGCTAATTGCAGCCGTAAATTAGACGGACGCCCGCGTGGCCCGTAACTCCTTGTTCATTTAATAATCTCTTCCGCGAAATTTCCTCAGGTGCGTGTTAATTAATGGCCACACCATGCTAATCAGCGGCCTATCCTTTTCTATATCTACGTCTGGTCACTAATTAATTTTGCCATTTGCTTTTCTTCATCATCTCTCTGCCATCCACACACGTTACTGTAGCACTGAAATCACTTGATCGTCCTTGTACCGAGGGCCTATGGGCTTATTTAAGCATCGAGAAATGTTTATGGAGGGTGTGTCCTCACGATACTAGGAAAAGCTGTAATAATTTTCTCTCTTTCTCTTTTTAAGTATATAATAGCTAAATAAAGAAGTGATAGTAATCCTACAATCCGTCCCCGGAGGTTACTCACATTTTTAATTTATTTCCAGAGGATGATTGTTCTCTGGACGATTGTCTTTAGAAAATATCAATACCGTATAAATGTATTCATTTATTACGAACTCTGTGACCTCATGTACAATTTCTCGAAACGTACGTGGACGTCCATCACAGATGGCCAGGCTCGCAAATCATCTTCAACCTAGCTCAATCTCAAACTTCAAGCTTCCCCGCGTATCGAGAAAGTCTTCGTTAATGGCGATACATATTATGTGTGTTCTCTACTGTGTCTCTCTGTGTTTATCTGTCTTCGTGAAACTCGCTCTCTGTGTGCCTTTTCGTCGAGCTTTTCTCTCAACTCGTGTCGTCAACGTCTGTCAACTTGATGGAGAAATTGCAAAAAAAAAAAAAAAAAAAAAAACACAGAAATAAATACAGGAACAAAAAGATGGAACATGTACGATTCTTGCAGCTTGCAGAGAGAACGAATTCGAATGCACCCCGGGTTTTTGCTTGCCCGTGTCGAAAGTCTGCGATGGATTCATGGATTGTGGAAATGGGAAGGATGAGGAAAATTGTCAGCACATAAGTACGAAAAATAACAACAACAAATCTCAGTACGGTATTCGAAGTCTGCAGACGGGGGAGGAGGTTCTCTAATCGCCTGCGAAAGCATGTGAATGAAAGAGGCGCGCGCATGTTTATTCGCAAGTGTCTGGTTTCACATAAGTAAACTCACGGAACGTGCGACCTAACCTAATGTTTCAAAATTCGCTCGCTCGCCTCTTTAACTCGTTGACCCGCTTACATAGTTACATTCAAGTGATATTTCACTTGTAATTTTTTTTTTTTTTTTTTTTTTTTTGGTTTTTTTCCGGTTTTTTTTTTTTTTTTTCGTTTTTTTTTTTTTTTTTTTTACTATGGCTATGGAGTAGAATAGAACTCGGCTGAACATTATGATTTTTATCTTGATTTTGTAGAAGAAATTGTAACTTGTTAGAAAAACAAACATCACTGGGTGATTCGATTGTTTTAATTCGAAATTTTAAATAAACATCTGAAGCGGTTTCAGACACTTTTACGCGTAATTTGGGAGGCAGTGACGGATCTTGAAGCATGATGACGCTAAAGTAAGAAATGGAGAAGGTATTAATTAATGAGGTGATGCCAATTAAAATACATAAATACTCCTCCGCGGTTCGAAGAGCTACCCTCCACGGAGGGACTGAAAATTTTCTTTCAACGTTCGACGCGTTTTCTACGTCAGTAGAAAGAGGATAAATTACCGCGAAACGATACGTACCGGGTGTCCTGTAAAAACTTGAAAATCGTTCTCAAGCCGGCTATAAAAAGTAAGTTTTATCACGTAACATTATGTACAGGGTGCGAGTCGATAATGCGGAAAATATAAAAGATGAATAATAATGAATACAAAAACAACAGCAGTAATTTTTATTATTGTGATAAATGAAAAAGAATAATTCCCTTGAAAAGGGAAAATTACGAAAATAACAGGTTGCTCGACGTAGGATCATCATATAATTAATATAATTCTGAGTATATATAAATCTGAGTTAATTAATTGAAACTCTGATTTCCTTGAGGAAACTTTTTTTCTCTAACTTCTCGCGTTAATTGAGAAAATGGACATATCCGGGTTTAATGGGACACCCGGTGCGTCGAAAGACGCAAGAGAAACAAGCAGAAAAGAACAGGGGGTAACGCGCGAACGCGGCGCGAGACTCGATTTCAAGTGAAACGGAAGATTCGTCGCCTGGTTGTTCAACTGAGTAATCGTTCGAACCGTAGCATATTACTGGCCCTGATAATGGACGCTTGTTTCTCGAGTAATTAATTGCACGGCTACGAATAAGAGCAGTCGTAATCGTTCCCTGCCCTCCCCCCCTCCGCTTTAGAATCTTATTTCTCCCCTCGGCCTTTCTTCACGTCGAGATGAGGCGCAACGAAATAATCCGATTCATTATCGTCGTTCCACTGCCTAATTATCCGCCGTGAACAAGCGCCGGTTCGATAGAGACCCTCCGTTGGCTCTGTTTCATCTCCACTGACCGATCAATCCTCCTTAGAATCAGTTTCGAACCGAATCCGATTCACAGCGTGCAACTCGGTTAGGTAGATCTCCCAGTCTTACGTTTAAGTACAGTCTATGTTTTCAGGAAAGGATAGTGCTCCGATGAAAAAAATGGCTTTGGGGTGAAAATTGAAAATTTCGTTGGAATCAATGAAATTGTCCTTTCTCACTCTTGGCACTGTAATGAGTATCTGTATATACTTCGTTCTAACAAGTAGATATGTTTATTAGAAAGACGACCCAGCCTAGATTCAGATCAGGATACTTTTTTTTATTCTTGAAAAAACAGCACGTGTGAAGTTAGAAAGGCCAGTTTACTATTTAGAAGTTACATTGCCCTCTTAAAAGATAATTTAATCTATAATTTAGTTCTATTGTTGTCTTTCAGTTTGTTTCAAGTTTGGTTTTCGACCAAGTTCGTTGCGCCTTGTCGTTAATTTTTTATTTTTTTTTTTTTTTTTTATTTTCATTTCACCATTATGAATGTTTTGTTCATCGTTATTCTTTGGTTCCCCGCGTAGCTCTGTGTCGAGCGGACGAGTTCCAGTGCTTAGACGGAACTTGCGTGAGCCAGACCGCGAGATGCGACGGAAGATCCGACTGTCGAGATCGTTCTGACGAAACCAATTGCACTGGTACCATTATGTTGCTTTTTATTTGATTTTCACTGGATCGTGGATTGTTCGAACAATTTAAAGTAAAAAAATACTAAAAATATCCTCTCCACGGTTCAGTTCGATTTTACTTTGTTTTTTATTCATTACAAGAAACGTCATTCGACAAAAATAATTATTACCATTACTATATTATTATATCTTCTAACATACTATTACTACTACAATTATACTACTGTACTTTATATACTGCATTAGTATACTAAGTACAATACTAATAATAGTGCTAATTGTACTCGTACAACTAGTAATAGTATAGTAGTACTAGTAAAAATACTTGTATACTAATGCATACTATTATACTAGTAAAGCTATTACTATACTATACTGTACTAATTACTAGTACTTATAATCATTATTGCTGTGGATTAGTAATAGTACCAATAAAAGTACTTATAATTAGTATATTAATACTACTCTATATTAATATTATTATTATTAATAATAATAATAATTATTATTATTATTATTATTAATAGTAATATAGAGTAGTATTAATCTACTAATTATAAGTACTTTTATCGGTACTATTACTAATCCACAATAATAATAATGATTATAAGTACTAGTAATTAGTACAGCATAGTATAGTAATAGCTTTACTAGTATAATAGTATGCATTAGTATACAAGTATTTTTACAGTAGTATATTACATGTATATTACTATTATTATTAATAATAATAGTAATATACTAGTATATTAATACTAACAATACTAACAAAAGCACTAATATATTAGTATATTAGTACTACGGTTAGTATTGTTATTAATAATAATAATAGTAATATAATATACTAGTATTTTAATATTATTAATAATATATATTAATATATATTATTAATAATAATAATATACTAGTACATTAATACTAACAATAGTACTAATATACTAGTATATCAATGCTAATAATACTAATAATAATAGTAATATACTAGTATATTACTACTATAATTAGTACTAATGTCAAACGTGACACTGAATAATCATAACCCCTCGTTCTTTTTCATTCCCAAGTGACAACCTGCAGCGGAGATCAGTTCAGGTGTCTGGATGGAACTTGCATCAGTATCGACAAGAGATGCAATCAGAACATAGACTGCCGCAACGGAGAGGACGAGAGCCAGTGCGGTGAGTCAAACTATTCACGTCTCTTTATGAAAGAAGAGAAACAAACTGTTTTAATCATCACCGCGACACGATAGGAATCTTTAAGGAACACGGATTCCAATGATCTGACGGAATCCTGTGATGGACAATCACGATTGTCGTGAATTGTGCCTGGTCTAAAGGGTCAGGTGTTTGAGAGTCACTCGACAGCTTGTTGCGAAAGCAACAAGTCGACACGGTGATTGTGTCAACCTGATAATTGATGCGAATTAACTCGCGAGCGTAGCTCGTTGTATCGTGGACGAGATCTGAGGCATAAATAAGATCGAATAGAGTCTCTCCTTTCGTTGAGAATCGATTGTTTTCTTTTTGTATTTTGCAGTATTTTTTTTCTTTTTTTCTTTTGAATGGACAAGAAAATGGAGCATATTTTTAGTAGAAAAATTGGATGTTTTTGAAGGAGGGAATTGTGATCCTCCATGATAAAACGAGCACTCTTCAGGTTGGCCGCTAATTTTCAAGGCTGCCGCGCGCAGTTGCAATCATTTCAGGAATTTGTTTCCTTCCCTGATGAAAAAGAAATTGTTCAGGGAGGCATGACCATTTTTAAGCTAGCTCGATGAAAAATTGGATCGAAGGCACGAAGGATGCGGGGGTATAACATATACAAAAATATCTGTATACCTTTTTTTTTTCCTCGTCGTCGTTCGATTTTGCCCGCGCTGGTCAACCTCGGACTGGAAGTGGCTTTTTCCCCCATTACCAAGTGCAATTTTCCGTCACGGCACACGCTTGGACAGATTCTCACCCACGGAAAATCATTCCCCGACGAATTTCATCCCTCCCTATTTCGAATTACTTCGAAATTGAATAATGAAAAAAAAAAGGAAGAAAAGAAAAAACGTATAAAATATTAATCTCTCTCTCTCTCTCTCTCTCTGCGAGGAAACTCGCTGAAAATGTCTCGAAAATGTAAAAAAAAAAAAAAAGCAATCGTCAACGACAAGTTTAATTCCAACCAATCGAAGTGATTCGAAGTCTCGCGAATTTTAATCACTGGTCGTAAATCACGAAAGTCATTTTGGTCGTTCGCCGCTTGATATATTGAGAAAAAGAAAAAAAAAAAGAAAAGAAATCTAAAAATTTCGCTGAGGGCTGGGTATCGACGGCGCACGGCTGATTTCACTGGACGAAGAGGGGAATGGAAGACGGAAACGTCGAACCCGGGGGGAAAACGCTTGAATCGTAAGCCGACGCCGCGTGTTTTTATTTGTGAAAGCCAGGGGCTGATGAGAAGCCGGCTTGACTGCGCTTTTAACCCTTTAACTGCGCCATTCACTGGAATGTTTCTCGTATCGAGTCGGGCGCGGAATCGGACATATTTTTTTATCGGCGTCACGCTCCCATCACTGGGGAACAGAACTATGAATGACGCGTGACATTCGTTCTGTTTCTTTTTCAAACATATTTCGATTAGAAACATATACAACACTAGACATATTTCGAGAATCTTTTATTCCTCGGCGATGTTAAAATTATAATTTAAAGATTTCCAAGAGCAATCAGCTTCGATTCGCCACTCTCTTTCTTTTCTAACAGACTTGGACTTGCTTTTCAGCGAAACTGATCTAACTTTGAAAATTTGTTAATCGGCAGTACTCTCAAAAATAATAATCATCGGTCGCCGAATAATACTAAACAATCGCCAAGAGCCAAAAAAAAAAAAAAAAAAAGAGCCCTTTCTCTCCGTATCTGTTGCCTGTGTTACCTATATTATTAACCAGTTGCGCGCCAGTTAAAGGGTTAAATGTGCATGAGTGTGGTGTGTGGAAGCAGGTTGCGGAGAGGCCTATTTTCGCTGCAATCAGGATGGACGGTGCATCGGTTACGAGTTGCAGTGCAACGGGGTGGAGGAGTGCTCTGATGGCTCTGACGAGAGGGACTGCGGTAATTATGCCATTCACGCCACAAACACTCCCACGTATCGCCACACTCACACCTACACACGCACGCCCAACATTGTTACTCTGCTCTGGATTTTTGACAACAAACGTGTCTGTCTTTCCCCACTTACTTAACGTTAGCTGTTAGCTGTTCGCTCTGTTCAACGTGTCCAGCCTCGCAGTTAGACTGTGATTTCGATAGTTTTCGATTATTGTATCGTTGATTCAATTTCTGTGGAACAATGACCCAATAACTGACTTGACAACGTTGCGAGCGATGATTTCACGAGAACTAATTAATTAATTAGATGATTCGAGCCCCAGACACTTGTGGTGCGTTGTGAGGATGAGGGTCAGTGGTTCTGGTGATTCGATGGGACTGAGAACTTGAGAAAGAAGGGGAAGAGATTAGAATCTGATAGTTTGGTCGAGTTAAAGTGATGTTGATAGTATTTTATGGAAGTCTTTCATTGGATCCGTAAAATGGAATTCAAATATTTACGGGATTATAGGGGAGGAAATTATATAAGGCCGAAAGGATCAATTCTGTTCGTCTAAATCTATTATTTTTGTCTCTTTGTTAATTTTAAATGTTCTACGGGACACTGTAGGTTGTTGACGATTAAAAAAGAGTCAAATTTCGTGAATTTAAAGTTCCATTCAACTTGCGGTGTTTTTTTTTTTTTTTTACAGAGGCAATGTCCTAATCTTGTTAAGTACTATAGTCAACTGTCTATATTTGTAAAAATAAGATGGAAAAATATAGAAACAGTAGAGAAAGTGGAAACCTCGGTTTTGCACGATCTTTCAAGAGGCATAATTTTTACACTCGTTGACTTTATTTTGCAACTGTTTCTTGAGGAAGATGCGCGCGGGATGGGACTCCGATTGGCCTTGAAACGTGAAAATGAAGTTTCTGAATAATGCACACACCTGTTGCTGTGACACACACACACACACACACACAAACACACAGAGCTAGATATTTAAAATTGAAACCGCACTACGGTAATTTTCTGGTCTCTCCCTCCTCTCGCTTAATTCCCATCGCGGTTGTATTAACCGTTCGTGCAATTTTACTATAAATGCAATTTCATTCAATGAAATCCATAATTCTCTACTATCGACAAAACGATATATATATATTTTTTTCCTTTTAATTTCGGAAATTCGAAAATTTCCTTTTATTTTCGCCGAACGAAAAAAATTTACAAGTTAGTCAAGTGTTTTTTAATGAGCAAGTTTATTAACGAGTCGATTCAATCTCTTTCACTGTCTCCTTTCTCTCGTTGATGTCCCCATGAAGCCTAGGATTTTCTTCTCTCCTCTTTGTCTTTCTCTTCTGAAGAGAAGAGTCTCTCACGTTTCGTCGTCGCAGAGAATGCCCCGTGGAAGAACATGTACAACGACAAGCGTATATTTCAAAAGTATCTGGAAGCGAGAAATCGAATGTGGAGACGCGTCAGCGAGCCAAAATGGCTGACACTGTCGACTCGGAAGCAGATCGTGAAGAAATACACTGTCGACGATCCGTCCTTGAAGAAAGCACCTCGCCACGAAACGAAGTATCCAGCTGAGTATCCAAGGCTGAACTCCAAAACAAAGAGCAAGACAGGCGAGAATTTTTACAGAAGTCTCAGGTCTGCGAAGAGTATGCTACGTTCCTTGGGTGAAGGGAAGAACCTCGCTGAGAGAAAGCAGAAGAAGAAGAAGAAGAAGAAGAAGCACCAACGTGAGAAGATTGCTCTCAAAAGTGATTCGAATTTATTTATTTACGAGAATGCAACGTCTACGAGTAATGAGGCGCCAGTTTCAACGAACTCCGCGGCTTCGACGACCTTGGTCGACGAAGAGAAGGGTCGCGGGAAGAAGAAGTGGAGAAAGGGCAAGAGAAAGAGGCAGAAGGGTAAATTCAAACACTCGAAACGTCCGATAAATTCCACGACGTTAGAAATCGTTAGTTCGACTGTCTCCAGTGATAGTCGAAATTCAATGGGAAACGAAATACCTTCCATTGGTCAGATTCGTGGAAAGATCGAGAGAACAAGCACTTGGAGAATTTTCGAGGATACTACACTACCAAAATTTGAAATCGAGCCTTCTACAGAGGAAAACGATGAAGTAAACAGCACGACAGAAACTGTTCCCTCTGTTTCGGTGAACGATGAATCTGTTATTCCCACGGGAACGAGTGAGAAACTGTTTTCCTCCACAGACGAAACCGTGAAACCCACCACAGAAACGAACTGGAATTTTAACGAACGAGTTAATCTCATTGGCTCTTCAGAGGCTGAACGTTCGAACTGGTCCTCCGAGGAAGATCTGAACAGGAATTTGAACGCAGTCTTGGAAGAAGAGACGACGAGATCGTACTCGATGGATGGGAACACTTCGAACGTGTTCAGGATTAAACATTCGTCCAAGGAGGAACTGGCAATTACAGACGAAACTAGCCCGAGTACCGAAATAAATTCGCAAAGCATTACGATTGCCGACGACTCCAGTCAGAACTCTGTAGAGGCATCGGGCAGCAGAGAAGAAATTCATGGCTACAGGGCAAAGAAAGGCGGCAAACTGGCGAAATTTTTTCACAAATACTTGGAGGGGCGAGCGTCGTCCTCACCATCCCCGCTATCGACGAAGAAAAATATTTCCGACGTGCCTAAGATTCAGTATTCGTCCAAGGAGACGATACCTATGGATGAAACCACACTGTCAGATTTGAGAAATTCTTACCAAGTTACAGAGAGAGGCGAGAATTCTGATTCTGCAGAGACTGGTCAGAATTCTGTCGAGACATCGGGCAGCAGGGAAGAAATTCATGGCTACAGGGCAAAGAAAGGTGGCAAACTGGCGAAATTTTTCCACAAATACTTGGAGGAGCGAGTGTCATCCTCGAAGAGAACTATATCTGACGTGGCTGAGGCTAAACATTCGTCCAAGGAGCAACTCATAAAGGATCAAAGCTCGGAGAGGATATTCGTAGATGAAACCACGCTCAGAAATTCTTACAAGACCGCAAAAAGAAACGACAATTCTGGTTCTGTAGAGAGGTCAGACAGCAGAGAAGACATTCGTGGCTACAAAGCGAAGAAAGGTGGCAAACTAGCGAGATACTTTCACAAGTACTTAGAGTCAACTGCCCTTCCAAATCTAGATTACGAAGATTACATCGACTACAATCTATCCGCGAAGCTAGAGTCACTGTTGTTCGAGTCCAGCTCCAAGATCTTGATAGACCTGTTGAGCGGTGCCAGGTTGTCCAACCACAAGAACCTCCCGAGCTCGACCTCCGTCCAACGAGCTCTACAGTTGTACAACTGCAGCTTGACCTGTGCTCCATGCAAGGAGAGAGTGTCGGAGCTGGAAGCGAAGTTGAAAGCAGCCCTCGAGAACTCCCTGAGGAACGAGGTGAAAGTTGACTCAGGTCTGATCGAGGAGACCACGTTACTTTCCAGGCTAGAGGACGACAGTTATTCAGACTCGTTGCAGGATCTCTCGGAGTTGTCAGAGGTGTTCAGCCCTGATTTAAACGTGGCGCCGACTTACAACTACCTGAATATCACGGAGTCACCCGCTTTGGTGGAGACGCTGACCGAGGCAGACTGGGTCAGAGACAACACCGGTTACTACTCGTTCTCCACGGAAGGCCAAGATATTGTTGACCAAGAGGAAGAGCAAGTTCAACAGAGCGATATGAAAGTGGACGACTCTACGGTTTCCACGAGTTTCTTCTCAGTCAGTGCTCTGCCTGGGAGGAACGAGGAGTCGAGCACAAGGAGGCTCAGAGCTGACCAGAATTTCAAGGAAGACGACGAAGAGGATGTCGCAGAGACGACAAGCACCGCAGATTCCAACGAGACTCGACCAACAACGGACAACTGGTGGCAAACCTCGGACGACGATCTGGCAAAGTGCGACCCGGACCAGTTCCTCTGCAACGATGGCACCTGCATCGGTTTGTACCTGGCGTGCGACGGATACTCGGACTGTCCAGACGACAGCGACGAGCTCGACTGTCGCGGGAACACGATCGAGGATTATGAGAACGGGATCGACGGGTCCGGTGGGAACTCGTCGTCGTGCTCGAGATGGGAGTTCGCCTGCGACGGTAGTTGCATCAGCAACAGCTTCGTCTGCGATAACGTGAGGCACTGTAAGGACGGATTAGACGAGGAAGACTGTGGCATTGAAGGTAGAAACGCCACAGTGCGTCGTCTCTTGTGTCACTTCTTTCGTTCTACGCTTTCACCTCTTCTGGGATCTTCGGACGTTCCTCGACGAGTATGTTGGAACGCGATGGTGCAAAAATGGGAAAATACTCTCAGTCTGTTGCTGTACAAAGTGGTGGCTTCGGAAAGTTTCTCGATCCAGAGAATCTTGAAGAGGAACGTATATATATCTATACCTGTTGAATGTTGTTCTAACGTGTTCGGAACTTCATTTGTGACGTCCATTCTCTGCTGTACAAAGGCCTGTTGGATTGAAAGTGCACTCTCAGGAGTTTTGTCGTACAGGGTGAATCACAGTTGAGCCCTCCTTTGCATTCCAGTTTTGTGATTTTTCAGGGTTTAATTTGTTTCATCGTGGAAAATTTTACGAAAATACTAGTCATATTTAGTATACTAGTATTCAGTCTATTAGTATATACTATGCTAGTATTCAATTTACCAGTATACATACTAGTATTTAATACTAGTATATACTAGTATTTAATACTAATGTGCCAGTATTTAGTAACACTAAAGAAAAACTTTACTTTTGTAAATTAAAGTAATATTAATGTATTTAGCAACTCTAAAGAAAAGTATTTTTAGTAAATTAAAATAATATGAATTTCTCTTTCAATAGAAGCAATTTTATGAGAAGCAATTTTTTGCTTCTTTTCTTTCTTATTCGAGATTCCCGACTATTGGAATTTAAATAAGCTACTATCATTTGCAAAAAATACAACCACAGATTACTAAACACATTCTGCTTTCAATTCTCTCTTTTGTTTCTCTTTCTTTCTGCTTCTCTTGCCGTGCCAGATCAATGGGAGTTACATGGGATTAAGCAAACAGAGAATGCAAAGGAAGTCGGGACAGACCTAACAAACACATCTTTTATCGGTCTAGCGAATCACGCAATGCGATATTCGCAGCCAGCTCATTCGTACTGTGTTCCAATCGAGCCAAACGATTTAATCTGTTTGGAATTTAAACAATCGTCGTTCCCGATTCTTTTTCTCGCCCCCCATTGATCGTCGAGGTTGTCAGTTAACGTTGCGCAGACACGAGAAACGAATCCGCAGACGTCCAGAGACGCACACACACATACTGTACATAGAAACCCATTGGATTATATATCCTAATCGCCTTCGAGGGGCTTCGTTCAGATTGCTTTAAGTGTTAGCCAGCTTCGAAGGAATCCTCTGTAAAAAGATACCCCGATGGTCGAGGAGTCGCGTGCCCTGTCAGGCTGCGAATACTGTTATTAAATAAACACTATGTGCCCATAGTTGTTCATCCTGCACTGCTATGACAGATTAAGGGGACAATTTTTCTTTTTTAATTTCAGATCCATGAAAGGAGAAATTTTGGAAAATATTATGAGAAAGAGTGTCAGTCACATTGAGAATTAATTTTAGAGCTGGTAAATTCTTAGTATGTTAAATACTACTGAATACTAGTATTATAGTACTATTATAGTACTATTATTAAATACTGTACTCGGTAGTATTAAACACTTCAATTTGCTAGAATAATTCATATTAATAAGAAAGGACTTAAGAAACAATATTATAGATTCCAGTGATCCTAGAAATGTTATTTTCTATTAGTAGTACTAAATACTAGTATATTAAATTCTTGCTAAATATTACTATATGCGCATGAAATATTTATTGGTACTAGATACTAGTATATGAAATACTAACAATAAGCAGTACAAAATCTTATTAGTGCTGAATATTTTAGTCTATTAAAATAATATTACATAAGTGAAAGCAGTAATCATTTTAGAGTCTAGTAATTCTAGAGATAAATTATAAAAAAAAGAAGAATATCAATTATCTTAAGATTTAATTCTAGAGTTATCAATGTAGTTATATCATTGTATCAGTTCATAGTCTGTCGTAGAAATTTTACAAATTTACAACAGTATGTTTTCATAGATTCGAATTACAAACACTCGTGTCACTCACCTACGATTGAAATTTCACAATTAATTTCTATAGTTGCAATCTCATCTGAGAGAAATCTGAGTGCGCCAAACGAGTGAAACGTGATATTCTTTCTTCAAAAGAGCAGGATTTTTTTCTAAATCCCGAAAAGAACAGCAACACAAAGGTATTATATCAATTGTCGTCGAAAGATCATCTGGGACAATAGCATTGCAGGATTAACCTGACAAACACGTGACAGAGTATCGCAACCTGACAGCTGCCCATATATACTATATACTCTATATATATATATATATATATATAAAAATACCATTCACCATAACAGATGCTTTCAGTGTATATCAAGCCCAGTTTGTACCCGCTTTAAATGTCTCCACACGTGCGTCTGTCCACGTGGTATCTCTCATAGTTTGTACATACCATTTAATATACATATATATAACCAATATAAGTAACATATGGGCCGCCTCGACTCGAGCTTTTCCACCACCTTTGGGGAGCAATAAATCCTGAAGAGAAGGAGGGAGCTCGAGGCGACCGGTTTGACGAGACCAGAGGCTGTCTGTTTTTGCCGGTGGCGCCCTGTAGATTTGGCTCCGTGCCCTTCTATGGACTTCACCTGCAGCGACGGCTCTTGCATATCGAAGAGCTCTGTTTGCGATGGATTCGACGACTGCCCCCGGGCAGAAGACGAGCTTCACTGCGGTATATAAACACTTACCTATCGTCTGAGGCCATTCCACACCGGAGACTCCACGAAAGAGCATAGTCGAGAGAGCTGGAAATAGGGACGTTGTCGCAACAGAGTCGAGAGTGTTGTGTCTGCAAGATTTTCAATATAATAGCGACTGTTCAGCCACTATTATAGGGTGTCTCTTTGATCTGAATTGATTAGAACCAGTTGCAGTTGACTGTCACCTTTTTTCAGTTCTCTATTTTTTTTCTTCTTTTTTTTTCAGTTGAAATTATTGTGTTTCTCCTTTTAGAAAAAGAATGTTGTTTGCGAATCATTTGGAAAAAGGGAATGTGAAGTCTCTGGTGTCGTTGGTCTTTGCTTCTGCTTGCCAAGTAATCTCGACTCTTAATGGTACTTACAGAGTGGATCATCAGCTGGGTGAGGGGAGACTTTGATGTTCGTTTGATTTCTGTTATTTGAAGTCGTTCAATGCAGGAAGAATATTTCAGGCTGCAGTGTCATTTAAAATTGTGCAAACGAGCGGAAATAAAAGTTGGAGTCGAATGATTGAAAAGCAAGACTAATTTTAATTCAATAATAATTAATCGTATTAAATGTTCATGATGATAATAATAAATATTCATATACAAATAATATTAGTGAATATCAGTGAAATATTAGTTGTACGAGAGAAGCTTTAATTATAAATCATAATAAAAAAAAAAAAAAAATAAATAGAAGAATGTGAAAGTATTATATATTGCTGGCCAACAACAACGAATAAAAAAAAAAGAACATCAAAGCTTTCTCTCACCTCGTGGTGCCTACATTTGTAAATTTGGTAGCTTCAAAGTTTTAACCCCCGCCTCTCTAGATCATTAATTGTACATAGATTCACGCGTCCCGAGTCCCCCCCCCCCCCCCAGAAAGTTAGAGGAATTTCCTTGATCCAGTTTGAAACGCCTACAGTGAGAGGATCGATTGTTCCTCTCGCGGTATTGTTCAAAGCAAATAGCTTATGTATCGTTGTTCGTCGAACGCTTTCGTTGTTCGCGGACGAGCTTCGAGCTTTTCGTGATGTCATAACAGAATCGAAACCCCACAGGTGAATATCCCCTCTCCTCCCCCTTCTTCCTCCCTCCCCCCCCTCTCTCTGTTGATCGAGCTGTATTTATCCCCCATCAGGAGGACAACGTGACTAAACGTCGAAGAAAAGAAACACACAAAGATATATAATGATATTAATGATAAAAATATATAATTGTACAGAAAAATTTAGTGCTTTGGTATATTTTGCAATAGGTACAACTAATTCGACAAATGGCAGTTTCCGTAAAAACCAGTCTAAAAATTTCTATTTCTTATCGATAAAATTATTCACTTCCAAAGTTTTAATATCAAGCTATTGCGCTGTATCGTCGTATTGGTTAAATTTAATTAAATTAAATTAAAAGAAGACGTGTAGCCACCCTGTCCGCCTGAATTGAAAAATACAAGTAATTGAAGGGAAAAGAAAAATTACCATTCCCTGTATATACAGCAGCATTCATTGTTGACGTATCTGTATATATAAATGTGTGTGTTCTCTGCTCCCGTGTATTCCTGCTGCGACACAAACGACCACACAAACAGAACGGGAATGCACACCCACCCAGTTCAAATGCGTCATCGGGAACAAGTGCATCGAGGGTGTCTACAGGTGCGACGGCCACCCGGATTGTCCGGATCACAGCGACGAAGATTGCGCTAACGAAACCATTACACACGCCACTCCACCTATCAGTACGCCGTTTTCACCCTCTTCATCTTTTTGTTTCTCTTTCTCTTCATTTTATCATGCACGAAACTCCTTGCTCAATATCGTAGTAACCAAATAGTCATTAGCAGACTGCGGATTTTTATGCAGATTTATATTTCTGGGAATGATACTCTACGTTTGGAGGAAATAGGATTTCGACAGAAAGTTGCAGCTTTCCCTTTTTGACCAAGAGGATTTAACCGAGAGGATTTAACCAACTTTGGACAATTTACATATGTTTGTTTATTCACATTGCGTGTACTTAAAATTTCTTACAATTGTTATTGTTATTTTATGAGTTTCTAGTTATCGTTATGCATTTATAGAAAATTATAGTAATGCATTTACAATATAGAAAAATATATATCTCTCTATTATAATTATATTTCTAAAAATATGAAATTGCATAAGAATTATTGCAAACGTGTAAGAAGTAGTGTCGAAAGAAGTGCCGATAGAACAAGAATGTATAGCTCGGGCAAGATTGCACAAAATCGATTGGTCTTGGAGTTTCGGGCGATAGTGTTATGTGTTTGACGTTGCTGGAAGGAACATTCGACTCGATTTGAATAAATTCTCTCCCCTTTTGTTTATACAAATTCTTCCGCATAATTTGCTTTAATATTAGAACAAAGCAAATTGAGACAGGTTAAGTTGAAGTACTTAATTCTGAAATTTTCGAAACTTTGTTAGAAATTGAATTGTTCCCTTCTTTCTATAGAAGTCTATAAAACGATTATTGTCTCAGATTGTAGAATGAGAAAAAGAAAGCTGTTCGTTTCAATTCATGTGTGTTTTTAAGAGATTGAACGTTTATTAAAACTAACAATAAGTTGTAACTGCGAATCGTTCCTTCCAATCGGACACGACAGTCAGTCAGAGTCTTACGATACATTTCGCTTGTTGTATAACCATCTGCATTCGATTGTACTCGACTCTCCTCCTCGTCCCTCCCCTGTCTGACTGCACGTCAAAGAAACGTGTTTACGAATATACCATGGGGGCTATCCTCTCCACGTAGGCAAAAACCTGGCAGACGCATACTCTCGTTTGCTTAGCACTTGGCAACGGGGATGACGATGCTGGTCGGCCGTGGCTTACTCACCGCTAATTAATTCATTAGCTTGATATAAGCAGCAGTGAAACTGGCTAAGGAGCCACCTTTATTTTTCAGCTTTATTCCCTCCCTCCCTTTCTCTCCCTCTGCCAGCTTTTCGACCCCCAGTCAGTTTCAAAGATCGGTATCCTCGCTATCCTAAACGAGGGACGTTATAACTGCTGGAAATATATAACCAACTGTAAAGTAACAGATTAGTTTGTAACTAACGGGATTGTTACATGGATTTTTTAATTTTTCTTGGAAAAATTTTTTGTTCGGACATAAATTGGATATCAATTTGGATAGATTTGTTTAATTAGAAACATTGGAAGGCTAAGTAATTTTTTGAGCTCAAAGAGATCGTCCAATGTAATTATTATACAGACCATTCTCACTTACTTTTTTGATAAACTTAAATTCCATTTTTTGACTTCTGCAATTCCCTTGTAACAAAGAATTGGAGAAAGTCGCGTGAAATCTGGATTTATCAAAAGAAAAAAACATGAAAAATAATTGGATCACGATCGTTTCTATCGATTTCGAAATGTGCGATGATCAAACTGGACAATTACCGTGAACTGTCCGCGCCATCTGTGGTAAGTTGAGCTAAGAAGATTTGGTGGGGAGTGACCTTGACTGACCAACAGATTCAATCCTAACTATAGAGCATCGTTTTCCTCAGCGTGATTGTTCTCTCTTTCTCTTTTTTTTTTCTTGTTGTTGTTGTTGTTGTGTTTTACAATTTTATACGCTGAAAAGGCTTCTGTCTCGCGTAGCTGGCAATGTGCTTGTGTCTGTGCATGTACGTTCAGGCCAACCATGGCCAGGCTGGGCAACCGAGAGCCCGAGGAAATGCGATCCAAGCAGGGAAATGCGTTGCGACAACGGACAATGCGTTCTGCTTCGACGCAAATGCGACAATATCTTCGACTGCCTCGATGGTAGTGACGAGCGTGGTTGTGGTAAGCTTCCTTCGCCTCCATTTAGGTCACTCGGATCGTTTCCGCATTCCCAATAATCGTTCTTCGTTGAATAAACTATCTCCGATCTTGGCGCCACTCGAACGTAACTGAAATCGTTAACGATGGAAAATTGTCGATACTTTAAACTGTTGTAACCTCGTAAAAGAAAGCTCCCGCCCTTTAAACAATCCACTTGTTTTTAAAGGTCTTGTTTAAAAGCATGGAAGCCTTCACTTTCGCGCTCCTCAAGTTTATTTCTTTTTTTTTAAGGATATTTTCACACCATGTGCAGCTGGTGGGAAAATTTTTTTCGTGACTGGATTCACCATCGGTTTCGAAGGTCGCGACCTCTTAAACCGTATGATTTTCCTTTCGGCGTTTTATCGAGTCTCGAATACGAGAATTAGACGACGAAATGTTAGATTTTCTTAAATTTTATATCCCAAATGATATCAATTTTTCTGAGATAAATTTCAAGATAATTTTGCGCAGAGTGTAAAGCAATTAAAATTAATACCACAAGTTCTCGATCATCGTAATTTTGCCAGTGTACGTCCATCAGAGGGGACTTTCTTAAAATTAAGAAAAGATTGATCCTATATTCTGTATCAATAGAAGTTGGATGTCTTGAAGAAGTGAATCACAAATTAACAACCTGTTATATTTCTAGTAGACGAAGAACACCGTTGAAATCTTAAAGGAATAATTTCAAACGTCTGATACTTGTATTTATACTTGTACCATTTAAATGTCGTGGTATTTCAAAACTAGTATTCCTTATAGCTTGTTCAGAAATAATTCAATTTTGCGCCTCTGAATAGACTGCGGGAGACAATGGGAATTATTTTTTAAAAGACGCTGTCATAATTGATCATCGAGTCGCTCTATATCGAGGATCATGCCCCAAATCGTATCGCGCCCTGATATTTACGATGTATCCCAGAAATACGTAAGCATGCACAGTCAGTTATGTCATGACAGTAATTCGAGCACACTTGTTATTCTTTCATACCTCCGCGGGGAACGCGAGACTCCGAGTGACCCATAATCCCCAGCCAAGATCCCTTTTTACCCGCTGTAGCGCTCATGGTGGCCGCCATGATGAGTGGTCACTAGCAAACCAGCATCCTGGTGATTATGTCAACGGCGCTAAAGTCCCCCAACGACCCCATTGTTGAAGCTTCTTTACCGCTTGTTGTTGAGCTGTTACTTGTGTCACAAGGGGTCTGCACACCTGCCGAATGGAAATGTGCCAGTGGTGAATGCATAGCAGAGATCGAGAGGTGCGACAATGTAACCCACTGTGCTGACGGATCTGACGAGTTTGGATGCGGTAACTATCGGCCATGTGCACAGGGTCAAAAGTGTCCTGGCCACGCCTGGCCTTCTTCCTTTGCGTGACTTGTTAAATGAAAAAGAAAAAAAAAAAAAGGAAAAAAAATCAACCTTTCTCCGAGGGTCATTATTAGTGGTGGACGTTTGAGTCTTGTTCAATCAGTTTCAAGACAATTCGAAGCTTCTTAACGTCGTGGAAATTATCTTAACCGTAGAAACTCTTGTTAACTAACTTCAATGGCACATTTCATGGCACCTACCTAACCAAAACCATTTACCCTGGACCCATTTTTTTTTTTTTTCTATTCTCTGGTTCGTCATTTTATCGGAGAGACATCTTCTGATTAGATCTTAACTAACATCGCATTCCCTCATTGAGTAATATACCTGTGACGCTGTGAAAGTCAACCTTACGCCGTATTCACGATGCAAGTAGACGTTTTGGCGAATTTTCATGTAGATTGTACGTTTCAAGTGTGCGATGCTGTGTGCATGCTTTTGCATGGGAACTAATAATGGAGCATGTAATTTCCATGCATGTGATAGCACTTCATCTGGTGGTTGGCGACCAGTTTTTATTGCCTGAAACGTATGCTGGTCGATTTATAACCCATTCGTTGTTTGTAAAATGTCAATTCATTCTGCTTCATCCTTGAAACTACTTCTCAGTCTGAACTATCGTATGTGTGGGGTCGTAATTTATGAAACGCTCTGTGCATTCTTGAATCTGAAAACTCAAAATTCACTTCTCGATGTATGAAACGATCTTTGAAACGACCTGTACAAACAACGTGTTCTGAAATTAGGCAAGGGCTCAAAAACAGAATATAGGGCCTTTGCTATCCTCAAAATTCACTTCTTGAGCTTTGAAACGACTTGTACATATGCATTCTGAAAACGAATACAAAGTTTGAGACCCCGGTGTTTCTTTCGGACGCTGTAATCAGGTTAGATTAAATTCAGAGTTAATATCTAACAATTATGAAACGTCTTGTACAACGAAAGGGTTAGAGAACCGAATATACTCCTCGGGATTTTATCGGAGATGTACGTGAGTATTTTTTCCATTCCTCAACCAATGGATCAACGTGCACGCAAAGGACGCCAAAGGCAAGGCTGGTAACGGAGTTCTGTGCCCTTTTTGGAAATTTTCAATTGATCATCTTGTTACTTACAATTAAATTTCTTTTTAAATGTAATTCATTTAAAAAGAAAGAAAAAATGATAGTATCAACAGATGGTAACTACAAACGGGCACACGAACTCTGTTGGTAAGGTCATTTTTCTCCCTCTAATTGCGCTCAATTGCACGAGAAACGCGCTCTAATGGAAGCCTGATCCGTCTTTTTTTTTTGGGGATCGTGTAGTAAACGAATGTCCAGCTGGAATGTTTCGATGCAACGATGGATTGTGCGTGGACAGTAAGAAACGTTGTGATGGTCGACGGCACTGTTTGGATGGCTCGGACGAGATCAATTGCCGTACGATCGTCACAGTCTTTTGTTTATCTATCTCTACGTTTCTCTTTATCTGTCGATCAAGGCTGATTCGCATTGCAAGCTACACTGTGTATCCATGGAGTATCGATCCTTCATGATCGACAGTCGATAATAGATGAGCTCACGGTATTCCCCTGGACCAGTCAGTGGTTCTCATCCGAAGATTAAAAATCGAGTTTTAACTGATATATTAATGATCGATTCATTTTTCATTGGAATAAATATATAAATTATAAATTGTAAATAAATCACAAGTTATAACATAGTAATATAATTATGATATTACTATTATAATACTATAGTATATTGTACTATATTATTAGTATTAATACCATAATATATTATATTGTAGTATAGCTATAACGATAGTATTATAATTCTGCTAATATAAAAATTGCAAATATTTAACTACAATGTGAAGAAAAATTTCATGTTTACATTATATAGAGTGAAGAATTTTAACATACAGAAGAAGAATTTTTCTCAGACTTAATTTATAGTTAGAGTGAGAAACTGCGAACCACTGGCATGACCCATCTGCGCCCTATTTTTCATAATGCAAGGAACATAGTTTGTGCAGAGGAGCTGCTCTCCTCATTTTTTTCTTGCAACCTCGTTTTTTGCCAATTTATATTTAGGCAACGAAGTACGCACCAACGCCACTGGTATGGTATCAGAAAAACGAGAGCAACTGTTTTAACTCGGAAAAAAAGAAGACTCGTCCGTACAATAGGACCGCAATTAAACAATCACGTCCATCGATCGCGGTGTCCAGCTTGTAATGCAGATCAAGCAATCTTCGAAATCGGTTTCTTTTTTTTTTTTTTTTTCTAATTTCATTCACTCATCTCTTTCTTTGTCTTTTCAATCTTCCCGCCTTTCGGCGCTAAGCCCACGAAATCGCATCTTGATGAATTATTCCGCGGTTCGATCTCGACGTTTTCCGGGAGAACGCCTCGCATGAAGGATAATTCCTGAGGAAAAAGATATGGTGCCTCGAAGCTTTTCTTTAAAACACACGTCTAACGCTAGCCGTTCCTTCTTTTTCAGCTACATCCCGTCCTCTGCTAGTGTCAAGTTTATAGGGCACTCTCCTCGACGTCCACGTACGCAGAATGATTCCTCATCAAGAATCTATGAATTCCGAAGATGTAAAGTGTATTTTTATTGCTGTTACAATTCGAGGTTTTCTAGGATAAGCTGTGTCTTAAAGGACATTGACCAAGCCACTTATGACAATTTTAGTAAACTTTCTGAATGCAAGAAGCTTCTCTCATACGAACCCTTATTTTCAACAACTGACTCTTATTTTCGTCAGAATAGAATGTCTATTGGCAGACGATCTCTTAATCTTGAATTTAATTTCATTCATTTCAATTTATAAAATGTCAGTTTAATCTTATCTTACTTCCGCCGGATACATACACGAACGAAACAAGCCACAAACTTCTCAATCTTAAAACCGTTTTCCTTTTGGAAGGACACAGCTCGCGCCTAACCTCGAACTGTAACAAATTCTCCCGGTGTCTCCTACGAGATCATCCGAGAACAATCAGATCAAATAACTAGAAACAGATCGAAGAACGGTTACAATGAAACCCGATTGTAGGGAGAGAATGGTTGATTCGTCGGATGAATGCTCGAGGAAATAAGCCGGTGCGTGAAAAACGGAGGCGGAAGCCATCGAATGGAAATCGATGCGTACGGAGGATCTCGGGGAGGGGAAAGCCTCTCTATCTTTTTGCCTGGTCGCGCGTCGGTCTTCAAGACGGCAATTAAGAAGCTGTAACTAATGCCGGCTCGCTCTTGTCTGGCCTTGTGGAGCCGTTAATCTCGTTTTCCACGTTCCTATCGACCGTATCACACGGCGGGCGTTGACTGCTTGAATCCCGACGCAGTGGCCAGAGCCTCGTCATCGAGGATGAAGAGGCGATCAGTTGAGGCTATAGAAGTTACGAATTTATTACAGATATTTGTACGTTTCGTGACATGTAAATAAGAGAGCGGGAAACTTAGAACAGCAACGAATCTGCAGGCGATGTAAAAATTTTATTATCTACGATAAACACTGAGTATTAAAAATAAGAAGCAGCCTAAGATTTTTGAACGAGAGTATAGATGACAAAATGAAATTGGCACTTTAAGGTTTTTTTAAGAAAATTGGTTTTGAAAATTTATGAAGTACACTTGAAATTTTGCTAATTTAATTGACACGAGGATGTTCTACGTGCAAAAATGGTTGAAGAATGTATAATAACGTTTTTCCATTCAAGATCTCGTTAAATGCATCTCGTGAAACAATTTTATTGTATATTTTTTGCTTATTTTTCCACGTAGAATCATCCAGTTCCCAGTTGTACCATATAAACTGGTTCAATCTGTATAATCAGTGAGACTCTCGACGAATTTTCGTATAGAAAGAAAAAGTTAAGTTACGCAGGTTGTTAACGACGGTGCAGTTTGATTTTTGCATGAAGGCGAGCAAAAATAAGACCTTTGTTTTGAAGAAAATTAAACTTGAAAATGATTCTCAGTGATTCAGCAATTCTTTTCTTCGCTTCTTCATAGCACAATTCTTTTTCGAAATTAATTTCTTTCTTCCTACTGCCTCTTTTGAATATTATTCGAACAATTCTGGTAAATTAGCACTGATAATTAAAACTGTGTTTAATTAATTCACAAATTAAATTAATTTTTTATATTGAAATTAAAATTGAAACGGAAAATTAAATGTACAAACGGCGATAATTGAGAGATTCGTAAATTATTTTTTATGAACGTGAAAGCGTCGAAAGATTGAGAACCACTGTGGCAGCCACGCTGAAAGCACGCACTCGCCACCGATTTTCAAGTCATTTTTCTTAAGAATGGGAACTCGGGCGAAAAAAAAAAAATGCATCGCACATTTTTCCATGAACGATCGCCTCGTTAACTTACCCTGCAAAATTTAAATAAATCCCACAGGAGAGCCATTCGAATCTCCAACGTTACAATGTGACATTCAACTAGAAATTAGTTAGTTCTGTTAGTTAAAACGACGAAAGTTAATTCTTATTAAATTTCTTTCCCCTGTAACATTCGTTAGAAACAAATAATATGAGAAACTCAGTTACAAGTAATTTAGTTCTTTCGTGTGTGATCACGTGATCTTCTGTAGCCTCGTGTAATTAACAATTATCGACGTATCTTTACATGTTTCAGCTCTCTTGAATATCGTTCTAATTATATATTCTAATCGATACTTTGAAAATGCAATTGGTTACTTTTATGTAAAGAAAATTATCTCTATCCTGTTGCTCGAATTTTTCTATTTGTCTCTCACTTTCTTTTCTCTTTCTCTCTCTCTCTCTCTCATACACACTGGTTGTTTCATTTTTTCCCTTTCGGTCTTCTCTTTGAGCACAGGCTGCCTGACCTTAAATATGTACATACCTCTTCCACCCTCTGATTGTAATATTATATATAGTATATATATGTATATATATATTTATATTCAAACTTATCTTTATATATATTTTTTTTCCATTCTGATATATTTATATTAGATTATAAAGATCTTGCACAGCGCACGTACACAGGATCCTAGGATCGATAAATTCCCAAAACCGGATGATACTTTTGTATTCCTACATACACTGGTAAACGCTTGACGAAGAAACTGTTTTTCAAATTAAACTGAATTATTTTTTCGATTAATAACTGAACTGGATGATCCTCCAGTTAATTCATTATTTATTGAATGCTTCTAAGCTTAGCAGTCTTCAGTAATTTTTAATAACTAGCAACAATCCAATTTCCTTGATAATTCTCTAGTTACTCTAATTATCTTATTACCTAACTAATTATTTCTAATTATTCGTAGAATGCAGGGCGGGGCGGATTAAATTAGATTAAACGAATGTTAAATCCTTGAAGAATTTCTCTTCCCCGAAGTAAAATTTGGTAATACAAATTCATTTGAATAGTTCAATAGATGAAGCAATTATTTTCTATAACTGAGCTTATTAATTTTCTACAATTAAGTTTCTATTAATTTTCTAGTTCTCATGTAATTCGGGAAACAGTTGGAGGGAAACTTTTGATTGATACCAGTGTATGTGCTCCTTTCTATTTCTCTGTATCTCTATCTATCTATCTCTCTTTCTCTCTCTCTTTCTCACTCTATCTATCTATCTTTTACTTAACTATATGGTACACCATAGCCTTAGATTTACGAGGCATCGCCTTTTGCCTAGATCTTTCTGTTTGATACCGTTTAAACGTTCCTGTAGCTTTGGAAAGTACATTACACACACTTTGGCTCCCTAGGGAGAACGTAGTTCACGGAGTTATCGTGCTGCATAGTAGAATTTCCCTACTTACCACTCTTCCAATATACGCACATCCATGGAGTACCAATGGAGAACTTGCTCTTGGTACCGTTTGCCGATTATCGAATCGATTCTCGCATGATTAACGACAATGATAAGGATAACAAATTTCTGATTTTTCTATGAAATTATTAGATAAGGTTGGATTTTAGGTTTTTCTGTAAAGCCCAATCTTGATAATTTCCATGATAAATTTACTATTAATTACGTATTCAATATTAAGGGCCATTATTAACAATTTATCATAACGTTGAAAACACTTTAAATTTATAAGAGGTAAAAGTTAGGTAAAGTTAAGTTAGCTCAACGATATTGTTAATTATTAGTCCTATATTCACGAGGAAGATATTTATTATGATATTATTATCAATCTGTACTATTATCTGTATTCAACATTAACTATTAATTATTGAGAGCCAAGCAATATATCATAATATTATAAATACTTCTTCAAATTATAGTATCTAGCCAATCATTAATTTAAATTAATTAAAGAGAAAGGAATCAATCAATTGATTAAACAATAAATACTAAATAATTTATCATAGTACTACAAATACGTCTTTAAGAATACTGAGTCTATTAAAATCCTAACTTAAAAAAAAAAAGAAAAACCGTTCAGAAGCAGAGAAAAAGGAAATAACCACGAACTTGGAAGATCCATTGGTACTCCAGTCGATTCTATAAATTATTATCTCTAAACAAAAAACCTGATGTACGTGGTCACGACACCATAGAGAGTTCCCTCCATGGGATCAGTGTACATGTGCGCTCCTTAACACGTCGCATGACAACCGGCAGTGTGCACGTTGTTTGTTTGACGGTTTTATCTTTGTCGGTATCTCGACTGGGACAGTCTATCAAGTTAATTACCATGGACCACTTATTCGACCTTTGCTCTCTCAATTCCACTGGAGCTGTGAAAAACCAATCAAATGGTTATCTATCTTTCAATCAGTCCAGTCGAGAGCTTCTCTCTTTCAGTCGCTTTCGGAATAATTTGTATATAGCGTTACGAAGGTCTATGGGGGTCTATGGTTCCAGGGGAAGCGAGCACACTGTCTTTATCTTTTCTTTTTCCTTTCTCTTTGTCTGTTTCTTTCACAGTTTCTTTCTGGATATCTCGGAAGGAGAACCATCTTTTCCCGCGTTGACTGTCACTCGTTTTTTCAGAGTGTCCCGATGGCCAGCTACCGTGCGACAATGGGATCTGCATCATGAAGAACTTCTTCTGCGACAACAATGTCGATTGCCTCGATGGTAGCGACGAACGCGGCTGTAGTAAGGATTTCAGACAATTTCCAACCGGTTTTCAAAGCTAGAGATCTCGAGGCTTTTCAGTTCCACTCTGTGGAGATCCTTTTATTTTCTCAAACTGTTACCAAGTTACAAACTGTTCTAAAAACTGTATGAAAGAGTCTCGAAACTTACAAACCCTTGAAACAATCCATTTCCTGATCCACATTTAACACTAATCCCCGAACATTTCCAATCCATTTCTAATCTTTGAATTAAATGAACAACAAATATTCAAATTGCTATTGATATAGAGTCCTAAAATAAATAATAAATATCCTATTAATAATAAATAAAAATATAATGTTCATTGCTTTGTGGGAACGAATAATAAATTGTTGCAAATTCCACAGACAACGTTGTGACACCACCAGCAGGATGTCGGGCTGACGAGTTCACGTGTCGCGATGGAACGTGCATCCCGCAATCGGCTGTCTGTGATCGACGACCAGATTGTCCTCACGAAGATGACGAGGCGAACTGTCTGCAAGGTAGGCCCGCAACGTGTTTCTAAGACAGCTTTAAGATGCTGAAGGGAAAGAGGCTAGGCAGGAACACGTGTGCATCGGCTGAAACGTGTCCTAAATGTAGGGAGACCTAGTCTGGCCCAAACTTGGTGGGAAAGGCTGCAGAGACCAGCTGTGCCTAATGTTCATCCCGATGAAATTCCGACTGGTTCCTTTAGAAACATATTGAGAGATTTAGGATTCGAATTTGTTGCTCTGATTGAAAAGTTTGTGTTCTCGTTGTGTTCTCGTAATGATAGATTATAGACACTTCATTGTTTTCATTCTAAGTAGGATAATCACGCAATCTGGGTAACCAAGTTTAATTAAACTTAAATGAAATTTGCAAAGTTTCAGCTGTTAAATGTTGCAATTTGATTTGATTTCGCAATTTGATTTCGGGAATCAGTCATTGGAATTTTAATACTTCAGTCTATTGGAAGGAGAAATTTATATCCCATCAGTATAACTGTTTTCTACCCACTTATGGAACCCGCAATCTATCAGAAATATGTTTCCTAAGGGTCAGTTAAGTTTCGCAAGGATCTCTAATGTCTGACCATAACGTGGCCGTTTCCACTATCTGTATATAAGCTCTATTCGGTCTTGCACACTTGATCCAGTAGATCACGCAATGCACCAGGTGCACACGCAGTGTTTGGCCGTGACACCGTGTCCACCGCCTGCTAGAGGCAACCAATTTTGCCGCACTGAATTTGTACGTGCACCGATTCAATTGCAAATGGCCTAAATTGTATACCAGACTGATAGAGGATCAAACAAAATCACACTCTCAACGTTGTACAGTATGAATTGTATGTTGTTACTAAGTGTTAACTATGTACTACAGTATTAACTAGTATGGTATTAATATAGTGTAGTATTAATATTACATTAAGTGCTTATACTATGCACTAATATATGTACAATAGTATATAATACTAGTATGAGTACTACAGTAACTAACTACTTATAGTATTATATACTGTAGTACTTACTATAGTATTAATGTACTATATTAATTAGTTATACTACAAACTACAATATTAATTAATATCAATGTAATATTAACTACATTAACCATTATATTATACTAGCATTACGAATTGCTATTAGCATCAATTAGTATTAACTGTGTTTACACTATATGGTCAACTATTCTAATTACAAAGGTATCTTCTATCAGTTTGAGGGTACACGATAAATCACACGCTAACTTGTAAAACAAGATAACTTGTAAAACAGTCGATCAGACGATGACTGCCTCTTCCTACAGAGGTAGAGGAGACCAGAATCGCAGTAGTAAGTAGTCGCAGGGTTAAAAGTTCCACGACAATGGCGAATGATCGGTTAAAGAAACGAATGGAAGAGTGAAAAGGTGAAAAGGTGGTCTCAGATTCGGTTACTTCTAGGTAGAACTACCCTGGTGGGGCTAACCCACGTGAACCAAGCTAGCAAGGATTACAATACGGATTATCAGGCGCCGACTAACCTAAGCACTCCGAGGAGTTGTGCCCCGGATGATTTTGTTTGTGCTGATGGCACTTGCATCCCTGAAACTCACCACTGCGACCATTTCTACGATTGCCGCGACTTTACCGACGAACAGTATTGCTTCGGTTAGATCACTGGGCAGGCCTTGATCATCTGTTGGTGTCCAATCCTTTTAAACTCTGAACCCTTTCACTCTAATTTCTTTCTTTCTTACTTACTTCTTCGTTTAATCGAACGGTACACATGTAATATATTTTCTAACGTTTTTTTAATTTTAATCTGTCACTTTAGTTTTTGGATGAAAGATCCTGGGAAGAATTCACGCGCATGATTTTCACGCAGAGGCAATTGAGCAGGAAACAAATTGATTTACTCAGTTATAATAATTGAATTACACGAAAGTTCAAGCAATAACTGAATCACTTGAAAACTTGAAGGATTGAATATCCTTTTAAATTAAATTTGCCAAAAGCCTTGACGATCCTTGGAGAACCTTAATCAAGAGAATATCACTTATCCAAAAACTATGTGCCACCTAATCTACTGGCAGACATGATTTAATTTGAAATTTATCAGCGCATCGTCTGTTTTTTGTATGATCCGACTTTTAAGTGATTGTTTTGCGTTGATCCTAACTAGAACTTCATTCGAACCCTGGACACGTCACAGATTTTCTAGACTCTGCATTTTCTTTCAGTCTGTGTTAGCAGCCGAATAGGTGTGTAGGTTGTTCGAGTAGAGAGACTTGAGTGAATTCTACTCAATGTCAGTCACACGTGCAACGCATCCCTGTGTGTGTAAATTTATTTAGTGCATCCGTTGCCTGATTTATGGTACGAAGCTAGTTGTAGATCGCATGAGACACAGTTGACTTTTTTTTCGTTTTAATTTATTAGAATAAAAGAGGCGCAAATACTTGAAATGATCGATGGTAGATTACGTTCTGTGTGTCGTAGAATAGTTACAACATAGTTTCTGATTCCACGGTGTTTCATTAACGAGCTCACACGGAAAGATGTAACATTGGGAGGCTTAATCCCCTGATCTGCGTGAGCTTTACACTCTGCTAATTTAATTTGTTTTCCCAATTGAAAATTAAGATATTGGAATTATAATGGATCACTGGAATTGTAATTGAAATTAAAAATTAAATTAAAACAAAAGTTGAAAATTGAGAACTAAATAAATAATTGAGTTGAAAGTAAGAATTGAAAGTTAAGTTAAGATTAAAATTGAAATTCCAACCAAACGTTGAGTATTATCTCATTTATTCTAATCACCGGAAGAAAAGACATTTTGTCATCTGATCAGGATGATTAAAACATCCCACCATTTTTCTCTGTATACACGTACATTTACATATATCAACATATTTTCTGTCTGTTCTTAGCGTTTTTTAGGTACTGTGGTGATCCATGCTCTTTTTTCATTCTTTAGACCGTTATTTGAAACAGTAATAGATCCTTTTTGTGCCTCGTTCAAGTTTTTTAACGATTCAGACGATCGTGTTTCTTCAAGAGAGAATCGTCGATTCTGTTTGTTACAATATATCAACGTGTTTGTAGGCTGTGGCAAGGATCAGTTCCAATGCATGAATGGAGATTGCATCAGGGCTGATCAACAGTGCAACGGTTTCATCGACTGTGCTGATGGATCTGACGAAGATTGTAGTAAGATTTCACATTCACGTTCATGGTTACAAATAAGATTAGGGAAGGAAGCTAAAGTACAAATTTTTGCAACAACTATTAAATATATTAAAACAAAATTCATTCGGTTGTAATTTAAGTTATTTAATTGTTGTTTATTTCTTTAATTATTTAATTACAACGAATCCTATATTTATTGGGCCAGAGAAAAATGATAAACCCATCAGACCTGCATTTTGCAGTGAAGATTAAATAAAATTAAATAGAATTAAATTATAATTGAATAGAATACACTTTGACATAATAAAATAATTGACAATTAAAATAATATAAGTACAGCTTTCTTTTCCAGCTACTAATATATTTTTTTTTTTTGATAGAAATTATGTAAAATTCTTTATTAGCTCCATTAGGTCCTGATCCAATGCCTGGTAGTTGCCCATCCGGCTACATTATGTGTACCAGAGATAAACACTGCGTACCACAGTCCTCACTTTGCAATGGTGTGCCAGAATGCAGAGACAGATCCGATGAAGAAAATTGCTGTATGTAGTTATTTCTAATTTTCACGCATTTTACTTAATACTATATAAGATACAATTATTTTATTATTGAAACGTATAGTGTTTCATTATTTATACGTAATATAATACATAAAATATTATCTCAATAATTATGTTATTATATAGTATATCGATATATTTTACACCTATCATTTTCAGACGGAGAACCTTCTCATCTCAGCTTGAAGACGTATCCAAGCGAGCAGGTGATCAAAGAAAGTAAGTTTGGCAATACACGATGCAAAAAAAAAAAAAAAATAAACAATGGTGTATTACACACAGAAATTTTACACAACATCACGACTTATGAGAGATCGATTAATAAAAATTTTGATTACTTTTTTTCTTGCCTCGGTCAGATCCAGCGAAGCAAGGTAAGAACTACGAGGAACAATACTCGCGCAAGTAACGCTACGCAGTTTTTATTTTTTTGATTCACGAAACAATGTGATTAATTTTTGAAATTACGGATAATCATCCGAGAGAACCATTTCACGCGTTCATAATTACACAATACATATTAGAATCGTCCATCGTCTGCGAAAAGCTTCGTGTTGATTAATTTGTGATTGTCGACATACACAGAGTGCATGCGGACATGGTCTAAAGAAAGATCATTACTTTGCAACTTAATATTTTAATAATTGTTTCTTGCGAGCGTTCGTTCACAAACAAACACCACGTATCGTTACGTGTACATCGTTTTCACTCACATTTGAACAGTAAAACTATTCTCGTCGCTGGACTGCGGATGTTTATGCAAAAGCATATTTTAATATGCTAACTAAAATAACTGTCTTTTTCAATGTAATTAAAATGCGTATATAAATATAAAAATATAGGAAAAAATTGTATTCGCAGTCGTAACACAAGCTGCTTCCGACAACGTTACAAAATCAATTAATACAGACCAAGTAACACGTAACGTAAAGAAGACAGCCATCTCCCAAGAAACTACATTCTTCTTTCACGAAAAACAGGTCGCGAGGTGGTGTTCCAATGCCGCGACGAAGGTCCACTCCGCGCGAGAGTTCGCTGGCTCCGCGGGAACAATCTTCCTCTGCCACCCGGAGCTCGAGACATCAACGGACGTCTGGAAATCCCGAACATCCAGCTGGATCACGCGGGGCTGTACGTCTGCGAGGCTGTTGGCTTCCCTCAGTCGACTCCTGGCCAACAAGTGACGGTGTACCTAACCGTGGAGAAGTTCGACCCACCAGCAACGAGCAGACCTCACGCGTGCCAGTACGACGAGGCCACCTGCAGCAACGGCCAATGCATCCCCAAGCCGTACGTGTGCAACGGTAGGCTAGACTGCACGGACGGTTCCGACGAGATGCGTTGCAGCCCCCACGGCTGCGAGCCGAATCAGTTCCGCTGCAACAACACAGAATGTGTGAGCAAAGTGTGGCGCTGCGACGGCGACAAAGACTGCGCCGACGGCAGCGACGAAGAGAACTGTACACCGAACCCACCGGGCTCTCCCTGCCGGTACACAGAGTATGCCTGCGCCAGCCACGACCAGTGTATACCCAAGAGTTACCACTGCGACCTGGAGAGAGATTGCATAGACGGTAGCGACGAAGTAGGATGCTCGCCGGTCTACATAGTGAGGCCACCTCCGCCGATGATCATCCTGTCTCAAGGGGAAATATTGATCATCACCTGTACAGCTATCGGCGTGCCTACCCCTGTGATCAACTGGCGTCTGAACTGGGGCCACGTCCCTCCAAAGTGCACCATGACGTCGATAAATGGAACTGGAACGCTCACTTGCCCGGACATCCAGCCAACCGATCAAGGAGCCTACTCCTGCGAGGCGTTGAACAACGCTGGCTTTGTAATCGCCACGCCTGACGCCATCGTGATTGTGAACAAGACCGGGGGAGAGATTTGCCCCAAGGGGATGTTCAATTCTGAAGCTAAAACTGTGGACGAGTGTATCTCTTGCTTCTGTTTCGGCGTGGCTACCCAGTGCCACAGCGCCAATCTGTTCACCTATCACATTCCCCCGCCTTTCGATCGGCACAGCGTCGTGTCGGTGAGAACCGAGCCCAGCTTCGAGATTCTCAATGACGTTCAGCTTCAGATTGTCAGGGGCATCGACAGAGACGGGGTGCAGCTTTACGAGCCGAACACGCTCTCCTTCACGTCGAGGGCCGAAGAGAGCGTCGCCTACTTCGAAATGCCTGAGATCTATCACAGGAATCAGTTGAAATCCTACGGTGGCTATTTGAAGTACAGGCTACGTTACAACGGGACTGGCATACCGAACTCTGCACCGTCAGTTATTCTCACTGGAAATAATTACCGATTGGTGCACGAAGGGCGGCAGGCGATACCAGGTTACGATAACGAAGAGACTGTCAGGTTCTTCCAGGACGAATGGTACAGGCAACAAGGAGGTACCAAGATCCCTGCCACCAGAGAAGACATCATGATGGCACTGGAGAACGTGGACAATATTCTGATCAAGTATGCACATCAGTTTTACCTAATCGTGATTTACCAGCGTCCTGTCAATTTTGAATAAAATGTTTCTTCAGCAGACGAGATTATCTGTTATCTGTTCAAATTATATTCATGCTATAACTAACTAACACAGCATTTCATTTGTAATTCCTTCTAAACGATTTACATTATCAAATTCTACTTCTTAACAGATTTTGTGGACTCGTGTATCTATTTACTTTTAATATGAACTCATGTATTTTGAATATGAAAGTCAGATATTCAGTATCAAACAGATATTGCAAACCTTTCAACTGTAGTGTATCTCTTGCCAAATGTCATTTGTTGTTTTAACCGTTGTTAATAATTTTAATTAGTAAAGAGGCGCTTGAAACTGACGAAAGAATTATTTTTATTTAGAGTACAATACGACGATTCTCCATATCTGGATGTCCTGCTCACTGAAATAGTGATGGACACAGCTGACGTTAGAAACACCGGACTTGGATCAGCCTCTTATGTAGAGGAATGTGAATGCCCTATCGGTTCGTATTAATTTGATTCGATAAGATCAATAGAAAAATTTTTTTTAATCTACATCCGGAATGATTGTTAAAAGTGATATTTGCATAGGATACACCGGCCTGTCTTGCGAGCAATGCGCCCCTGGATATCAAAGACGAGAATCTGGCCCTTGGCTTGGTCAATGTTATCTAGTCCAGGGTCCTCCCGACTGTCCTATAGGATACTACGGGGATCCTCTGAGGAATGTTCCTTGCCAGATGTGCCCCTGCCCACTCACCAATCCATCCAATCAGTAAGACAATGCATCAGTAGACTGTGGATGTTCATCAAAACATTTAAAAGAGCAACGTATATCTCAAAACAACTGCTATTAATACATAAAAAAATTTCAAGTATAAAGATTACTGATTTCTACATATGTAAACAATTAATGTCAATTTTAAGCTTCTCCCCACTACTGTGTTTTTGTAATTTTTAACTGTACAATTATAAATGTACAAATATCCGCAGTCCAACCAATTAATTAGCACAAAATCCAAGATTTTGCTACGACTATTTGTTAATGTATTTTGAAATAGATTTGCCCGGACGTGTCATCTCGGATCGGACGGTCAGCCAACCTGCGATTGTCCAGCAGGATACGTTGGTCGCAGATGCGAAAAATGTGACGTGGGATACCGAGGAAACCCATTTATTCCAGGAGATATGTGTGTCCCCGTATCTCGTTGCGATCCTGACGGCAGTCTTCACTCGATTGCGGATCCCATCACCGGCAGATGTCGATGCAAGGTATTAAACTTCGAATTTCTATATGCTAGAAGTCCGATGTTTGCGAAAACGATAGAAAATTTCTTCCTCGCGTTAAAATAAATTCGTATAACGTATTCGATATTTCGTTTACGCTGTCGTTTAACTCGGAAATATTCCTCCTCTGTTAAAAAGTAAGTATAACCCGGAATAGAGCCGAAGTGATTATAATATTGCAAAGGTTCGATGATGAATTTTGGCACGTTGGTTCACAGCAATACGCGACCGGTCTTACTTGCAATCAATGTAAGGCGAACACGTTCAATTTGGCGTCGAAAAATCAATTTGGCTGTATCAGCTGCTTCTGCATGGGCATCACCGACAAGTGCGTCTCCTCCAACTGGTACAGAAGTGACGTGAGTATATTTCAAGCAGCGGTTAATGAAATGAATTTTAATTTTCAATTAGATTCCTTTTAATTCTGCCCTAAAAAAAAAAAAAAAAAAAAAAAAAAGAAAGATTATCACACACGTCTTTTACAGATTCGAGTTTCGTTTACCAACTCCATCAGAGATTTCTCTTTGATCGAGTCCAAAACACCAGACAGTCTACCAATCACAGACGGTATTCGGTTGGACACAGTCGGTCGCGAGATCATCTACAACGACTTCCCTAATCGTGGCAACAACGACGTCTATTACTGGCAATTGCCCAGCATCTTCCTGGGCGATCAGGTCACCTCCTACGGTGGAAATCTCACGTACACTGTCCGCTACGTTCCGTCACCAGGTGGCCAGAGCTCGAAGAACAACGCCCCGGACGTTGAATTGATCAGTGCCAACGACATCAACCTACTCTACTTCTCCAGAGAGTTTCCCGAACCGAATACTCAGCAAACCTTCACGGTCCCCCTGCTGGAACAATATTGGCAACGTAACGACGGGACACAGGCTGACAGAGAACACCTGCTAATGACATTGGCTGACATGCGTGCGATCAGGATCAAAGCAACGTACACCACGCACACCGACGAGGCTGCCTTGTCATTGGTATCCCTGGACACGGCCGATAAGTACAACACGGGCAGAGCCAGAGCCGTGGAAGTTGAGGAGTGCTCATGCCCGATCGGTTACAAGGGACTGTCTTGCGAGGACTGCGACGTTGGATACACCAGAGCCGGCCAAGGTCTCTATCTTGGTACTTGTCAACCTTGCAGCTGCAACGGCCACTCGAATCAGTGCAATCCCGAAACAGGGATCTGCGAGAACTGCGCCCACCACACCACCGGCGACTTTTGCGAGGTTTGCGAGCCAGGATACGAGGGTGACGCCGCTCGAGGAACTGCCGACGATTGCAGAAACTCCGGATCGCCTACTCCATGTTTCTGCAGCGAGGAGGGTTCACGCAGCAGGTACTGCGTCGGCGACAGATGCGACTGCAAACGAAACGTCGAGGGGCCTCAGTGCAACAGGTGTCGTCCAGGAACGTTTGGACTGTCCGCGGAGAATCCGGACGGATGCAGCGAGTGTTACTGCAGCGGGCTGACTGACCAGTGTCACGAGAGCTCCCTGTACGTTCAGCCTATCGCCATGTGGGTCTACGACAATCAACACCGGTTCACTCTGACTGATTCGACCAGGCAGGAAATCATCGATCATCGTGATTTCGAATTGAACCTGGCCACGAACGAGATCGGGTACCGTTACCCGGACAACAGAGGACGCAGACTGTTCTGGTCCCTGCCGCCAATCTTCACTGGCAACAAGGTGAAGAGCTACGGAGGAAATCTGAACCTGACTCAACATATCACTGCCATACCCGGTGCTCAGACGTACAAGGATCAGGATATTATTTTGATTGGAAACGGGATTACCTTGTTCTGGACGAATCCCAATGATATTCAACCTGACATTCCATTGAACTACTCGGTACCGCTTAGGGAATCAGAGTGGAAACGATTGACCACCGAGGGGCCGCGAGTCAGCTCCAGAATCGACTTGATGGCGGTTCTCTCCAACTTGGAGGCGATTTTGGTTCGTGCGTCGCACAGCGAGGGAATGAGGGCCACCTACATTAGTGACATAAGCATGGACACAGCGGTGGAGCATGCGACTGGCAACAGAAGAGCTGTTCAAGTGGAGGTTTGTCGCTGTCCGACTGGTTACGTTGGAACATCCTGCGAGTCGTGTGCCAGAGGTTACTACAGAGACACGAACGAAAGATCCGTCAGTTACTTGGGCTCCTGTAACCCATGTCCATGCAACAACAACGAGGAGAGCTGTGAGATGACACACACAGGCCACGTGAAATGTCACTGCCAACCAGGTTACGTTGGCCAATACTGTCAATACAACGGTACGTATGAGACAAACTATACAGAGGATTGAAGAATGTGTTGCTAAAAATTAGAGAACGGAATAAAACTTAGATAAGAATGTAGAAGCAAGATAAACCTACACAGACACCCTAGGTGACTGCGTTACACAGGACGTATTTTCTAAGATCATATTAAATGATATGATGACTCGACTAAAGATCCAGATGGTGCATTTTTGAAAAGAATGGTCTGACCTATCCACAGCAATGAAAAATAATGATCTGTCTTAGGAATGTGACAGTCACTATTAAAGTCGTAATGATAGTATTACTAGTCCTACAAATAAAAATAATAATTAAAGAATAAGAGCAGTAACAGCAGTATAAGTGGTAATAATGTATACAGTAAATCGCAGAAGTATTTGTACCCATGTTCTCCCAGTTGCCAACTTTGAAATTTGTTGTGTAAGAGAATACGAATCAAAGTCGACAATTCAGAGGATAATACACGAGTATTTCTATGACTCACTGTATAAAATTATGACGTTCACGGAACAAGCGACATTAAATAAAATATTTCGCACTTTGGGTCGATTAGATGAACTGATGGTAAGTCTAACGCCAATGACGGGCACGGTAAAGGCAAACTCGTGGGTTCTGTTCACGTGCAATTACGAATCGCCATACTCGCTTTCTATCTCTTTCACAATGACACCGTGTGATGATTGGCCAATAACCGCGTCCAGCAGCCCACCAGGGCCCATTGAAAGAACAGCTAAAGGATCATCGAGAAGCTGGAACGTTTACGTCCGGCAAAATCCTTTCAATGTAGTGTGCTGCATCAGGGACGTTCACGGACAGGAATTGATCAAAGTGATGACGACAGTCAAACCAGGTTTGACGGACCAAATTAAAGGAATATATTCGTGTTTGTCCATCTTAGAAGGCTGGAACATCATGGTGTTCATCTTCATTGCTCTTTGTATTGCTGATTCATCATTGGATAATTGTCTTCCTTAGTTACACTCACAATGAAGAGCATAACTGAATCATGTACCACGGATTTTCATCAGTGATGTTCTTCATCATATGCAAACACAAGCATACAGTTGTACACTGTTGACCGCTTTGTACATCTTTTGTCTTGTCGATCATACCTTGGTTGATGGGCTTCTTCTGATATCCAAATTGGGTGTAGAATTTTAGATGAAGGCAATCAAAGCCTCTTTCATTATCTTCATTTATGTGTTGCTATGTTATATGACTGAAAGACTTTGAGGACTTGCATTTTCTAATCGGTATTGTGTTTCTTACAGAAGGTAGCACCACACCGTCTAGCACAACACCTCCTCTCCCACCAAAAATTGTGGTTCACATCAGAGGACCTGAGTTCCAGATCATTGAAACAGGAGGTACCGTTAGGTATCATTGCTCAGGAAGATCTGTAGATGAAGTAAGTAAAATAATCATAATTTTAATATATAATTAATAAATATTAATAAATAAATACTGGTTAAACAATAGTATTTGATGTACTGAACGTTTCTTGGAACACAGGGATCTCTGCATATCAGATGGGAGAAAGAAGGTGGTGAACTACCAATTGATAGAAGCGTGGATGACAGTCATGGCTTGTTGATTATTCGAGACGTAAAAGTATCTGATAGCGGCATTTATGTTTGTCAAGTGAGCGATGGAGTGCATGTTGGCTACAAGAACGTCACCCTCACTGTTGGAGGTAAGATGAAGAGAATTTATCTACTGAATAGTGTTTGGGAAAATATTTTAGAAATATTATATATATCAAGTGTCATGTAATTCACTTGGACGCAGCTTTTCCACAAAGTTTGCTGGACATCCCAGGTATACAAATTTTGTTTTAAATAGCAGTAGTAATGACAGTAGTAACACATTAATATAAAGAGTCCCATTTGCATCTATATTAATAATAACAACGTTAAAGTGCCTTGATTTCATTTGAATAATTGTACTGCAATATTTAAATGGTCAAATCCAGCTGTACCAAGGATTGTCGTCGAGCCACCATCTTTACAAGTAGTAGAAGGGGAACCAGCAGAGTTTCGGTGCGAAGTCACCGGAAATCCACCGCCACAGATCGAATGGGTTCGCGTCCATGGCCCTATGAGCTCAAAAGTAATAATTCATAACGAGATTCTGATGTTCAGATCTGCCTCGAAGTACGACGCCGCCGAGTATAAATGTCTGGCAAAGAATAACGTTGGCTTGGATGAAAGATCCGTCATTCTTCACGTTCAAGGTGAACGCAGCGTGATTAAACATTTCTTCTTTCTTTATAAATTGAAATCAAAATTTCATTGTTGAATGTGAAGAAATCACACAAGAGAAGGAATCTTACTACATTTTAATATGTACATTTTTATTTAGTTTTGAAGATGAATACATATTCATAATTTTAAAACTGTTATTTGTACATAATATTGAAGTTATAGAACTTCTAATTTTCTAATAATCTAATTTAATAACTTTTTAATTTATATATTTTATTTTGAAACATTTTTGGTATAAAATCAGTTTTATTAAATATGTAGATGCCTGAAACAGAAATATTCGCTACAAAGACAAAATAATCCTCACGAGATGAACATCTTTGTCTACAGAAAGGCCCCAAACAACTGGAATACCGCCAACAATCACTCCGCCACAGTGGACGGGCCAAGTTGGAGAAACAATTGTGATAACGTGCGTGTCGTCTCAAGTGGCCAACGTCACCTGGTCTAGAGAAAGATTTCCACTGCCTTCCACAGCCAGCCAACGTGACGGTGTCTTAACGATTGTAAATCCGACCCATTATGATTCCGGTACCTACGTTTGCACATCGACCAGCTTCATAGGAACAACAACCAGCAGGACTATCAACATAACAGTGATGCCTGAGAGGCCAAGACCTGTCAGCGTAACACCTGAAAGACAGACTGTCCCTCAGGGCAGTACGGCTGAAATAAGGTGCATAACAAACGGAGAACCCGGCGAACACGTGAGATGGAGCAAGTATCTTCAACAGCTGAGCTCTAACGCGCAACAAATCGGAGATACCTTAAAGTTTGTCAATATCCAAATTGCTGACAGAGGTATATACGTGTGTCATGTGACTGGATCTAGCGGTAGTCACGAACACAGTGCCATGATTGAAGTCGAACGTAAGTCGAATATCTATCTGAGTATCTAGACTAGTATTACACATACCTGTATACACATATTTTGGGTTTACATTTCAACAGCTAGGGAACCTCCATGGGTGGAAATCTATCCCAGTAATGTGCCTCCAGTCACTTTGCACGGGTCCACGGATCTCCAGTGTCGAGCAACTGGAATCCCTACGCCGGAGCTACATTGGTCCCATGAAAATGGCCGACCATTCCCTTTTAATATTAAACAACTTCCTGGTGGCGTTCTGAGACTTGCCAACGTCACAGAGAACGACGGTGGCTCTTACGTCTGTACAGCTGTCAATAACATCGGTTCGACATCTGCAGTAGTATACATAGAAGTTCAGTCCGTGCCAACCATCAATATATCGCCGCAGTCTGGAATCTTGAGCGTTAGGCCTGGAGATAGAGTGCGATTACTCTGCAGCGCGAGTGGACTTCCGCAACCTAGGGTCACTTGGAGCAGAAAATCAAACGTGCCGCCGTAAGTTGCTTTAACCTGTTGTTCTTCTTGGGTCAATATGAGATATATTATTAAACAATAACTAAAATATAATATTAAATAATTGGAAAGTAAACCGGAGGTAATTGACTAATGGATCATCGTTTTGCAGTGTTGCAACCAATGCATTGGCAGACACTCCTCATCAAGCCGTTTACGAAATACACTCTGTTTCTTTGAATGATGAAGGTTCATACATTTGCCACGCTATTAACGAAGCAGGGAGCAGTGAAGAGCGAGTCTACATCAGAGTGGAGGATCCTATAACTGTACGTGAACAGAAATTGATTCTGTGAAGTTTGTACAGTGGCTCATTTCTTGTTTCATACATGTTTATAGTAAATGTATTGAAACTTCTGGATTTGTCTCAAACTTTACCAATATAGTCTTTCTATATTTACGCACATATTCTAATTATAAAACGAGAATTAATGAAACGTTGAAATATTCGTTATAGGACGACAGAGATGACAACAGTTTGTCAAAGGACTATCTCAGGATCCCCGATGGTGGCAAAGTAGAAATGCGTTGCAACATACACGATTACAACGGAAACAGGATTTATCTTGATTGGAAGAGAGCGGATCACAGTCCTCTGCCAGCTGGTAATATCGTTGACAATGGTGTGCTGATCATTCCTGTTGTGAACAAGAGCGCTGCTGGAGATTATGTTTGCACCGGAACGGACCAAGTTGGCAATGTCCTCGTCAAGGCTACCTTCCACGTTGAAGTATTATGTAAGATCTGCCAAGATTTGTCTTCCATGCGAAATATGAGAGCAAAAGTGGGCTAAGTCCAGTATTTAACAAACTGAACAAATTGAAGTTTTCTTAGTCCTGTATGGTTCATGCAGCCTAATTTATTTTTGCTCTCAGTGGTTTGTGAATTAAACAATCACAGCGTAAAGAATTACTCTTGTGTATTCCTCCAGCTCCTCCAAGAATCGTATTAGTTCCGCCAAGACAGATTGTTCTTTCCGGAGAAAATCCATCAATTGAGTGCCGTACAACTGGGGATGAACCAATGACCATCGAATGGGACGCCATAGGGCGTAGCTTACCTCACTCGGTTACACACCATCGTGGACTTCTTCAGTTCCATGGAATCACTTATTCTGACGCTGGAAAGTACGTTTGTAAAGCTACCAACGAGGCAGGAACTGCTGAAGCTGTCGCTGAAGTTCTGGTGAATGGTACGCAATGCCAAATTTCACCTTTTAGTAATTTTACGCCAACCCATTTATTCAACCTGGTGTTTGTGTGATAGATATTCACTACTTCGTGATGATGTTTCTTCTTCACTCACATATTCACGTTCAAATAAAATATAATATGATGACTGTTATGATCTCTTGCAGAACATGGGAACGAAGAGGTAAAAGCTGATCAAAAAGATATATTCACATATGCTGGACAAGCTGTGCGTTTGCGATGCACGATCGGAGAGAAAGCTACCGTACATTGGTCCAGGGAAGAACAGCCATTGCCACCTGGTGCTAGGATCGTAGGAGATTACTTGGAAATACCCAGAGCAAGACCGGAAGACAGCGGAAGATACATCTGCCAGGTTCAAACCCCTCATGGAGTCTCTAGCGACTATATTAACTTGAATGTTTCACGTAAGTTGAAACTTGTGACTCTTCATCCATCGTGCATGGTTTTCTTCTTTCATTCTTGCACTTCTCATATATTCTGGATACAAATGAAGTACGTAATAGAATTAGATAATCTAATCTGATCAAAGAAGTAAGAGTCTGTGCTGTATTAGATTGCTTCTGAGCATAAATCATTTTGAATTGAGTTCAATTCAGTTCGATTTAAGGATCAAATCATCACCAGCAAGTCATCAAAACGCAGGTTGGGTTGGACACTGTTTTTTATTTATGGTTGTCGCGGTATTGTTTATTAGTAGTTAATATGCATATGGATTGTACGCGTGTGAGCCCGGCGCAATGCGGGAGACGCCGTTGCATCTGCAGCGTTCAAGGATGCTTTCTGTTGGATTACTATTGCAACATGAATGCTCTCGTCTATCCTGATAATCGCGAGTACTTCAACAGCAAACGGTGGATTCGCCACTATCTTCAAAAACCAAGCGGTTTGTTTTGTTTCAAATTAATGTGTTCCTGATGTGTGACGTCTGTTGGACAATTAACGCTTTTTCTCCTCCTTGTTGAACGAGATCAACGCTTTTCGCTAGTCGTTGACTTGTTCACGAAATCCTCGCGAAAGTGTTAATAAAAATCTTCATCCTGTCACTAGCTTGTATCTCAAATCATCATGCGAGCACCAAAAGATTGAGAAAAATTAGAAACTCTTGCACAGTGATTGTAGAGACTTGGCAGTTAACATCTTAGCAAGGTAATCAAGCATCTTCCACGTGTATGTGTTACTCTGTAGAGTAGCCTGCTCCTGGTCCATATGGTATGCAATTGTCTGTTGTCCTCCGATTGGATTCATCCTAAACTCAATATTGTAGGAGACACTTCATAGAAAGGGGTTCACGTGTGCACGTCTTAAGAAAAACTTCCAATGCAGCCTGCTGATTTCGTTGTTTGTATTTTAGCTACCACAATGCCTTCTGTCAGCGTGGAAGTCTCTCAAGACCCGGTGAACATTGGCGACAACATCGATATACGCTGTGCATGCTCTGGGACTCACAATCCGCGTTACCACTGGTCCCGACCTAACCATCCTGGACTGCCAGAAAATGCTCAGGCATACGGGCACATTCTGAGATTATCTAACGTGGCTGTCAGTGACAGTGGACTGTATAGGTGTACCGCGGACACTCCCGAAGGCATCTTTGAACAGGACTTCAATCTCGTTGTCCACGGTAAGACTTTAGGTTTTCCAGTATCTTAATCTTTATACTTCATATAAAAGTAATTAATATAACTTTAATCCTCACGCTTATGCTCGCAAAATTCTGCCTCGATTGTAAGTACACGATAAGTTCAAGGCTCCAGAGATACAGAGTTTCAATCGAGGATTCTTTCACTAGGTGGAAACAACGACGCGCCAGCTATTGAAACCAAGAACGCTCCTTACGGCTCCAGCGTGGATATGGATTGTCGTCCAAACATTGACCCACCGATGAAATTCCACTGGAGCAAATTGGGAGGCATTTTGCCATCCAATGCTCAGATTTCCGAGGTACGGAGACTTGTAGTATCATGGCGCGACAAGTGGCTTGTCGACAAAGACGTTGTGGCTCTTCTTTACTGGCTTTTCTGTCATAGAATAAATTGAAGTTAACCGACGTCAAGGCAGACGCTGCAGGCACCTACATCTGCACTGTGAGCAACGATCATGAGAACATAGAAATACCAACAGTACTTGTGGTAACAGGCGTAGTCCCGTACTTCAGTCAAGCTCCTCAAAGCTATATCGCTTTACCACCGCTGGCTGACTCCTATCTGAAGTGCAACGTCGAGATCTCCTTCAAACCACAAAGCTACGACGGTATAATTTTGTACAACGATGAATCTAATCGTGGAAACGATGCTCAAACTGGAGACTTTATCATGTTATCACTGGTTAGGGGCTACCCACAATTCAGGTAATTATCAATAATTAATTTCAAAGTATTTCAACCACATTATTAATGTATTATTTTTATGCATTTAAGTGGACAAAAGTACATAAAATATCTATTTATGTAATTTTTTTACTCTTTTTCATTTCTCCAGTTGTATAAGAACACAAATTTCCTTAAATACTCGCAGTCCATTAATAACAATTTTTCTACAATAGCTTTGATCTCGGCTCTGGACCAACTATAATTCGAGCAGAGAAACCTGTAACACTCGGAGAATGGCATACTATAAAGCTCCAACGTCACAGGAAGGAGGGAACCATGTTAGTCGATGGTGAAGGACCTTACAAAGGTATTGCAGCGGGAAGAAAGCAAGGATTGGACGTGAAGTCGTTATTATTTGTCGGTGGAGTGCCCAGTGATAAAATAATCTCCAAGTATGCAGAAATCAACAGCGGTTTCGTTGGCTGTATCAGTAGATTGGTGATCAGAGAGAAGGAAATTGATCTAATTGGTGATCAAACAGACAGCTTTGGAATTACTAATTGTGAGACTTGCGCTGAAAATCCTTGTAAGAACGGTGGTGTATGTCAAGAAGCTGCTACGAAGAATGGATACGTTTGTCTATGTCGTGCTGACTACAGTGGAAAGCACTGTGACTATGTCGGCCAGTCTTGTTACCCAGGTAAGACGGTTTTCAATCATTCTGTCTTTTTGCGTTTTCTTCTTGAGTATATCTATACAGTCACGGTTATTTTTGACTCCAGGTGCGTGTGGTGAGGGCGATTGCGTGAACAAGGAAACAGGCTTCGAATGTTACTGCCCTTATGGAACAACTGGAGCTCGTTGTGAGAACACGATGAAGATCTACGAACCAGCCTTCCATGACGATAAATCCTTCATAGCACACGAAACGCCTAAAGCTCTCAGACGGTAATTATCTGCATGATGCATGGCGCATGAGATTAAAAAAGTTAGCCCAGTTTCTCTGTTGTATGCGTCCTTTATTTTTTATATTTGTCAGTAGAAAAGAGAATTAGAAAGTTTTTACCTTAGAGTTTTCTCACATGTTAAACGTTTGATTATATACGTATGTGTTTAAATGTTAATCGCAAAGACTCACTGGAGGATCCTCAGGCGCGCATTGACTCGCTCCCAGTTGAAAAGAAATCCCTGATGTTAATATTGAAATAATGATTTTCAGGCCGAGAATGTACCAAACAAATCATCCATTACGAGCACGCAATGCACAAGTTAGAAAGCCACGATCGAGGCCACATCACCATAATAAGCTGCACCACACGAAACATTAGTCCTTCTTTTCCACAACCAAAACCTCTTTGATGCACGTAATAATAGAAAAAGAGAAAACGAAAATGAAGGAAAAGTCATTTATTACTATTAAATGTTTGTAGAGAACGAATCGATTCTTACGTAACTGCTATTTATAGTTGTCAGTGAGCATATATATGTTATATGTGTATTATATATATTTTTTTTATGAGAATTTTATTTACAATTAATTAGATCTTTTTTTTCCTTTGTGTCTGCCTCATATGTGTCATAGATGATTATGTTGAAGCCTGTATAGTGAGTAGTTCCTTGGAATGAACCTCATGGTGCTGTAATATTAGAATATCAGTCAATACTTACGTTCTACTTTTCATGTATCAACCCTTTACAGGCCCAAATAATTATTCTAATAACAACTAATTATTTCAAAAACAATTCTTGTTGATAGAGCTCTCTTATCTTTCAACTCGTTGGATTTTGGACTGTAAAGGGTTCTTTTGTACAGCTTCTTAAATAATACATTTTAACGCATTGTGTTAGTCATTTTTAATTATTGTTTAAAGTAAGCCATTAATAAGGTCACTGCCAAACAAGAAATGCATTTTACAATAATATCAAGAGCTTATTGAAAAGATTATTAGTGTTGTGGCATTGTACGTGTATCAAGTACACATTCAACACATTTTTACACACACACACACACACACACACTTTATATCTGGCACATCTTGAAATGTTTGTACTTATTTTGTAAGAACCTGTTTGATGTATGTGCCATAAGTGATGTGTTTCTAGGGCCAAAATGACCGTTTATATGTATTCGACGGCTTCGAGCGATGCTATAAATATAAATATATGTCTTGAGATGCAAATAAAAATTGATTTAACAGGATTTTTGTCATTTTGCTGATCACCTGTCTTCATAGTAATTTGTGAATATCAAGGAGGTAAGTTATGCATATCAAAAGAAAAACTTGTTTACCTCTCCCATTAACATTAATATTTTCTCTTACTAACAGGAACTAATTTCTACATCTACATTAAATACAAACAGCGGCTTTAACGTTTCCAACTTTAACGTTTCCAATTTTATCACAGGTTGAAAGTGGCAATGAACTTCAATCCTATGGACAATCAGGACGGTATATTGATGTACTGTGCCCAAAGTGAAGAAGGACTTGGCGACTTCGTGGCCCTAATAGTTAAGGATGAACGCGTCGAATTTCGATACGACATTGGCTCCGGTCTGGCGATTATTAGGTCAAATCACGTTCTTCAACCTGGCGTGTGGACGCACGTCTCTGTGAACAGAGATTTCAAGGAGGGGAACTTGACTATAAACGGAGAGCCAACGATTGGAGGAAAGTCTCCGGGAACAGCCCGCACCATGACGCTCAATACACTTCTTTACATTGGAGGTGTTGATCGCAGGAGAATCACGGTGAACAGAAATGCTGGGGTGGACAGAACTTTCCGTGGTTGCATCAGTGATGTAAGCTCATCATGAACTTATTTAGAAGGTTGTCGATAGGGTTATTCAAATTAAAAAATCTTCTATTATGTCCTTTTAGCTCGGAGTGTCCTCGATGAACGTAGATATACTGAAGTCAGCCTGGGATTCAGCAAACATAGACGATTGTAACGTTCTGCATCCTAATCAGACCAAACTGACTACTGTGATCACTACTCCACCGTCAACTACAACTCCCTATGATCCATGTGCCTCCAATCCTTGCATTCACGGGATGTGTCAGAGCACTGATTCATATGACTACTCGTGTACCTGTGAATACGGCTACGTGGGAAGAAACTGTGAGAATATTCTAAAGCAATGTGAACTGCTTCTTCCCTGTAGAAACGGAGGTACGTGCACGGACCTCCACGGATCATACAAATGTGATTGTCGACTGGGCTTCACTGGGCAGAATTGTGAAAAGTGTAAATACTTCAGTGAATTAAAATTTCAAGATTGACTGCAAGTTATTTTACAATTTTGCCAATTCTTCTTTAATTTCCAGTGACAGAGGTGACTTACGATGTTGCGTTCAGAGGAGACGGTTGGTTGGAATTAGATAAATCGGTGATGATTCACGAAGAAGAGCGCGAGGTGCTAGGTTTTGAAATTTCAACGAATAAGACCAAAGGATTGATCATGTGGTATGGACAGACACCAAATGATTTAAATCCTGATCATTACATGGCTCTTGCCGTGGTTGATGGGTAAATTAACAAAGTTAGAAATATATTCTATTTTTATTTTTTTTTAAGATATTTTATATATTCTATTATTTTCAGTTATGTAGAATATCAGTATGACTTGGGTACGGGACCAGTTGTGATTCGTGTCACTGCACAGAAGGTAGACGATGGGGAACGGCATAGGATAATCCTAAAGCGACAAGGCAGCGATGGAAGTATAGAATTAAATGGGGAACACATGGAGAGTGGTGCCAGTTATGGGACACAGCAAGATCTGAATGCCAGGGGTAGCGTGTACTTAGGAGGAGTGCCTGACTATGCCATGACCTATGGAAAATATCAAGAAGGATTCTCTGGCTGTATTTACGCCATGGAGGTACAAGATTCTGGGGCCATAGACATTGGAGAGAAAGCAATAAGGGGGAAAAACGTTTCACCGTGCACTAGGTAAATGATATGATAATTAATAAGAAATAATAGGAGAGAATCGTAGAAATTATATAAAATGGCCTGTTAATTTTTCATGCTGCTCAGAGCAAGATGGATACCTTCTTCTTTGGTATTTACTAATGCGGACACGGATATCTTTGATGCGTTTGTTCCTCCACCTCCTGTCAATATAATCCACCCTAAACCAGCGGCGAATTTAGCCGCGTACAATATCAAACGTTATTCGTTGTTAATAATACTTCAAAATTTGCTCGCAATCACCATGAATATTCGGGAGCAGAGCGTGCTTTTCACAGTATTATGCATAGACACTATAAACGCGATGAAATGTATACTGTGTTAGGTCTTGCTTAAGTGAATATGTGCCCCTTCATTAATCGCTTAACAATGAAGAGACACGTATTCAATGGCAACTTGCAAAATTAATCCAGTTTGTATATTGTTCAATGCTTCGTTAACGTCGGGGGGTAAGATGAATTATTAAAATTTTAACAATCAGAGATTATTATTATTTTAGTAACTTTTTTTCTTTATTTCTATGTGTTTTATAGTCATTTGGGCGATAGACTTCCAACGAGAGGCGACCTTGGAAAGATATGGAAGTGGTTTGTTTGAATTATGGGACAGTTATTACCCACATTGTAAAAACAGGTGATACATACAAGCGTTTTATATCTGTACATGTATAGGACACGTTTCTGATAACATTTTATGACCAAATTAACTACTTTTATACAGTTTTTTGGTTTGATATAAAGTATGATAGATTCTTTCCTCATTTTCCCTCCTATTGTTTACATTTATTACTGTAAATAATCCCTTCTTTTATTATTTAGATTTTATTCAACAATACCTTTAAATTGACTGCGTCATATTCAAGATGTGAATATTGAGGCGCTAGAATAGATGGCAATAATATTATATTACATCACACATAAGTTTCCACTGCCATTATCTGATTTGTTAATTCCCGATCTTTCCACTAAGCATTAGCAATGGCTTGTAATTCTCGTTATAATGTTATAACAGTTTATCTTTGAAGTGAGAATAAGGCTTATTTTAAACGTACAGAAAATCATGAAAAAGTTATATACTGAAGTGAAATTTTCCTGGACCAACGATTGGCCCTGTTATTGATAAATAGTTTGACGACTTCTGTACCAGATGTTTCTTCTTTCTTTTTATTGAAACACTTTAAACTCCATTTATGTGATATTAATGAAGGAAAGTTACTTGCAAATATTCGCATAGTTAAGACACGGTGCTAGTAAGATGTGCTGCTAGTTCTAAGGAAATTTATATTCAATGAAAATGCGACGAACGTGTAAATACTTACAGTCTCCCAAATCTTAGCGTTTTCTTACATTCTATGTAATCGCTACTTCTCAAACAAAATAAGAAAAAAAGAATAGATACGGAGTAGATAAAAAATATGGCAAAAGACATACATATATACAGATTCACATTGTTATGTACATTGTTATTTCTTTATTCATGAATTATTACATTATCATTAAGTTTTTTTTAACAATGCGTCTGCGTGTTAAATTGTCAATTAACAAATGCATATTCTCTCACATGGAAAATAGTAGCAATCTTGGGCATTTTCTAGATTTATATGACAAACAAAATGCGATAATATAAATCTCATATGATTCGTGTCTAATGCACAATACAATAACTCGATTCGTTTTTTGTTTTCTCAAGTAGTTTTTGTTTTTTACTTATAAACGATAATGTTAATATGTTATTTTCTAGTTTAAATTTTTCTTACAATGATATAAAATAATATAGACCATAAATCATCGAGGTAAAATCAGTTGTTAATATCAATATATCAAAAAGCTTTGTCGATACTGAAACATTGTAAATGATCATGTACAGACTTAATGAAATTGTAAGTACATTGCTGGAATTTATAGAACCTTATAATCCAACATCGAATGAATGCTTTTTGAATGTCAATGCAAATGTTAGCTGCAGCATTATATTTATTATTCTACATTTCGTATATATACATATATATGCGCGCGTGTGTATGTGTGTGTGTATATATACATATACACATATGTAATAAGCGTAAATATAAAAAGGAAGTGTATAATCCATCAACTGAAAGTAATCATACATGAAAGTGTAGTCTATTATTATATGAACAATTCTTCAAAATGAAATGAGACAATAAATATAATTTTGTTAAGAAATTATATTATTCTATCTTAATTACTTCAATATTGTAGTAAAAAAGATTATTAATACAAATAACTAAGATTAATAAAGATAATTAAGATTAAACCTGAGAAATTGACACAGAGAGAGTGTTTCAAACACACACTGGCTGCTATAAATTCAGTTTGTAGCCAGCTATAAAAGGCAGTCCTGTACTAACTTTCTTCTGGTATGCTACATAGTCCTGTCCAAAGAAATTAAGCAAAGTAATTTCTTCAATTAAAATACGATCGTGAAAGAACTTCCAAGATGCCATAGTGTACGCAAGAAAACAAAATGGATTTTGTAGTATCAGCTACAAAGACAAATACAAAATTTACTTCCATATATATTTTAACACAATATTACAAATATCTAATGGTTCCAAAAATCATACCTGCGTTCCTAGAGACCAATAAAACCAGCCCACATAACTAGGATGCCTGCAAATACCGTAAACCCCGTAAGTGATCAGTTCATGATCATCCATCTTTTCACTCTGCACAATGTGATTGAAATTGTGCTTAGCCGTAAACATTGCCAATTTCCTCAGAATTTCTCCACAAATGCATAATATTAGTCCAAAGTACGATATAAAGGAAGATTCTTTCATCACAGGAAAATATTGTCTTTCTACAACAAATTCTATCCAACTAGAACATGCTGCCACACCGTAAGCTATGCTATGATTTAAGATAAAACTGTCGATAGAAAGAGTAGAAGGGTTTATCCAAGCTATGCTTAAGAATTCTGTGTAATGAAACATAGCTAATACAGTTATGTATATTCCGAACATTTGCCACGAAGATGGTGCAATCAAGGATATGATAATCCCAATGCCAAAGACATATCCTAAGAAAACTGCTCTTACAGCAACCTATTAAATATAAATATTAAATATACATTAATAACTTAATGATTATTCACAAATGATCATATAATTGTTATAATAATAATATATAATATAAAATACCTGGTAAGAAAAGCCACGAAACGTAAGAAGTAAGAGTATATTTAAAAATCCAAGTTGAAATAAATGTGTGAGCCAAACATTATTGAAATATACTTGGAGAATATTCAATTCTAACCTCAACAATACTTCTGATACGATTGCGATTACAGCAGCAACGATAAAGCCAAAAAAGCTAAGTTTTCCGTCGTAACACAACATTTTCTAAAGTTCGTGTAATTTTTCTCTACATAAATAAATTCACCATTTCAAATATTATTTGTAGGTTAGATTCTAACCTTATTTTAGCCATAAATTACTTATAGTTAATTGAGACGGTTTCCCACAAATTTTGAGAATACAGTTTTCTTAGATTGGATAAATCTTACAAATCGTGTTTCTCGTTATCTTTTACATTTAAAAATTAACAATAAATTATGTAGAAATTTGAACTTCATTTTTTACAGATTATTCTTTATTCACAGACATTGAAAACAAACTTGTACTACATTTTCTTATAAAATTGGAAGTATTTCAATTACTTAAAATTGAAATTAATACTTTTTTTTATTACAAGGACAATTCTATAATTTTATCAAGATTTTAAAATCAGAAATTTACGTCCAGTTGCTTAAATAATAAAACATATTAACAATTAATAAATTACAGTGAAAATAAATTATTGTAACAATTATCATATATGATTATTATTTGTACTACATTGTATTTTATAATCTTTAGAAATAATGATTTACAATAACTTAATCGCTTGCGATAAGGATCACAATACCACAGACGAGGAATATCTGTCCTTGTCGCACTGTAGTGACCTTGTCTATCGCACAAATATGTCTGTCCTTGTCACACATTATCGCTCTCCTTATATACCGCGCACATGTCTATCCTTGTCGCACGCTGTTGTATCCTTGTCTACCGCGCCTATATATCTGTCCTTGTCGCACGCTGTTGCTCTCCTTTTCTACCGCGCAAGTATGTCTGTCTTTGTCGCACGCTGTTGCCCTCCTTGTCTACCGCGCCTATACGTCTGTCCTTGTCGCACGCTGTTGCTCTCCTTGTCTACCGCGCGTATATGTCTGTCCTTGTCGCACGCTAGTGCCCTCCTTGTTTAATGACGCTAGACAAGGAAAGCAATAGTGTGCGACAAGGACATCCTTCGATCTATTGAAAAAAAAATTCAACTTTTTACACACACGTTTTTTTAGGACAAAACACATACAGAACGAAAGCGGGGAGCCTAATTTTAAGGAGGTATATAAAAAAGTTCGCAAATTATTCCTCTTAATTAGGTTTTTGTCATAATTAGTGCGAACTGTCACAAAATGGACATGGTGGCGCCATCTAGCGGTAAGTCAACGGTACTAATTATTTATAAAAATACTTATTTCTGCATTTTACGGGTCAAATGAGGTATGAAAAGAAAGCTAAGGGTCTAATTAGGGTAATACAATCGCCAAAGTTCACAATTTACTTCGCTAAATTAGGTTTTTTCGCAAATGAAAATTCCTCTGTTTTACGGGCTAAGAAACACTAGCGCCGCGTTGTGGCACACCGGTGGAACTAAACGCTCTATAACCACATAAGGGGAATAATTAATTTTAATTTTTCACGCTACTAATTTGCACTCCACGAGCACATATTTGATAGATAAAACTGTCAGTTACGTTTGCAAATAAGTCTGAATCTAATATTCACTATAGTTTGCACGAAATTATGCACTCACTACTGGCACTACTGCTAACGTAAACGAAATTCAAACATTCTTTATATACGTAAACTATACTTAAACAAAACATAAAACGCAATCTAAGGGTCTCTAAAATCGAAGACGCAACCATAACAGTTCACAAATGATTCCTCTTAATTAATTTCTTCTCGTAATTTGTGGAAAATTTGTCACCTGTCAATGATTGGAGGCAACGGTGGCGCCATCTATTGACAACTTGATGGTACTAAAAGCAGTAAAATTCTGTTTTTAGTACCACGGAGCTATCAATAGATGGCGCCACCATTGCCTCTAAACCGCGGCAAGTTACTGGTGGCGCCATCTACTGACAGCTCGGTGGTACTAAAACCAGAATTTTCTACTCTTAGTGCCACCGAGTTGTCAATAGATGGCGCCACCGTTGCCTTCAAACATTGACAGGTGACAAATTTTCTACAAATTACGAGAAGAAATTAATTAAGAGGAATCATTTGTGAACTGTTATGGTTGCGTCTTTGATTTCAGAGACCCTTAGCTTGCGTTCTATGTTTTGTTTAAGTATAATTTACGTATATAAAGAATGTTTAAATTTCGTTTACGTTAGTAGTAGTGCCAGTGGTGAGTGCATAATTTCGCGCAAACTATGGTGTATATTAGATTCAGACTTATTTGCGAACGTAACTGACAGTTTTATCTATCAAATATGTGCTCGTGGAGTGCAAATTAATAGCGTGAAAAATTAAAATTAATTATTCCTCTTATGTGGTTATAGAGCGTTTAGTTCCACCGGTGTGCCACAACGCGGCGCTAGTGTTTCTTAGCCCGTAAAACAGAGGAATTTTCATTTGCGAAAAAACCTAATTTAGCGAAATAAATTGTGAACTTTGGCGATTGTATTACCCTAATTAGACCCTTAGCTTTTTTTTCATACCTCATTTGACCCGTAAAATGCAGAAATAAGTATTTTTATAAATAATTAGTACCATTGACTTACCGCTAGATGGCGCCACCATGTCCATTTTGTGAGAGTTCGCACTAATTATGACAAAAACCTAATTAAGAGGAATAATTTGCGAACTTTTTTATATACCTCCTTAAAATTAGGCTCCCCGCTTTCGTTCTGTATGTGTTTTGTCCTAAAAAAACGTGTGTGTAAAAAGTTGAATTTTTTTTTCAATAGATCGAAGGATGTCCTTGTCGCATACTATTGCTTTCCTTGTCTAGCGTCATTAAACAAGGAGGGCACTAGCGTGCGACAAGGACAGACGTATACGCGCGGTAGACAAGGAGAGCAACAGCGTGCAACAAGGACAGACGTATAGGCGCGGTAGACAAGGAGGGCAACAGCGTGCGACAAAGACAGACATACTTGCGCGGTAGAAAAGGAGAGCAACAGCGTGCGACAAGGACAGACGTATAGGCGCGGTAGACAAGGATGGCAACAGCGTGCGACAAGGATAGACATGTGCGCGGTATATAAGGAGAGCGATAATGTGTGACAAGGACAGACATAGTTGTGCGATAGACAAGGAGGGCAACAGCGTGCGACAAGGACAGAAACAGATTTTAGTTCTATTGTTTTGCCACAACGCGGCGCTAATGTTTTCTACCCTGTAGGTACTATGATGATAATTATTTTATATCAGTAATTTTGCGACAAGAACCGAATGCGAAGACACGTAACAACTAAAATTCAAAGTACTACATTTGCAATAAAATTTAAATATGGATAAATTATTTTAATATTCATTTTTTCGAACATTAATTACGCTACTTAATTATGATTCTAATATTCGTAAATATTGCTGTCGATATTTGTGACATCCTTAGATTATAAGAAATGTTTAAAGCAGAAAAATAATATTTAGAAAATATTGAGATATAAATATAAAATTACATTCTAAATTCCTGTACGAAAATATTTACTGAAGATATAGATTATTTAATTTCTTGGTTAGTGGAACAATCATTTCGTATAATTTCTAACAATGTATATAATAGTCTACTCCAGAATATGTTTCGCTCCAATTCACATCTTGCACAGTAAATTCTTTTTATTAACAATCCAACTTATAGATAAAGAATGACGGCGTCGCACTAATTACTCAAAAAATATTTTTTAAACGATGGAAGATCTACTATTATTTTCCATTGCGAGACAAACAATACGCCTGATGGACCGTATTATTAAAACGGGTGACATCAATACGGGAAACTCTACTATCCACTTCACTAACGTTTGACGTGAGTACGCTCGCCTTACTACCAGTGTACTATTCTTACTAGAAACACCAACACAATCAAACATTACAACTACATAGCAATCGCGAATAAAATAGCGATGGGTTTAACCAAACGACTGGTTGAACAATTTTCCATTAACTCAAGCTATCTTAACTCACACTGCTCGGTGCAAAGATTTTTTCAACGAACAGATGCAACCGCACTAAACAAATCAGTATTTATCATTGCAGAGAATTTTACTGAAGTCTTTTCATTGTAGGAAATTTTACAAGAATTGTCGAGCAATCGTCGCACCCATCGCTTACATTCAGTCCAAGCCCGGCTCGAAAGTGTCGTCGGCATATGCGTGTACTCACCGCTCGTACTACGTCCCCAATGTGCTCTACGAACATTCTTACCCACACTGTGAAAAGTGGAATGCACATGCACGGTGGGAATAGCACCACCACAACTCTTTATTTCTATTCATCGCCGTTCAAGATGGAGAGAAAACAACGTATGTTTTCTGTAAGGTGGTTGTAAATGAGAAAATCGACCGAAAGAACGTGTCCCACTATTGAGACAGCGACTTCTTGATGAGAAATGGCGAAATCTGTCTTGAGCTCGGACACACTGCCAAAGGCAGGCCGAGTAAACGAAGGTACGATGCATTTTTTCCAACGCCTCTTGTTACTCTTGAGTCAGAGTCACTTCGTTCGACTGACATGTCTAATGAGCATTCCTTCGACGGTGTTGCAGTGTGTCGTGAATGGCTGGTGCATGAAGACGGAGCTCTTGCGTACCGTCTCCAAGACGAAGAAAGTAAGAGTACCACCTCTAGTTTCTGTGATATCCTTGATTTCCACTGAATATTTTCATTGTCTTGCTATATCTTATTAGTTAGGGAACACTACACGGGCAACAAGATCCGCAATGCGCAAGTTAGGGAGGACTTACCAAGGGCCAAGGTTGAGCAGGAGTTGGAAGAGCTCAGATATCAGTCCTATATTCAACAGCAGTTAGTATTCAACCCTCAGATTGCACTGGGCTGTGTGAAGGTTTACACCTCATTGCAGTATTTCTGATTTCAGAGAGGAAAGAGACGCCCTTGTTGCAAGACAGATCGCATTATCTCTGGAACGAGAAGAAAGGCAGAGAGAACGAGAGTTGCAAGAGCAGATGAGGCTGCAATTGAGACTGGATGACGAAGCTGCGCAGCTTGAAATGAAACGACACATTCAAGAAGTAAAAGACGAGGTATTTTCAGAAAATATTTCAACTTTGTATCTACAGTGCCGTGATTTAACTTTTTCACTTGTTTGTTGAATGTAGGAATTAGCGAAGAAACTGCAGCAAGAAGAAGAAGAAAATGCTGTGGATAATCACGACGGCCCCGTTAATGAGCAACTGCTGTTAGATCAAAAAATTGCGATGGAGGCGCAGGATGCGGAACTAGCGCGGATGCTTCAAGAAAAGGAACGAGCGAAGATAAGAAAAGCGAGACAGAGAGCAAGACAAAGGAAGCTAGAACGGCAGCAGCTTCAAGAATTAGAGGAGCAGAATCTTGCGGAGAAACCTCAACGACCTGACAGGCTAGAATTGAAAGGCAATACACAAGGCAAGACTAGAGTTCAGTCAACCTTAAATTACCCACAGTATCCTGATCCTGAAGAGATACAGACGCTGGACGAATCTAGCGAAAATGTAAGAGAGGTGCAAAACGTAGCTGCAATTATTGATCCTACATACAATGGAAATACGCATAGAAACACTTCAAGTAGCTCAAGTAGCACAGTAAGTCCTACGTATTCATTGCCTACACCTCCGCAGGAGCTTATGAATGATGATGCTCCGTGTTACATGCCTATACAGGGACAACGAAGAAATCAAATGCAATCCCCGTCCCAAACTCACGAAGAGAAACATAAACGTCGAGTAAAAGATGGTTGTAAACAGCAGTAAAGATAGTCTATTAAATCTATCTCTGTATCTATAAGAAATATTTTTCGATAGGATATTTTCGTTGCCATGAAGAGACGATATATAAGTTACTTCTCATAAGTTACGTAGAAATTCTTACTGTATATGCATCTAACTTGCAAAGATTTTTCCATTTTTCGTTCACGAAGAGATATACTTAACGAAAGCAATATAAAGATAAATGTGCCTTTTAAAAAGGTACGGTGTAAGGAAATGAACAAATATCGATAACTAATTAGCATTTGATAACGAATTACACCGTCCTGAATCTTAGATCTGCCTTTTTCCATGTATGTTTATATCGAACTCGAGAATATATATTATACAATGATATCAGAGATTTTTATAAAAAAAAAGAATGAAGAATAAAAGAAGTAGACAATCAGAATTAAGATTAAAAAGAGAAGATTAATTGTATCAAGCAGTGATGTACAAATATCAATCATTTAGACTGAATATCAAATGATATAATTGAAAGAGATTTTAATCGAGTTTATATATACAATTATTGCTCTCTAAATTTAATATAGATTTAACATACGTACGAATTTCCCAAGCTTCTTTTTTAAAGCAAAATTTTTTTTTTTTTAATTTTTAATTAAGGCGCAGAACCTTGAGAAGAATATATACTGCCAAAGAGGACATTTGTAACGTTCATTTTGTACCAGACAAAGTTTAGTATTAGCAACGCAAGAACTTTTTTTTTCTTAAATATTCAATACGCGTTATAAAACAAGTGCTTGGTAAATTAAACAATTTTGTGTAAGCTTTACTTTAGGAGATACTATATGATCATAATACAATTTTTACTGATCTATTATAACGTAGATGCGGCGCAATTGTAGTATTATTATTTAATGTCGCTTCAGTATTTAAGTTTAACTAGGTACTTATTTATGGTGATTGGAAATTTATTCGATAGCGATAATATGTATTAATTTCTTTTTACATTTATTGTATGAATACAGCTATACATGGGTACATTAATAAATTATTTACAAAGTTATGATACAAGTTTTCATCAAAAGTTCCCATACAAATATACGTCACAATAATTCATTCCATGAACTTACTGCATAAAAAAAAAAGATCACTTTAATGTAACCAAATATATTTACCAATTGGATATATAAAAATAATGAATCTTATAATTTAAAGTGAGAGAAAGTTCTTTTCACTTTGTTATAATACATTTTCGAAGTTCTTTACTGTTTTAATATTCAAAAAAATACAGAAGTAAATTAAGATTTTCTTTTTTTCTTTGCAAATTGTTCACATACTGTGTAAATTTAATATTAATTAGAACGAGTTGCTTGACAGGCACAAAAAAACACTAATTAAACTAGTCAAACAAGATTATATTGAATAATCTTCTAGATAAGCCATGTTAATTTTCAAAAATATATTCTTCGCAAAATAAACGTATGTTTCAAACTTTACATATGATACGAGATTATTCACTGATAAAATATAGCTATTGTAACTGCCATTACTATTATCAAATTAATAATAAAAGACTGTCTCCTTTCATTTTGTTCTGTATTTTAGAAATGAATCTTGCTCTGTGATAAACTTCGCATCATTATGATGTAACAAAAGTTTCGTTTCACATGGTCCCACATATCATAATCTCTAATGCATCTTTCTTCCTCTCCGTGTAATTAAATTCAAAAAGCAACGTTACTTTTTTTACATATTATCCACTGTACACGTTTGTTAAAAGAAAACCACTGTATATGATCCATCATAGATTGTAGATTGTAAATTATTTAAAATTAGATAACTGAATGTACGATTGAGCAAAAAATGGTTAAAAAAAAAAAATTTCGTAAAATTACATTTAATCTGTTGTACTTTTCGATCTCTTGGGTAATACAAACTTCATTCTACAGCGGTGTATATAATAATGATCCGGTTCTTTCACATTTATGGTCTTTCGTAAGTTAGTCCGTGTTTCTTGTTCGTTCTCTTTCTGTTCCTTATCTTCGCGCAAAATCAGAATGGAGTCATTTATCCTATATAGAAATTAAGAAAAAATTTTAATATCAATTCTGTACATTTAAAAGGTAATGAAGAAGCATATACATAAATAACTAGGTCCTTAGCTAGCAGAAGTGTGAGTGAACATGTTGTAAAGCATTGGATGTGTACAATTGTAGAGCTACGCTTAGGTAGGAGAGAGAAGTAAGCTAATAGATTCTGAAAAAGAGGCAAATTAATTTAATTGAAAAGTAACCACCTACGAATATCAGAAGCCATGGTCCTTGATCTCGTATGGGGCGGTGAAAACATGTACTTTGGAACTTCTCCAATGGCTGTAAATAAAATTTCAAACGATTAATTAATTATCCTAATAATCAATTACATTATACAATGTACCTTTTTGATCCAATGGCTGATCGTCCGTTTTCTCTGGCTGTGAAAATGAAAATTCATTAGCTGCCTTAGCATCTTGTTTCGCCGATTGTTTTCGACCTCTTCTTGACTTCGGTGTCGCTTCATTCGCTTCCTGAGCAGTTGTTTCGGATACACGACGCTTTCTCTTTACAGATACGTTCTTAGAATTAGAATCATCCGCTGGACTCATAGTTTCCATCATTTCCTCCTCCATTATTGTCTGTTTGCAGATTTCTTTGCCAGTGGTTCTGGTTTTCCTGCTGGTTGTCTCTGCCTGAAATAGTTCCACACTTGCTGCTCTTCTCCGTCGAGAATTCTGCGCAGCCTCCTCTTGTTTCTTGCTTTCTGCAGAGACTCTCTCTTTCAGTGGTATACTTAAAATTTCCTCGAGCTCCTCTGGTATTGACTGAATCGACAATCTACGACTACGTGTGTTTGAGGCTGGCTTACTCTTTATCTGTTCCATCACCAAATACTGTTCTTTCACCGGTTCTGATGGTTCAGACTCCTCTGAGATAATTTCCTTGGCTACACTGCTAGAGCTTCGAGTTCTTACCATGCTGACTGACTCTTTAGGGACTGAACTGCTTCGTTTCCTTGATGGCTTGGCAATACTAGACTCTTCCACTCCCTGTTCAGCTGTTCCAGATTTCTTTCTTGATTTCGTTGAGATTGTGCTCGATTTCCTTGCTCCTGCTGCAGATTGTTTGGCTTTTGAATTCTTAGTCTCTGTTTCAATCTTTTTCTCGTCATCTGGTGTTAAACTTGACGTCGACCGTGTTTCATTGTTTTTTGTCAAAGGTTTAACCAGATCTGGCAGCTCCTTCTGTACAGAAGCAGAACGTCTTGTGCTCCTTCTTACTGGAGTCCTGGCTTCCTCGCTTTCTGTCTCTACGGAAACATCCCTGGCCACAGATGATGCTCTCTTGCCTCTGGTTTTCCTTGGTGACGAAAGCCCGGATGATCCGGAAGAGCTCGTTCGCTTGGCATTTTCATCTGCAACTACTACAGACGCGATTAACACTTCTTTCACCAGCGAACTGGCTCGTCTCGATCGTGACGTCTTCACAGAACTCTTGGAAGGTGAATGTAAAGGTTCCTTGGAAGGCGAATTTATAGTTTCTTTCGATATAGATAAAGCACTACGTGACCTGGTCATTCTAGGCGTGACTTCTGGCGATACAGAGTCTAAATTAGAGGTATTGACACTGTCCTTTCGCTCTGTATGCCCCGATGAATCACTTCGAGCTGAATTTCTTCTTGTTTTCCTGCAGTTAGAATTGTTATTATCAAGTCGTATCGACTCCTCCTTCGTTTCACGTTTCTCTTCAGCTTCTTCCTCCTTTGCAGAGGATTTAGACTGGTTACGTATACTTTCTTCCTTATCTACGTGTGCAGTACTCCTCTGATGATCGACTAATATTTCTATGCTAGATTCGTCGTCTGTAATATTTGAGACATCGAAACGGATGTTGTCTGTATCTGCCGGTGCCGTTTTTATCTCCTGCGTTTCTGCGTTCTCCTCTTCATCCAAAACTAGGAACACTTCGTCGCTGTTTGAAGATTCGTCGTCAGTAATGTCGAAGAGTTCACCATTTTTTGAACTGACGCGTTTCTCATCGTGCCCGAATTCATTTTGCAATTTTTCATGAAACGATCGATGATGCTGTTCTTTGCCCTCCGAACGACTCAAGTTGTTAGAAACATCAGAAAGACTTTTGTATTCTTCCTCATTCTCTTCGTTAACGTTCTCCAAGGATTTAGAGCTTGAGAGATCCCTGCTTGTACATTTACTTTTTACATTTTCCTGTAATCTGTTACTGTCATTAAATTCTAAATGATTCGATTGATGCATATTGTCCAAGACGTTTTCTCTATTCTCACAAAATGCTTCTGGAACAATGTTCTCTTCAACTTCTGCGTCGACTGATTCGTTAGGGCCACGATTTCTGGACATGGAACTCTTTATCGAGGGTGTTGAAGCCACGAGGAAATTATAGTTAGTATTTTGTTGTCTAGTGTCACTGAACCTTTTCTGAGGGAGATTCGTCTCGAAGCTGCTGTTTGGAGAAAGTATTGTAGGGGAGTAAGTAGAGAAAGATAATGTAGACAATCTTTTGGTTGTTTGTGGCGTGCCCTTTAACAAGCAGCTGTCCGTCAGATTGACCGGAGGAATGTTCAAATGAGAGTTTACAGAATTTCTTGTACTTGAACAGTTGGCCAAAGACTCGTTTATGGATTCTGTCGAAGTTTGTAGGTAGGTCCTTCTGAGACTCGGTCTGGGCCGAGCTGTGTACACGTTTTTACAAGTGTAGCTACTCTCTGACAAAACTGGACTCTCAGTCAGACATTTGTCACTCGTCGCTGGACTTACGAACATCTCCTCATTTTCATCAGTAGCGTTAAGTTTGGAAGAATCTTCTTCTCCGTTAGCCTCGTCCTGGAAACTGCTCTTCTTTGACTGACTAATATTAAATCGTATCTGTCGATTGACTTTACGTTCCCTGTCCGACAACGGACTATCCGTGATGTCATCCTCCACGTTGGCAGTAGTCGGGGACGTAGAGGATCTTATAAGTTGCCGAATTTTCAGAATAGAGTGCGGAGTTTCAATCGGAGTGTCTCTGTTGTTGGATATTCTTCGTTTCACCAATGGCGTATTAAATGCTGCGCTCAATGCTGCCTCACCATCATCCACTAACTTCCTACGCTTTGTTCTCTCCGGCGTTCTCATACCACTGTTCTCCTCATCCTGTATTACCTCCTCCAAGGTCCGTTTCTTATTGACTTGTATTACTTTGGGAGACATTACACAATTTATATTGATCTTATCGTTGCATGTCTTCAACGTGGCGCATGGAGCAGTGACGAACGGGATTACAGACTTCTCCGCCCTGAGATAGGTCTCCCTTGCCTTCTTAATAACCATTTCATAAATACTCGCGGTTTTCTGAACGCTTTTGTTGTGCGTCATAGGTCTAGGGTATCTGGGCTCTAAATCCGTATCCAAGTTCGTTTTACCCATGTATATGGAAAATCGTTTCACTACGTCAGGCAAAGTGGCATTATAGGCGTTTAACATATCGAAGTGTACATTCTTCGAGCTGAACAAAGTGGCGGAGTTTCCACTATTGGCTTCCATGTAACGGCAACGTTGCAAATAATACAATAATTTTATATCCTCGGACTTGGAGTCCTCCAGAAACTTAACGAACATTTCCTCCTCTTCAGAATCCAGGGCCAAATGTAAAATATCGCCGAGTTTGTCATAATTTTTGCAGGCTTGAAAGAAGCACATTAGTAATTGTGTGTAATGTGACTGTGGTCTACGATGGAAAGCAGACTGAACCAAACCATGCTCCACCGATAAACTTATTAGCGTGCTCTGTTCTTGAATGGACGACAAAGGAGGCTTCTTTATGCGTAGATACATCAAAGCTAACTTATGCTGACTATTTCTTATCAATGTTTTTAGCACGAGTTTATGATGCCAGTCCTTGATATCAGAATCACTGACTAATTGACCGGTCATCATGTCCAAGAAACCCTGATAATCCTCGTGATCGAGAAGCCAGAATGCTTGAGTGAGTTTTATGAGGCTGGGACTCATCTTGAAGGAGGAAGGATATTTGATCAGTTGATCCACTCCAGGGTAGGATCCCTGGAACAACGTAGCTAAGTCCATTAGAAGATATATGGTGATCTGATGTTTACATTCAATTTCGTTCGACTCTGACTGATCACAGTCAGTCAAATAACTTCTCAATAACGACTGCAAAGAAGGTGGAGGATAATAACCGTTGGTATTTAGATCTCCAGCTTCTCTCTCCCATTGTAGATTCAAGGCAGAGCATTCTCGATTTATCAGTTCGTCTATGAAGAGCACCTCCTCGTTTTCTTCTCTTGAATTATTGTTCTTAATCGATTCTCGTTTCTCTTTGTATAGGGCAAACAATTTCTCGAACGGATATGGAATTTTCAGAGCAAGAGAGATTGGCAAGGGATTTTCCTCTACATACTCCGTTTCAGGTAACATACCCACATCGTAAAACCATAGCAGCACTTGAAAATACATAGATACTCGCTTCAATGCTCTTCGTTGCTTGATTAAACTGCTCGTTTCGAAAGGTAACTTGGCTACTACATTGGACAGACATTCCAATTGCTGGTAACAGAATCTCAATGTTTTCACTTCGGATTCGCCTATATTATTACCTGACTGATCGAACAAAGGAACGCACAGGCGGTCAGCAATTATTTTTATGGAAGAGGCGCGCTGTATTCCCCACTTTAAGAAACTTGGATACATGTACGCGGCACTTCCGTCTGACCATTCTTTGGCACACCTGATCAAAAAGGTTGCCCAACGTTGCTCCAGGCAAAGGGACAATAACATATCCCTCTGAACATTATGATCGCTGGAAAATGAAATTTCCGTATTGAACGGAGTCAAACCAGCAGAAAGACACTTGTGAAATATTTCAGACGGTTGCGTTAACATAATAGGCCCTGTAAGGGCAATTTCACGAAGTAATTCGGCTTGAACACCTCTAGTGTACCAAAATATTAATTTCGACAAACTTAACTCTAACCATTCGAGAGACAACGAATTTGGATAAAATAATTCCTCCGATGAGTTTGAACTATTATTGGGAAATTCTTGCAGAGTATGAGGAATATAGGTACAACTTATTATTTCATTGCCGGTTACATTACAGGTTCTGTGACTTGTATTGTAACAGGCCAATATACTATTTGGATTCTTGCATTCACTGATGGTTTGAGGCATTTGCTCTTTATACCATTGATTCAAGTCAAATAACAAAGTTCTATTTGCAGTTGAAATCAGAAGCAGACTGTCTTCGCCTCTTCTACATTCTGACTCTGTTTGATCCAGACTAGTTCCTCTTTCGATTGTAGACAAACTAACCACTCTGTCTTTAGGATCTAATTCGATCTCGAATTTAAGGCCAGGCTCTGCTTCCAGATTGAAGTATAAATTGGTTCCTCTGTCACAGTATTTTCGTTCGAACAATAAGGCAAACATTCTCAAGAGGGGAGGTACCTTAGACGAATCGTCTTGAAAAACGACCCATAAATAGTAGAAAGGTCTAGGATCATCTGTTGGTTCTAATAATGCTAAATGCGTTATTATCATAGTTTCGTCCACAGGTGTGCTAATCCAACCCACGGAGCCATCGTTCTGCCATATTATTACTCTGCCCAAACATCCTGATATTAAACAACCAATTTTTGTTGAACTGATTATGGTATTCGTTAATTTTTCAGCTAGAAAAGCATTTGATTCAAAATCTTCTCTATTAAAGCCAATGTGTTTCTCTATACCTGTAAATATAAAAATACAATCGTGCATATCAAAATAGAATAATGACACAGCAAGAACCGAATTGTACTTACGTTGAGTTAACAAATTACAAGTCATATGTTTGCTATTGTCTCTGTGAAATGAACTTTTCGTTGTTAGAAACTGTATCTCGGCTGGAGAAATTTCATCCATTGTAACAGATAAATCAGGTACTTCCCAAGTAGATCTCTGAAGATCAATCATCAAATGATGAAGATTGCGTAATACTACACAAACTATGCCATCCATTTGCATAAGAATATTGTCTGGTCTTTTGTCATTAAACTCTTCCCACTCTGTTCCACCAGATACAATACAAACTTGTTCTACACCAGCTGGCATCTGTATATAATACATTAACATCAAATATTTTATTCTAAACACTCTGTGACATTGCTATACTTACTTTAATAGCTCTTAAAACCCGAGAAGAAGAGCAATCAAAGATGCACAATAAGCCCACAGAATCTTTAATTCTGCTTGCTTCGTTGTCTAAGCCAACAAGAAGTAAAGGCAGTTCTCCACATTGGGCAGGAAATTGACAGACACAAGTGATTTTTGCTCGAAAGGTCCACGAACTGGTACTTTCACCAGTTTTTGTATTAAGAACTACCAAGTGATAACCGTAACTTAACCAAGCGTACGTGGCATCGTTTAGAAAACCTCCATAAACACCATCGGGACCGTTATATATTTGTGAACCATTTGATGGTCCACTGTCATCTCCTTCTGCATTATTTAAACACTTGGTTATGGAATGCTGAATATCTATAACGTTGCGTATCTACATAAAAACAACATTGTTATTAAATCGAGAGTGCCATTCTTGATAGCATGATATGAAATAAATACTGCAGTAATTAAGCGGTACATTTTCAAGAAAAAACTCCATTGGGAAAGTAGAATTACCTCGCAACTAACTTCCACTACTTCTTTCATATTTTGCACAGAACGTTAAAATAGACGAAATAAGTAAAAATCATTTATAAACTTTCCTGCTAAGGTTACCATAAGGTTATGTTGCCGCCAAATTTCAATGACCTCGTTATGTATTTGCAATGACAATTGACACAACTTGGATATCGTATGTTCAACGTATCATCTGACAGAGTGTCCCGGAAACGATGTAATTTAGAAACATGCAGAAAAAAAAATTAATATGTTACATTTAAATTCGTTCCATAACTCGTGCATTCATTTTAAAACTGTAATTATACAACTGCGAAGTACGTTAGAAAGTGTTGCCAACAGAATTTGAATCAAGACTTCAAGTACTGCTAGCTACATGTCTTACCAATAACATTTGAATCAAAATATAATACAATTACGCAAAACATGAATGTAATTATACAAAAATGTACGATTCCCAACATTTCATAAATTATTATTTAAAATTATTTCTTTTCGCCCAAAATAAATATTAATTGTTCGAAAAATAAATGTACAATTCTTTTCAAGTTTCTATTATTTTCATCTATAGCAGCCTTAAGTACAATAATTAAATTTGAGTTTTGTTTAAATTATTGCGATCAGTTATAAATATTTCTTTCGATACACGTTATTTGTACCAGTCGAGAGCCTAGAATGACGTATCAAAAATTTGCAGAAATATCACTATATTAACACGAGCTTGGTGATATTTAATAATACAGCTGACCGATTGTATATAGATATTTGTATGTATATCATGACAATAACATTTACAATTTTGAATCGTATCTAATCCCATTGTGCAACAGTGCTTTTTATCACTAATAGTAATTTACAATGGTTTTTCTATCGAAATGAATTTCAAATATTACGAAGATTGTAACTGTTCGGCGTTGTCACAATTAACAGTCTAACCTCAATTGGAGACAGCCGCACGTTTGTCAAATTAGCTTGGAATAATTAGTATCGTTAGCGAAATACTAAGAAATGATTATTGCATTATAAAATGTCATATCAGGACTCGCCATTTTCAACTATGTACGGTCAAGACGATTACGATATTGACGAGGACAATGATGAATATTTGGAAGACGACAGGGATGGTGAAGAACAAGATGAAAGCGACGAAGGTACAATTAATTCATTAATTCATTAAAGATACAATCGTAGTTATTATGTTGCGGACAATCTGCGAATTTTCAGATACAGAGGAGGCAAGCGAGACGGATCTTGGCAAGTCTGAAGAGTATACGGAAATAAAGGAGCAGTAAGTAAAGAGATTTACATCATTGCGCTTTGGCCAACAATGACTTATTTGGATTTTTCCAGAGTTTATCAGGATAAGTTAGCTAGTTTTAAGAAACAATTGCAGCAATTAAAGGATGGCACGCATCCAGAGTACAATCGCAAATTGAAGCGCTTGGAAGCTCAGTACAAAGAAAGGTCTATATTCTCCAAGTATAAAATATACTCTGAGTACAGTTTATTCTTATGTTTGTTCTTTTAATTATGTCATTTAATTGCAGATTACGGTTGAACATAATTTACCGTGATTATTTGACAGAATGGGTAGAACGGGACTACATATTGGAAAAGAAAGCGGCGGTAAAGGAGTTTGAGGAAAAAAAGATAGACTTGAAGGAAAACTTGCTAACTGATATGGAAGAGAAACGTAAGATGATCGAATCTGATCGGCACACGATGGAACTCACAGGCGATTCAATGGAGGTATAAACTAAAGCATAATGGTGTTACGTATTGTTTGTATCCTTGTGTTATTTGTCTAGGTAAAACCTGTAATGACAAGGAAATTACGAAGACGACCAAACGATCCTGTACCTGAGAAAGTAGAAAAACGAAGGAAACCACCACCTGCGCAATTAAACTATTTGTTAGACGAGAAAGAAATAGAAAGCGATTTAAAAGCTATTAGTCGCGGTAAAGTACTGACCACTGTCAGAAAACCAGGTACTGACTGAAAATATCAAAGTAATGAAGAATTATTGTGAAGTTAATGGAGAATCATTATTTGTAGCAGTATTGCCACATTACAACGCAGTAAACATGCCTTCGCAACATATTCCACCGCCTTCTGATACGCCTATGATAGAGACTAGGATAGAGGATGGAAAACTTCTACATGAAAGACGATGGTAATTTTTTATCTCTCAGTATAAAAGAATTTCATGAATCTAAATGGTGAAATCGTAGGTTCCATCGCGGGCAACCAGTGTATGTAGAAGGGAAAGATTTAACCAGGTTTGCTGCGAATATTTCGGCGATAGGAACTGAAGCTGTGAGTAAATGATTATCAGTAAATTCATAAAATTTATTTGTTCTTTTTTTATTATATTGTTTTTTTCAATTATAATTTCTGAGTTTCACAGATCTGGGTTAAAAAAGTTTCGGATGGAAGCAAGGTGCGAATATATATATCTCAGCTAAGCCGAGGAAAGATTTCGATCAAAAGAAGAGCATCCTAATCCATCGTTACATTGGGATTTAAGTGTTCAATAATTGTTAAACTTGTGATATATTAGACTTGTAGTTTATTGAAGTTCTATTTTCAGGATTCAATATAACTCTTACTGTACTTGTTTTTTGCCACCAATAAAACCAGATCTTCTGATGATACTGTATTGCCATGTACATCCATATAAAATAAGAGAAAAGTAACAGGGACATCATAGCTAATAATAAATACGTTGTCCATCGTGCTGGGGGAAAGTTATCGTAATTAGTTTTCGCGTAAAAATCAGCTGCGACTATACAAATGTAAGAACATCCCATCGCCATAGGCGTAATAATAATGCTCCGAAGTAAATCAGCCTTCAAACTGCGAACATACAATTGATGTTGCTGTTGATTAAGAAACACCCAAATTATTATAGAATGTAGAACGTGGTAACGAGGAGTTCGCCTGACCTCGAACTGGTGTCCACATAATTCGCAACTATTTCTGTTACTTTCCTCTAGCCAATGTTCTAGGCATTTCAAATGGATTGCACCCATGGTTCCCTTCAAAAAATTTATTTTATTTTATTTCATACTCTTATTGAAATGTTAACAGTAGTGACATTTGGCCAACCTTACACTTGCAGGGATATATAATAGGTAATTGGTGAGAAGAATCATAGCAAATACGACAGTGCGTCGCTTCATTGAGAGATTCGTGCAGATTTAATTTCGGTCTTTTATTCGACTCGTGTTTTGAATTATATTTCCGTTTTATGGTCAAATTAATATTTGTATTTTTCTGGTTGGATTCGGCTTCGATTTTTACTATAATTTTTTCTAGAACATTTTCCACAGAACTCCTCTGACTGATCATTATAGATTATTTTTACTTGCTTAACCTGAACATTGTAACATATTCAGAAGAAGAAAAAAAGACGAGCGAAAATTAATTACATGATAATTTCAATTCATAACTATTGTGTTATTGTTATCAAAAGATTGAATTTGTTAATTCTGAGGGATTCGTTAATTCTTTTTCTGTTCGTCGTAAATATTCATCGCAATAAGGATTACAAACAGGAGAGAGAATCGTTGGTCATTTACAAACTATCTCGTTACATGTATAAAAACTTGTATTACGTTTCGAAGAATACAGTTAGTCATATAAGGTAATATTAATGAGATGTGTAATTATATGTGCAGTTTGTAATTAATCACTAAACTATGAATAAACGTTTGTCACTCGGCCATCATATCCACACTGGGGCAATCTTCACCCATGTTACTTGGAGAGGTTTCTAATTCCCCAATTTCGTTAGACTCGCTATAAATATAAATTTCATATCACATGTACTTCTACAGAAATTTCTGTAATAAACTATTTACCTGTCTAACGAAGGATCATTGCTGAACATTTCAGTTGGAACAGTAGGTGGTGCTTTCTCTGGTACTAGTTCCAAGTAAGTTTGTCGAGACTCTAGATGTCTTTCTACTTCTTCTGGGGTCATATGACCATCTGACATCAAAGACATTGGTACCACATTGTTTGACGATTGTACCTAAAATATAAAATACCGTTCAAGTAACTGTTCTTTGAAATTACATATTATTACTTACTATAGGTGTGCTGTTTGATTTCGTTACTTTTGGAGCGGGTTTTTTCTTTTTGCTTGTATTGAGCTGAGATTTTGTCATTGTTGGTATATGATGAGGTGTATGATTACTAATGCCCATTTCTATTTTTTTCCTAGAAACAAAAAAAAATCAATACATAAATAATGACAATTGCTTTCAACAGAAATGTTTTTAAGCACCTTTTTGAAGTATCAAGACGAGTAACTTCTTCATCGGATGATTCTGTTTCATCACTTTCACTGAATGAAGCATCTACCTTCTCATACTGTAATAATCGATCTAATAAAAAGCTTTTATCCCTATTTACTTTGAGTAATTTCCTCTGCGTAGACCTCAAAGCTTCTTGAAAGCATTCATTTTCCTAAAACAATTATCAAACGATGAAACAAAATTATATGTGAAATACATACAAAACTAACAGATATACATACGTAGATTAAAAATTTTAGTTTTCTCTTAAGATTTCGATACTGATCCTTGTAGTTAGGCACTTCCTCCTCCGGACTGTCATCATCATCGTCTTCTGCATCTGCATTGTTGTTTGCAATTGAACGACAATACCATTCTTCCAACATTGATCATCTGCAACTAAAGACAAACTAAAAAAATGTTTGCATTATCAGTGTAGTACGATGTGAATGAGACTATACAAAATCCAGTCGTTTTCAAGACATTGTCAAGTCAAATCTCACAGACGAAAACAATTGTTGAACGTTTTATAGTTTTAGAATGTCGTAGAAATTTCGACATTTATTGTACAATACCTAACGGTTTATTTATTTGCAAACGAGAGAACCTGATTGCTTCTGTCAAGTATTGAATTAACGTTACTCCGATACCATTTAAGGTTAAGTTCCTACAAGTAAAATAGAAACTGGCGAATATTTAACAGAAAACGAACAAACGACCGACGAGAACCGCAAACCATTGATTTGAAATTAAAATTTCCAGTAGTACTTACGTGAAACTTTAGGATGATTTTCCGTGTATTGCGAATAATCGGTGCGAACGATTAAGAAGATAAACAAGTTGTTTATGACTGGCTTTCATCCTGAACTTCCTTATCGATTCTATAGTAACTTCGAAATGCTACCATATTCAACTGTTAAACCGAACTGTTAAGCCGAATTTTTTGATTCGCTTCGACAAATTTCTCTTCTCGTAAATGTACGAACGACCTTTTACATTTTATGCACATTGATTTTGTCAAATTAAATCAACGATCTCTCGATCTTGCAATTGTATAATCAACTGTATATAATCAACTAAAAAGCTGCAACATTTTATTCCTTTTTTTTTTTGACGAAACGAGAAATTTGTGTAATTACTGAATTTGCAAATTCGTACAAATTTGCACGATGCTTATTCGACGGATGGACGATAAAAAAAAATGTATAAATGTATTGATTTATAATGAAAAATTCGATCATCCTTTGATAGATATACTATACTATGAAAAAAATAAAAATTTAAAAAAAGTGACAAATGTTGTATACAACGTGTTTCTTTCTGAAAGAAATTTGTACACCGTGAATAAATTGTCTCTGACCGTAGGTATACTTAGAAATACTTAGAAATTTTCGAATGTTTGAGAACGCTCGTTTTTCTTTCTTTTTCGATGTTAAATTTCGAAATGTCCGTTTCAAACTACGGAGGAAATAATTTACGATTATCACCACCGACGCGCTATGTTACGCGGATCTAATCAGATCCAACGAGAGTCCCATCTCCCCAAACCAATTGTCTATGAAATACATTGGAGTAAAATTGATAAACTTATATGGTTGAGGTTTTTAGTTTTTGTATAATAGTTTTTAGAAAAGAAATTGTTAAGTGTTACCGCTACAGTGCGAATCATTTCGACACGTCCGATTGTTAACGAGGAACTTCCACGTATTAAAAATGGGTATACCGAAGTTTTTTCGATATATAAGCGAAAGATACCCCTGTCTCACTGAAAAGTTAAAGGATTATCAGGTAATTAAAAAAAAGTACTCGCGAACAATATTTGCCCGCTGTGTTCCAGTATCTTCCATATTCCATGTATTTCTGCATCATTTTTCTGCCTCTTTGTAAATTTTTCTTTATTAAATTTTTGAAAAGTCGATCATTTTCACATTTGAGGTGAAATAGATATACATTTGTGGATGTATTGTTAGTATGTGTGTAACTGCGTATGTCATTTGCAGATACCCGAATTTGATAATTTGTATTTGGACGTGAATGGTATTATACACGAGTGTTCACATCCAGATGACACGGATGTTACATTCCGCATTTCAGAGGAGACTATATTCAAAAATATATTTCGCTACATCGAGGTATTGTTTCGCATGATCCAGCCGCAGAAGTTATTTTTTATAGCGATTGACGGTGTAGCACCGCGGGCAAAGATCAATCAGCAAAGGAGCAGACGCTTCAAGTCAGCAAAAGATGCTGAGGTACAGGAAGCCAAAGCGAAACTCAAGGGGATAGACATACCCAAAGAAAAGAGATTTGATTCTAACTGCATAACGCCGGGTACACTTTTCATGTCGAAGCTTGACGAGCAATTGAAGTATTTTATTACGTATAAAATATCAACTGACAAACTTTGGCAGAAGTGTAACGTTATATTCAGCGGGTCTCAAGTTCCTGGCGAGGGAGAACACAAAATAATGGACTACATACGTTACATGAAAACACAACCAAGTTACGATGTAAATACAAAACACTGTTTATACGGTTTAGACGCAGACTTAATAATGTTAGGTTTATGTACCCATGAAATACATTTTACACTGTTAAGAGAAGAATTGACATTTGGCAAGAAACAAAGGAAAGTCTGTTTAACTCCTGAGGAGACGAAGTTTTGTCTGTTTCATTTGTCTCTGTTGAGAGAGTATATAAATCATGAGTTTTCATCGTTAAAAGAAAAATTGCCTTTCCCGTATGATCTGGAAAAGATAATCGACGACTGGATTTTAATGGGATTTCTTATAGGAAACGATTTTATACCGCATCTGCCAAATTTACATATTGTACATGGCGCATTGTCAGTATTGTATCATGTATATATGGATGTAATGCCTACATTAGATGGTCAGATAATCTAAAACAGAGAAAGTGTATAAATGCAATGTATTTCACGCGTTTTCTAAAGTAATCGATTTATTCCAGGTTACATTAACGAATCGGGAACGTTACGATTAGATAGATTCGAGAAATTTATGGAGAGACTTAGCCGTTTCGACGTGCTACAATTTTCTGAGTATTATGCAGATTTGAAGTATCTTGAGAGTAAAACAGGGAGACCTCTCATCGAGACTGAAAAGAATGACAAAAGATCAGGAACTAGTGAAGAGACTCGTTCTCCAAGGAAAACGCAAGATAAAGATTGCTTTCGATTCGATGCTTTACTTAGATCTGCCGCGGATATGGTACTTATTCAAATTGTCTACCTAACTGATTATATTTGTAATATTTATCCTACAATATCTTTTAATACAGTCGTTAGGGAAGTATGATGATGATGAATTTGCTGATGATAAGTCAGATTGTGAAATGTACACTATGGAATTTGTTCAGTGCAAGAAGGATTACTATATAAATAAACTAAAATATGAAAATATAGACGAGTAAGTGTAATCGATAAAAAATTATGGAACTCAGTTTCCTAATGTCTACTATGTATCGATACTTTTTAGAGATTTTTTACGTTCACAAGCCGAGGGCTACGTTAGAGCAATCCAGTGGAATTTAAATTATTACTACAACGGATGTTGTAGTTGGTCGTGGTATTATCCACATCATTATGCACCTTATATTTCGGATATAAAAGATTTTAAAGACTTGAAGTTGGAATTTGATTTAGGGGAGCCGTTTTTACCATTCGAACAATTATTGGCTGTGTTGCCGACTTACAGCAAAGATTTGTTACCGCCCGCGTTCCAAACGTTGTTAACCGAGGAACAATCGCCAATAATTAATTACTATCCATCGGATTTTGAAACAGATTTAAATGGCAAGAAGCAAGAATGGGAAGCCGTAGTACTTATTCCATTCATAAATGAGAAAGACTTGTTGAACGGTGAGTAAAGAAACATATGTATAATTCGCTTTTTGATAAATTCCAATTATTAATTGAAATTTTATAGCAATGGCGCCTCATTATCAGAAATTAACTGTGGAAGAACGGGCAAGAAACAGACATGGTCCAATGTGCCTGTTCACTTACACAGAAGAAAATTTAGGTGTTTACAAAGCTCCTGAATACTTTCCTGATACCATGAGTTACGCGAAAGTACAATTAATTAATCGCGAGGATATTGCTGTCTCCCGGGAAAAGTTAATTCGAGGCTTATGTCCCGGTGTAAGACCAGATGTATATTATCCTGGTTTTTCTACTCTGCAATACATAGAACATACTGCCAGTTTAGAAAAAGCCAAAGTAAATTATCTACACCTTTTTCTTTACACTGTTTTTTTAACTGTTTAAATGTCGTAATTTATTGAAATATCATTGTTGCTTGTAGGTGAAAGTATTCCAGAGACAATCGCAACAAGAAAGTATGATTCTTCATATAAAACCGCACCCCAGTACCGATTTAACAACCATGGGCTCGAAATTATTAGGTAAATCAGTATATGTGAATTGGCCTCACTTAAAGGAAGGCTTGGTAATAGGGGTTTCCGAACCGAGCTCGAAGATGAATTTAGTCGATTCTCAAATAAAATGGATGTACGAGAGTATCAACGAAATGGAGTGGCATGTGTTGAAGAAACGTATAACAGAAACGTAAGTCAACCAAAAATTGTTCAACGTTTGACGATTCTATGATGATTGTTATTTATAGATATAAAGATTATCTCGGAGTGGATATCGGAGAAACGAAGTTTTTAGTTCATGTACGGCTACTGCTAGGCAAAAAATATATTTTCCCCTCCAAGGGAAAGGTGCATGTTGAGAAACACTGGAACGAAACGCCGACTTGTTACGCGTATCAGACTATAGTGAAAGATATCGCGACTCATTCTAATAACGGACAGTTGTACACGACTGTCAAGGATATCTTTGAACCAGGAACTATATGCTTTATGTTGGGACATCCATATTACGGAGCAATGGGAAATGTATGTTTTTAAAGCGATATAAAAATAACGAGACTCTAAGTTCCGATCTTTTTCTAATAGATACGCAAATCCGCGGTCTGCAAAAAATCAGGCAGGGTAAAAGTATCTGTAACAACGATGCAAGAGCCGTCGTTAGAAGAGATCAAACACATTCAGGCGGATTATCAGACCCAGTATATGCATGGGAGTATAGCCTCGCAGAGATTGGGTATAAGTTCTTTACTTTTAAGCAGAATCACCGGCACGATTTTTGTGAAACAGTCTTCAAACGGTCTACAGCAAGACGAAAGTACGCATAATATCGGATTTAATTTAAAATTCAACAAGAAAAATGAGGAGGTAAGTATGTACATATTTTTTCTTTTATATATGTATATTTGATTTAGGGGTACGCATAATTTTAGATACCTGGAATAAATCATTGTACGCATAATTTTAGATACCTGGTTATACTCGGAAAGGGGAAGACGGTCAATGGTTCTACAGTCCCAAGGCTCTCGACTTAATTCGTAGATATATGTTGAGATGTCCCATTTTATTTGAGAAATTAGCTCAAAATCCAACCGCGTGTATTTTTCAAGAAGAAGATCTATTTACAAAGGGGTATATAATAATTTCATTAACGAATTAATCTTCAGCAATTTTGAGTATTAATTTGTAATATTTTTATATAGTTCTGAAGAATTGAATGATACATTGGCATGGTTGAAAGAACAACTTCATGGAATAGAGAGTCGTGCTTGTGGCAGAGAAACCATCGAAAATAATGTAGTAAAGAAACTCGAAGAAGTGGTGGACGCGTACCTCAAGTCACCAAATAACGTTGGAAAAATCGTGGATCTGCAAGTGCAACCATATTTACTTTATACGCCTATTCTACGTATAAGCAATCTCGCACCTGATCCAAAAGCACAGACGCAGTTGCTAGACAGAATTTGCTGCATTAAAGATAATTTCACGGTGCCCCTTGGAAGCAAGGGAACTATAATAGGAATTCAAAAAATGGAAAATGCGTCAGACACTATGTATGACGTTTTATTCGACAAACCGATCATAGGTAAGGATAATTTCTATCTCCTGAGGCGATAAATTTAAACAATTTCATTTACTTCGATATTACGTTCAGGTGGATTTAGTATAAATGGATCCTCTGAATTCCGTGCATATCGTCTGTCAGCCCTTGATTTTATAAATATAAGTTACGGACAAAGAATAGAGCAAAGTAAAGGAACGCAAATGAATACGGAATCTACAGAACAGTGGAAGAATTTCGTGGCTGCCACTCAGGAAACTCCGTCGTGTACAAACACCAATACGGTTACATCGTATAGAAACGAGAATCATTTGCCAGTGGAGGCACCAATGTCGTCAAAGTCGTGGATCATCCAAAAAAGTACAGAAGAAATACCGAAGAATCAGCTGTGTCATAAATTCAAGCAGTACAACGCGCACAACGCGCAGAATTCCATGAACGTTCGGATATCGCATAAACCAGTGGCAAAGAGTGTGCAGCTTCCTCAAAACGCGCAGAAGAAACCTTCAACAAAACCGGCATCCGAATTCCAGGCGATATGGAATGAATTACACAAAAAACAGGTTTATTTGACAGTTTTTTAAAATTTTAAGTTGTTTTTAAAAAATCTTAAAAAATCTTAAATATACGGTTTGTCAGGAGCTAAACAAAGCTGCGCCGAACGTTCTAAAGGAAACCGAGAATTCGGTAAGTATAGTTGCGTGGTATCTACTTTAACACTGTCTTTACTAATCGTCGTATTTTAGCCACAAGATCCTAGTGCTTTTTTGAAGGCGGTGTTAAAAATTTCTGATGACAACGCTCAAGAGTCTGTCCAATCTGGAATATCTAAAACACATAAACGTTCAAATAATACACAAAAGGAAGACAAGGCGTTGGACACGCCATCTTTAGTGCAAAAAATGTTCGATGTAAGCATTTTTATCGATTCTTTAATGAATATATAGATATTTAAAAAAAAATTATTTTATTTCAGCATGCTCGACAGAACGACAAAACGCCAAATTGGTATTGCTCGCAATTATTGAATTACTTTCAACTCAGTGGGGTTGGAATGCCTCGATATAGCTATTTTGGTGTTGGAGAAAATAATTTGATTCAAGCACATATTCTATTACCAGACAAAAGGATATTTGTCGGAGATCCTTGTATAAATCATGAACAAGCAGCAGGAAGTGCTGCGAAGAAAGTTTATACAGTAATTTGTAGTTTTATTTAAGTATACTTCTACTTTCTTTATTTCTACTTTATTTATCTACCCTTTTTTTTTTTTTTTTTGATAGGAACTAAAATTAGCTAACTTACTGCCAAATATGAAGATATTTTTACCACCTCCTCAACATTGGTACTCTAATCCTCAGAATAGTAATTGGTCACAGAATATAAGACCACCAGCGGTACCATATTTTTCTCCAGAACCTAAACTGCTTCAACCATTTTCCGAGTGGGTTCAAAAGGATCATCGTGTGCCTGCGCCTCAAGACACGACCAAGCATAATAATCATCGATATAAGCATCATACTCAATCAAAACCTGAACGAACTCACAATCAGAAAGAACCAAAGTCAGAAACAAAGAAATGTCCAACTTTCGTACCCTTACAAGCGCAAAAGAAAAGCAGACACGTCACAGCCAAACAAGCTGTTAGCAGAGGCAGTGAAAATCAAAGTGCCAAAGACAATCCTAAGTCCACAGTACAACATAAGGAAAAGGAATTGCCAGCAAAGGTTTTTTTTAAAATATTACTTTTTTAACCTTAAACATTTGTAAATACTCAGTTCTGCGCTTAATTTTTTTCAGACGATAACAGTAGAAGCTATCAATACGACTACCGAAAAGCAAAAGCCAGTACAAAGTAATTCAAATCAAGTACAAAATACACAGGCCGTGATAAAGCCTAAAAAGTCACGTGTTGCTGCGAAGTTTTGCATATCGACGCAAATTGAAGAAATCAATCATAGTAAAAATCAAAGTTCAACTTAAACAAAAAAAAAAAAGAACATTTGACAATGAGTCGGAAAACCTTTTGACATGTTTATTTCTTTTTTACACATTTCTTTTGATATTGTGTAGTAAAAAATTCCACACAAGACAGAGGTGCATGTATGTAAATGGAAAAAGAAACTTCAAGAATAGTGAAGTAGCATGCATATAATACTCAATTATGTGACTTTTATTTTAGAATTTACTTTTTCTTCTTACTTTTTGTAAGTAATTTTTATTTCATTTTTTCTGGCGTTCTTTTTTTGAAATATATCAAGTCGAATGTTATATGCGTGAATGATGTTGAACTATGTAAGTTAATCTATAAGATTGATTTAATATAATTATGAAGTAACAAGGATAAATGAATATTTTATATGCCTTGATGTTGTGTGGAGAACAGTATTGAGTATTATATAAGTTACAATATGTAGATTACATTAAAAAAGGAAAGTGATTTATTTGTAAACTTTTAAAACACACTGATTATTGTGAATGAATAAAAAAGTCGATGTATTATGTAACATATGCCTGTTTATCATTCCTTTCATTATGTATTCTTTCAAATATACACATAGTTTTTATTTAAAATTACTTGTTATATAAAAAATAAACGTTACCCTTGTCAATTTTAACTGCAGCAAAAGAAAATCTATCTTGCATAGAAAAGGGTAACGTTTATTCAATTCAATATGGTTAATTATTTTTTGTTACCTTTTTTTTCACTTTTATTGCTTGCGCGGCATTAAATTCCAATTAGTTATCAAGGATAAATTTTGTAGGCTAAAATCTTGCAACAAATCGCACAGTCGTTTGTTCGTTCGTTCTCGCAGCACATTCCTAATAAAGTTTTCTTTTTGCGCTTGCGAAATTTTGAATAAGGCACCATGTTTCTCGAAGGCGACACGAAGCCACTGTGCTGTCCATTCTATGCACGTTTTATTCAACGTCAACAAAACTTCTGCATGAGGTTCCAAATTACTCCGTGGTACTTCCCCTCCTGTTATTATAAATTTTTATTACATTTGAAATTTTTGGAAGTATGGTTATCCATTTACATACCCACACACTGTAAAATTACGCAAACTAATTGTTGTCCAATTGGTTGAACGAACGTCTGTAGGTGTGGACTCTGCATAATAGCATGTGTAAGGAAATGTCCAGCTGCTCTGACTGTGGCCGATTCTGGTAACATCAAACAATCGATTCCTGCCAAAAATATAATTAAAAAATATTATGTTATAGATTTTTAAATTTAATAATTAAAAATGTTAAAAATTGAAATTTACCGCACTGCAACATTTCAGGAATTTGGTCAGGGATTTGTAATAACATCCTGGTATTCTTTTTACAAATTTGAGCTAACAATCCAAGATACGCTTCCATTAATTCTGCCCAATCGGATAAGTTTCCATTGACAGATCTACACGCTCTGATACCACTCAGGGTAATAGAACTTATATCCGCGAAAACAGGACCTATTACGTTGTTTGGATCGCGTCCAAATAGTAAAACGAGCTGTCGAAGAAGATTTAAGGCCGCAGGATGAGGCCAAGTTTTATATGAGCTCGCTAAAATGGGAAGCAAAGGTCGGGCATCTTCTTCAGGATGCAGTAATGACGTTAGGGATTTCTGAGCGCAAATGTACATCTCCTCTAATGTGAAATTGTCCTGACCCCACTCGGGATGGGCAACAATTTGACTAAATATCGGTAATAAACCATCCAATACAGCCTTTCCAATTGATCCTTCTAGTGTAGAAAAAAACATTGTGGCCATTTTTAACTGGTTCATCACTGCACCACGAGCCAGAAACCAAGGTTGTTCTAATAATTCTCGTATTTTTATTATACATAAGCCTAGTGTAGCGTCCAGATGAGCCAATTGTTCATCAACAGAAGGCAAAGTATTGAGCAATTTGCCAGCTGCATACATTAATCGTAAACCTTCTGCACACCCCGGAGTAACATTTGGAAGAGTCTGTTCGATAGTGTTGAGAATAGATGGTGCAAAGGGTGTGAGTTGTTGATCACATTCTCGGGCTAAGTCTTTCAAGGCCATAGTAGCAAAAGGTGCTGTCACTGAACTTCTTGTTAACCCTAAAGTTACAATTCGAAGCACTCTTTCTAGCCAAGGATCTGGATGTTCTCCGATCCATTCTGCATATGCTCCCACTACCGAACACGCACATGCGAGTACCTAAAAGCATAGAGTCAAATCATGTATTCCATTCATGATGAAAGAGTAAGCTTCTATAAACTGTCTTTGCAAATGAATGTAAAATTACAACATATAATTTGATTATGCACCATTTTAATACAAGAGAATTTGTTGTACCTCTCCAGGATAGTGATCGTATGGGATATGACTAAGAACCAAATCCATTAAAGCAGGAATGTAGTGGGATTCCTCAATACCAACACTGTCTGCTAAGGCTTCAAAAGCGTGCAACGTCGATTCTACCTCCGTCCACTTTTGTGAACTGTTTAAGGTCTGACTCAATCTCTGTCCGAGAAGTACGAGCAAATCATGTCCTAATACTCTATAACAATAATCTAAAGCATCTGCCACATCTTGTCTATAACACCTGAAGAGCTCTCGTTCATCTGCATCCCCTGCTTCGCTGGCAGACGAAGGAAGCGTTGACTTTCTTAGTAATGCTTGAGTCAATCTTGCATAAACGGGCTTCAAAATTAGTACAGCACGATTTTCGTAAGGTTGATCAAGTGTGGGAAGATAGTCCTGTAAGGCATACCAAAATCCAAATGGAATGGAACTGCGAGTTTCATCCGTAGGATATCTTCCTTCTTGTTCGGAACATTGCAAAAGTAATTCAATTAAATTTTCGACTGTCCATTTCTGAGTTTCGTTCCCTTCTTCCACTAAAGTATTTAAAAATGTTCTACTGTGAGCCTCTCCGACTGCAGTTAAAACTTCACAAAAATATTTATCACTGTATTGTCTTGCCATTGTTACCAAATTATGTGTCCATTCCCACAATGTTTGTGGTCTCTTTATAAGCTCACTATGAGTTACTATTATATTCAAGCATTCTTGAACTACTTCCCAACCTCTGACATTCTCTTCGTCGTGCCCTTTCCTTTAAAATTAAGTAATTCATCATTTTGACTTATTCATAAGATATATGCTTGTAATGTGTATACCTGTTTGGTGCATAGTATGCCGCAGCTGCTAATAAATGTGGATATATCTGGCCTGTTGCATCGAGGGGAAGTTGACCAACTTTAAGCCAGGATAATGCACATTCCATAGCTAGTAAGTATATGTCATTATCAACATCTTGAGAATTTGGACTGCACATGGAGAAAACTTGTTGCAAGAACCAGGTTGTCTTATACCAGCCTTTTACTAGACACTCGTGTAACTTAGCTCTTCTCACTTCACGTTTCCTTTCAAACTGATCACATCATTGAAACTTATTAATCGTAAAATAATAAAGGCTATTTACGTATGTATATATCGTACCTCCCCAGGTAACATAGAAAGCGTACGTAACAACAGCTCCAACATAGGAAGAGAATCATAAGACAACATCCGCATCAATTCATCAACTACATTTTTATCCCCCTCATCGTTTTCTGTAACGGCACTAACATTTGCTACAAATCCAGCTAACTGAAAACACAGAATTTGTTTTATTTTACTGTCTTTGTAAGTTGAACTTGCAAAATGAATTTCAAACAGAAGATATTACCGCTTGACAAAGTTTAGAGAGAACAACCTTTGGCATGTTTGGCTGCTTTATAAAGTTTATTAAGCGCTCCTGCAGAGCAGGATACTCACTCTTGGGCACTTCATCCCATTGCTTGGAGATTTTGGCATGTAACGTAGTAGCTGCATAAAACTGTGCTTCTCTTGACTATAATGAAAATCAGGACGGTTACTTCCAAGATATCATTATCACACGGGGAAAGCAAAGAAATTCCACGTACTTTAGAAGGACCAAGAAGTTCCCAAACAAAAGTCCAGGCCTCTGGAGAAGATTGAACTCTCAGCAACCATGAATGAACATCGTTATTTCCCTCTGCGTAAAACTGTTTCACAGCTTGATCGATTACAGTTGCATATTCCATTGCAAATAATTTGTCAGTCTTCATAAATAATCTTACAATCAAATTGTCTAAAAGTCTATACTTGGAAAGGTTATTTGTGCACGACTGATTACTCCTCTCATTCTGTTGAAATTTTGTATTTAGTTCGTTTCACCGTATCTATTGATAAGATGTTTTCTATCATCTTTGTAAAACATTCAAAGCATTTTCTTCTTCTTTTTTTTACACATAAACTGTTCAATCCCTATTTACACGATCCCTTTCAACCGCGTTGAAGAAAATGATTTCATAACAATTTTCACGACATTTTTCGCTATCGGTGACAGTTATGTTTGAAAACGCGGTCGAAATTTTATTTCGATTTTCAATTGACGACACGACGAGAAGCGTGTTCTTAAGAAAAGTCTCAATTCGAAAGAAACAGACTAGTAAAGAAAAATCTACGCATTTTTTAGATTTTTTAAAATACATATTTTAAATACTTTGTACATTTTAGAATTTATGTATCAAACTAGGTTCATGTAAACGCGCCTAATGACATAAGGTCAAAACATAAGCTCAATAACTGATAACTGCATTACATTGTCCATACATGTGAATATCTATGATAAATATTTTGATTCTCTACTACTGTTAAGGATTCGAAATTTTGGAAAATATTGTAATCACAAGATACAATTTATCTTTTATTTGAATTATTATTACTTATCGGATTATTTGAATTATTGTGTATAATGTCATAACCTCTTGATCACATTACTGTTATTTGTAAATTATCTTTTTACTTAAAGAAGTTCCTATTATTATGGATAATTCCAAGGATCTATCTACTAAAGGTATAAATATACAATTTTATCAAATTATATTGTTACTATACTAGTTTGAATAATAATCAATATCCATTATTAATGGGTAAGCAGCAGCTCTTGTAGAGCGTAATGTTCAACCACAAGGTATTCTGTTGAATAATCCAGAAGCTGTGGGCAATGTATCTCAACAAGATTTAATTGCATTGGCAACAGAAATAGAAAAGGCAGACAACTTTGTTAAATTAAATGCCTGCAACAAATTGCAAATTATTGTGGATCAAATAAGATATCTGAAGACACAGGCTGAAAACATTCTTACAGAAGCTGATTGGAACATGAAATTACATCATGTTCCTTGTAATTTTGTGAAACGTCCCGGACATATATATCATTTGTATCAAAAAGAAACTGGCCAGCTTTACTTTTCCATGATTAGTCCACAAGTAAATAAATTATTTTTGTATTTCTAAAATGAAAAAAAAAGTATGTGAAAAATCTAACTACATTATATTATAGGAATGGGTTGCATCAAAGTTGCGTGTAGTTCAAATTTACAAGGGTTCCTATAGATTAGAGCATGATCAATCATGGACACCTCTTGAAGAAACTGATAAGAAGAACAAGGACACGGCGCTGTTGGCTGAACTTTGTTCCAACATTCCAAGAAATATTTCCAAAAGCATGGACTCAATGTAACTATGTAACTATGTAAAAATATAGCTGTAGTATATTTGTATATATATTTAAATGTAAATGTATTTTTAACTGAAATTTAGTTTATTATTTCCTCGTAAATTAAGCACGTGATGAGGAATTGTATAAATGCAATTTAAATTACCATTTCGTATAATTTATCAGTTATATTTTTCGTACTAATTTGTATGGCATTACTATTCTTAAGAAATAAAACGTATGAGAGAATACAATTTCTAAAAAATTACGAATATAATTTTATATACATTCTGCAATTAATCAAGGAAGTATCTTATACATCAATGAATTTCGAAGCAGAGATACAGTTCTATCAACAATTGATTCTTCGAATAATTTTTTCTTTAGTGTGAAAAATATCTCTATTATAGTCGTATAAAGGCATATTCCTCCTTTCCGTCTTTCTATCCTCTCCCTTGATCTTTTACATTAATATTGTATTTAACGCAAATTAATTCTTTTTTACATGTAGTAATTGTGGAAGTAATAATTTGATACTTTCGCTGTTTCCTTTATATTAGACCATGCAAATGATTACTTTGTAGGAAATAAAATTATTATACAAAGTAGTAGATTGATGAACACTTAATTTCTTCAACAAAGTATCTGTGGATGTTTAATCTAAACAGTCAAAAGAACTGAATGAAGCAGTACAGACTATCATCATAAATCATGATGACTTTACTTCGGTTTCTTATAATGGCGCAAGCGTCATGTTGTATTCACTTTATGAGCTGAAATAGACCAAATTTTTTTGTTAATTTTTTTTGTAACACCTACAATTATAGATATATAAGTCATTTTTTTTAAATCCTTACATGGTAAAGGTATTCTGACTGGTGCATTGTCTTTGACTATACATTCATGTGTTTGATTACGAAATAAATATTGTATTAATAATTGTTTCTCTTCTCCTACACATGGATCATAAAATCCTGGCAGTTCACTCTACAATATTAAAATATACAATCATTTTGACTTCTTGTAACAAAATAACGATTTTTATTTTTAGTTTAACTACTTTCACAAAACGTACCTTAGATGCATCATAAAGGATTAACTTCGAATCCTTTACTAAACATTGTAAAGGAACAGTTACGTCTATTACTTCATCTCTACGTATACTTTGCTGTTCTGAGTTATATTGATTTTGTTGGGGATAGACGAATCTTCCATAAAGAGCTTTTGTGATAATCAAGCCCTTTTTTGATTCTTCCGTAGCTCTTATCCTGCTCACAGTGGCTTTCATCAATTTAGTTGCGCTTTCTGCTTCTTTTTGTTTTTCCATCATTCTCGTCTTGTTTACCTCCTTTTCTTTTTCTTTCTCGCGTTCTTCTCGTTTCTTTACCATAGGATCTATCACAACCTTTTTCAACACAACCCATGTCATTAATGGGACTACGGTAGCATAAAACACAGTAGCTGGAAGAACTTCGTCACTAAGGTGAATCGGGAACGCGTAGGTTTGAAAAGAACGATTTAATTTGAGTTTTAACATGACTCCCGTTGGCACTCCTGCGCTTACGACTGCGGATAGTTTTGTGTGTCGCGAAATTTTTTTTTCCGCTCCATACTCCACGACCAATCCAAATGTGCCAGCTCTATAATTAATAAAATGTTAACACTAATACAATTTAGAAATACTTTCGAATATGTACAATTGTAGTACTAACCTTACGCTGCCACGTAGCTTCATTTCTTTTTCGTGCATTTTGTATATATAAGTAAAATTAACGAATGACTGTAGAATGCCAAGGTGTAAAGAAAATGATGTATAAGTTCTCGCTGTATCTCTGACGATACTAGTACTCATGGAACTTTCTGGGCCCGCATTATATGTAAGTTCTCCCATCGTATGGGTATCCAATTGCATTGTGAGTCCTAAAATTAATATAATGCTTTCAGATATTATATAGCATTTACATCAGTTGATTATCTATGGTAGGAAAATGAACATACGGCCTATTAGACTAGCCTTAATTTCGAATGGAGTGAATTCTAGTATCGTTGCCCCGTTGAATAGCACTTTATAAGGTAGCATACGAAAACCTTTGAACGATATCATCGGCCCGTTTCCCGCACCGACTTCTAACTCAACCCAACCTTTTGATGAAAGCAATCGCTTTGCTGACACGTTTACAGAACCGGATCCTGTACCATTTCTTGTGTTTAATTGTCCGTACAATGTTACAATGTCTTGTAAAGTAAGAGGTGCTTCAATGGACTGTGTAAACGACATTCCACTGACTTCTATGCGTGAAAGCATGTCCCTGCTATATTTTAAAATACGATACACTTTACAGCATGTACATCAAAATTAAAAGTAACAGTGCATTACCTATCCTCAGGGTCTTTCTCATATTTGTTAAAAAGATCTGTCGCATTGATATTCATTGTAATGCTCGTAGTAGGATTTGTGAGGCTCAGTAATTTTCTCTCTTGCGCTTCTCTCGCAAGATATTCATATTCCTCCCTGATTTCTTGAGGCGTTCTAGTACGTTCTACTATCTCCCATCCTTCAGTTTTCAGTCCTCTAATTCCCACAGTGTCGTAAATAGCCCTATGATGAGGATTACTTAGAACTACAACAATAAGCAAAGCGTTACTTATATATAACATAAAATATATTACAAAATACAATGGTATTTCGCATAAACCTTTATAAGCTGCTTTAGTACGATTAAATAGAACTTCCGCTTCTTTCTTGAGTATTGGGTCCACATGTTTGTCAGGATGATAGAGTTTGCTCTGCGTACGATACGCAGAGTTGATCTCTTCCTGTGTAGCCTGCAAGTAAATATATCATATATTATTAATGACAGAAATCTTAATGAAATCTTGAATTGCATGTTTCACTGCGCAGTGCTCAGCCTGTATAAAAAATTACTAAAATAACTAAACAAAATTATTGTCTTGTAAAAGTTACTTAACAAAATTCTTCTTTATTTAACAAAATAAAGAAGTGTATAGTATGGTTTAAAAACTTCTTGAAGAAGTGACTTTATATTTCGTTATTCAAAGAAGCTCGGTTACATCAGATACCAAGGGATGTAGTGTGTCACGTGGAGGTAGAGAAATTGATCTTTAGCCTAGACCACAGAAAAGCGAATTTGCAATTCAAAATGACTCGATAACTTACGTTTTTTGGGATATTTAGGAACGTGTAATAATCGTCCTCGATTAAATGGTCTTGATCATTGTCATCCATTATGAAATTTTGACTTTCTCCTTCGTTAATCGAAACGAATAACAAAGTGACCACTACTTCTCTTGAACTTGGTCTTCTGCTCCTATAGGTTACGAAATACTCGGTTGAGAACCGGTTATCATTTAGTACTCGCGGCTATCGTCGGGTGGTGCTAAATGAGCAGAATCTCGTTTCTGTAGATCAACTGCATTATCGACTTCCAAGGAATCACGAGCAATCATGATAAAGAATTGCATGATTCATTGCAAGTGTAATTGCAATAATTTACAGGAATTTCTCTTTTTTTTTTGCTTTCCAAATTTTTACTTGTCGCTCTGTCTTTTGATTTATACAGGGTAACTTATAAGTAACAAAAGATGCAAGTCGCAATGGTACAGCAGAATTTTTATGGCCAATAGAATTTTTATTAATAAGTGATCTTATATGACCTTTTCTATGAAAAATTTTTATATTCACAGATGTTATCCTGTACAATTCCTTTAAATAACTATTAAACATTTACTTTATATTCAAGTTAAGTTTATAAGTAATTGTAAGATACATAAATTATATGGTACAATTATACAACCAGAAAATTATAGATTATGCTATCATAGCATAGTACATATTTTATATTTTATAATATTTGTAAGTTTATATTGTTATTATGAATAGTTTGTAGTCCATGAATTATACATGTATTATATTATATTACATAGTGTTAATATATTATATAGCATTGTGATGTATTATATCTAAATAAAGCGAGACGGAATTTAATTAGAAAGAAAGAATTCAATAATCCTACGGTTCTATGCCATTCTTGCCACGCTAAGAAGTACAACCATGATATTCGTTCGCAATGCAGTTACTGTAGAACGTGACCACGAGCAGTCACGACAAACCACCATAAAAAGCCAATAAAATTGGTAGGGGGAGACTGAAAGAAAGGGCAGGCCAATATTGTGGAGTTAGTTTGCTTTGACATTCTCTAATCAAAACAAGAGCTCCCTTCTTTTTCGTGTTTCCTTGCGCTCGTTGGGTCAGCCATAATTTTTAAAGGGTTCGAGGGATCGTATTTCCTAAATAATTTATCATTCCTTCACAAGCGTGACCTGTTACGAATGACAGGAATTTTTATAGTTTCCAACAACTATGTGATAGTAAAAACAATCATCTTATTCCTTGCTCATAATGATCTAGAATAACGATAAAGGAATCAGAATGGTACAGTTAAGAGAATAATTTGTAACAAATTATTTAGAGACTCGGTAATATTCTTTTCGATATGATCGGTACGTTTGTAATAGAGTATCGTGCACGTGACAATAATTGGACAGGCAAGGCGCACGTTGTTTTAGCAGCGAATTAATCGCAATCGCCGCGGCTAATGGCAACAGTAACGTTAAAAGGCGAGGAAACAATCGGCCGGATCGGCCGTCGGTATTGTTAAACACGCTCATTGTACTGCTCTAACAATACACTGTTACAGTGACAACATCCAGCCCGGTGAGTCTTAGCCTTCGATCAACAATCCGTTATCACCATTGAAAAATATCCGGCTGTCGTTTCTCTTCTTCTTTTTTTCACGTAGGAAATTTCAACTATTCGTTCAAATTTCTTATCTGAATGGTGATTCAATGTATTAATAAGTGTCAATAAGTACAAGAATGTAAGTATAAATCATATATTGGAATAGTTGTGTGAAACTTAATGAAAGATGAATATTCTTCTAGGTTTGCAGATTCATAGAAGGATGGATGCCTGATGGAAGGATTTTAATTGATTCCTACTACTTCAATTCTTGTCCTTTCTTGTTTGAAAGAAATTTAATCCTTAACTGCTTCGATATTTGCAGGATGTGCTATATTAGATCTTCATTTCATTCTTTCTTGTTCCTAGCAATTGTCTACAAAAAATGAAATCAATAATAAAAAAAAAGTTAGTACAAGAACCTTAGGGACCTGAAGAAAGAATTTTAGGATTAGTGTTAGTATATCAATTTTAAGAAAGAAGAATAATAGCTTCAAAATTTAAAATATAACATGACATAAATAATTCACATCAGTGTTCCTAATATAACATTTTTTACTGTTTTGATAATCTTAAATTTCAACTTAAACTTAATCATAAACAAAACTTCTTTTATTGTAAATAAATTAATAAAGTTATAAATTAATAATTAATTATGGTGTATAATTTTAAGTTACTTAGGTAAGTATGTTGAATGATTCAGCGGCAGGATTCAAGAAATGTGATGCCTTTCCGTTCTCTAACCGTTATCAATTGCCTGCCTAAATTACGTAGCCTCGTATTACGTAATCAATGGCATATATCACAGGCCCATTTCTTAGAATTGTACCTACATCACATAGGAAGCAAGCATATTTATATTGCTTACGATCAATGGCTGGGAACTTGGTCGCTGTTTATTTGTCTGGAGATTTTGATTGCGATAGAGCGACGTCGTGAAAAGAAACTGACTCTTGGAAACTTCATCAGAATATTTGAACGCATCGCTGATCTCTAAATTCTGTTTTTCCAAAATAAAAAGAAGTAACGATGTTAGCTGCAATAATTTGTACAAATTTAAAAATTCTTAAAATAAATTACCTCTCAAAATGTTATCAAATTTAAATATATATATATACACACATATTATTTGACATATTTCACAATTTTTCTAGAATTAATAAAAAAAATATTAACGATCAGTATCTAATAATGAAACTGAGTTCTCATAATGGGTTTGCCTAACTCATGACTATACAGGACTACTGCAGAACTGTCTGAAAAATGTTTTAATACAGTTTTCTTTCAATAAAGGTACTCGAAGCTTGGTATTGCACTTTTTCTGGAAAACAACAAGTATCGCTTTAAAGGGGGTTGAAAGGGTACTCGGCACAGTGCTCCCCCGCTAGCGAAACGAATCGCGGAGGGATCGAAGAACTGTTCTGTGAGCAGGCGCATGCAACTGATGCACCAGATCGATCTTTTCATCCAATGGAAGAGGCAAGACTGTATCGCAGTCTCCGCCCAAAGTATGGCGACCGTTTTCCTTTCCCCTCTGTCATGTTAAATGAACACCCCGGATGCTCTCATTGCAACACGAAAAACGGAACCTGATCGGAAACACGTTCCTAATGGATCAATTAACTACTTACGTATCTCGCTTTTAGGACCAATCACATTAAAGACTATATAATTTCACAAACAGTTTATGAATATCCCCATTTTCCAGTAAAAATGAATTTGTGTGTTTTATGTGTGTACATGGATGTAGGATGTAATTTGAATGTATAGCGATTGATCTTTTTGATAAGACCAAGCCTTTTTACTAGTAGATGCAAGCTCTCGAGAATGGTATCGATTCCAAATGAATGCGTACGCGCTGATTAAAACTGGCACAGTGGCAATTCTATGATCAGACCGGGCACGATGAAATCCTGACCAGGCCTTTTTCCATTCAGTTCAGCGATTTTTTTTTTTCGGCGACCTTAATTCCAATAGGATTCTAGGTAATGATTATCGTGCAAAACACGATTGACTAATCGTGATTTCTTAAATGCCACCTGAGCACGGTTACATAATTGTGCTTGGTGGCTCGACGTTGGACCAATTTTTTCCAAAAGTAGAACACAGCAATACATGTTCCACGACGAAGAAGTTGAAGCGAATATTGGGCAGAATTAGTATTAAGGAGCTTCACCTTTAACATACCTGGATACATAATAATTTTATTAGTTTATACCGATTAATATTTCAGAAATTATACCAATTAATATTTCAGACTAAATAAATAGTTTTTAATATTTAGCAACTTCAAAAAGTATCTAATTTATATTGAAGGCAGTTTGTATCCTGAAAAGTTCAACAACTTGTTAAACCTGGCCAATAAATAATATTATCGTTCAGATTGTTACTCTAAATGCAATATTTGTTTTGTGCCACTCCATCTTCTTTACAAACTTCGCAGTGGAAATATAACAAATATAACACACCTGGACAGGTCAACAACCATGAATAGTCATTAAATTTTATTTGTGTTGCTTAACTGTTGCTCTCTTACTGGTCTCAATATGAATAATCTTCCTTCCACTTATAACTGACACTCGTCATTGCGTCATTGGTAGCATTTTTTAATTGGACTTCCTGCAACGAAAATTCCCAAAGTCAATTCACGGATACTTGACGTTGCATTGAAAAGGTACAACAGTGATAAAGAACATGGAAGTAGCCTACGAGGACAGGATTTTTGACTGTTCCAGCCATCGGGGGCGGAGAACCAGACGTGGGAGGTCTCTGATAAGTTAGACGGCTCGGTGGCAGCGAAACTCCGCCTCTGTGCGCCTCCACCCGCTTCAGAACGTTCGCTGGTCCGCTCAGAACGTTCTCAATTAGTTTCAATCTCGGCTGGCTCTCCTTTCTGGCGCACGTTCTGTCGTGCTCCCGCTGCTACACGACGATTTCTACGCGAGTCGCGATATACAGTGATAAAATTTACCAAAGCAGTGTTTTCAATAAGGTAAATCTTCCTGTGTGGTGATCAAGAATCTCTTATTCCAGTTGAAGAATCATCAAGGCTTCTCTGACCGCCTGTTTCCTGTGAGTTTATTCTTTTGTAATTGTGCATGTCTGTTTAGTTATTTAATAACTTTGACAGTAAAGATTCCAATCGTACAAAGCTTATTGTTAGTAATTCTATATAGTTACCTCTTATGATCATTTAGTGGCAAGTCTTTTCTTCTTCCTTGGTTTAAATTCATTTAAAGACTTGCGATATGTAATTAGCATATTTGCTGCTGATTCTTGAATCTAAAAAATCCTTCAGAACTTGCAAGAGTAGCAATCTTCTAATTGTTTTCCAAATTAGTGTCTTGTATCGTTTTGCTGAAACAAATATACATACGTAATAAAAATTACAAAAATATAAATCACGTAGATATACTTTTTTCTTTTAGCTTAACTCTGTTCCGAGATATATCATCTTATTTATTAAGAAGATTCATTTTCACTAATTTGAAAAAAAATTAATTACGTGATCTTTTACGTCATGTGCAAAGTTCATTATCTGTAAAAACGCTGGTTTCAGTTTGTGCTCAGTATTCAGGATTATGGATCTTCTTACCCATGAATGAAAATCGTTTACTATTATTATTACGCGAATAAGACTAAAAAGGTGGATTTCGTGTGGATACATTATTATTAATGTATCTAAAAGTTCAAAAACGAGTTTGTAAACTCGATTCCACGATCAACAAGATTTGCAACGCGATGTTTAGTAAACAACCAGATAAATGGTTTCTTCCTTCTGCCAGAGAAGATAAGGGGATCTCCTAATTACGTCATAACACACAGCCATCTGCACCTCCATAAATCAGGGATCAATTAACATACACTAATCTTAAATGATTTCAACAGTAAAATCTTAATGCTGAATTAATTTACTGATTCCATTAAATTCGGTGTATATCAATTAATTTTTTCTTCGCTCAGATATTAGCTACGTACGGTTATTTCTTTTTTTTTAAACAAATGCTCAGTCAAGTCATCAAACGCCTCAGAATCTATTATCTACATTTTATATAAATTCCCTCCTGCTGATTATGAACACTTGGACGCTCATAAACATATCTAAATACGCTACGATAGAAATAAATGGCCTAGCAAATTTTTTAATCATTTCTCAGTGCGATTATCTTTCTTGTTAATTGTTAGTGAAAATTAGCGTTCAGACGACATAATCAGCGTGATTACACGCTATTCGATACTGATACCGAGCTAACGAGCTTTATTCCAATGATAAAGCGACACGAGTAGCTCTTAATGTGTATCCACTTCGAAAATAAATAAGTTCGACGAGCTAAGCGTACTCTCTTATTGTCAAAATTTACGAGATGCCCGACGGGGAGGACGTATCCAGGATTCTCTGTCGGCGGCCGCCGGAAATCTCAACGACTCCCCCGGGATATACTCCCTTTCCTCATGCTCGACTAAGTGCTCAGCTGTTGCTCACTTGTCAACATTCCCTTCTAGAGTCGTGTCAAACTCCGTGTCCCGTCGCATCGGCGGCTTTGAGCATTAGACACGAGTTTCCACGTTGGGAATCGTTCGGGGGCACCGAGTTGCCTCGCTACATTTGTCACGAACAGGGATTCCGCTTATTTCTTTGGCAGAGAAGATGTTGGATCTCTAGAATACATAGAATTTGGATAAGATTCTTTTGAACTATGAGTGCTGTTGTTTCTATTCAGCTACTTAGTAATAATTGGATACTTATGAAAATTCATACCTTCAGATTAAGTTTCGCTCCACGATTCGACTTTTCTTGATATTTTTGCAACTTTTTGTAAATGTATAAATGTCTGCATTTCTTTACTTTTGAGACTGTTGAGAACTAGATTTATTACTAATTAGAGTATTATAAATGCGTAAAAATCCTTCAGTTTCAAGATATAATGTTATGTTCAACCTACAAAATGAACTTGTGTCTTCACTTTTCTGTTGCAGATCGTATCAGCAAGTTTCAAGAATCATTTCCAATCCCTTGACGTGTCAAGGTACCTCCCCCTTAAAAATGTAACATCAAGCATTGATGGTGATAGCTTGTGATCAGTGTTGGACAGTCTTGAGTGTCAGTGCGTCTGAAAAGAAGAAAATTTAAGAAAATTTCTCTCAAATCACAATTAGAACATTTTTGAAGAATCAGTGTTGAACAGTGGAGGGGTTGCCTGCTTATTGGGAGGACCTAGCCGTGCAGCATAGTATAAATGCAGCTGCAACGGCCAGCATTTTTATGAATTACGATCTGGATAAGCCCAGGATGGTTTCGCACGTCATTCCCGTTGCTGGGGTAATTTTTTCAATCTTAATTTACAATTTATCTGCGATTTGAACTCACGAAGGATCGTAAAACATAATCCATTCAATTACGGTGTTCCGTAGGTTTTTTTATGGTAATGTTACTGGACGTAGAAATTTATTGCGAGAACAGTTGTAAATTTCATAATTGCGAGGCAACGAATTTTTCTACATTTCCACGGTTTTTCAAACGAACGTTCGTGAATATTCAGCTGGAGTGATAGTTGAGAGTTAAGTAGCGTCGCTTATCGTCGCACGCGAGGGAAGAAAAAAGAGAAAAGTGGAGGTCGTGACCTCGAAAATTTCGCAATTATACGAACTGCGTCTTCGCCGAGTATTCTCAATCCGTTCCCGTTTCCATGTCCATGTACATACATAATCGTTCTTCTCCTATTTCCTCTCACTCAAAGTTTAAAAATTCTCTACCAACAAGGAGAATCGTCCAAGAATCAAATGCACGTTGCCCGTAGAGAGTTTATTGAATAATGCTCTCTTCCATGAATGAACTTATACTTGATTCAGCCGGCCGGATCGATTGGACGTGGTTTAGATTTACAAAAGCGAGCCGGAGAAATCGATAGAGGCTCTTCTTACTATGGCTGATAATCTAAATCAGGCCAGTTGTACGAGCGATTCAGCAGCACTGACTTAAATTAAACGAGCATCGAAGCCAGAATACGATTATTAGGTGATTATGCGACGATTAGTCTGGCGCAGACACGCGAGCTAATTATTCAAAATAAACGAACAATTGATAAGCCGAAGGAAAAGCAGAGAAGCTTTTATCGAGCCGACGATAAGAGAAGTTGCCTCTCACGTCGTCGACCTATGCTTGATCTCCTCTGCTCGCAGCCTGATTTCCATTGCTGGATATTGGCGCACTTGCTGAAGTGAACAAAGTAAATCTTCCACTCATTCTTCAGTATTTTATCACACGGTCTTTCGGATAATTGTAAATCTAAAATTGTCAAGCATTGAAAATTGAATAATTATAAATGAAACATCAAAAAATTTACTTACGCTCGTAACTTCAATTCACAGCCAATTCTAAAATCCATAAATCATTACTGTTTTATCAAGGCACTTTAGGCGTGTGATCAACCGTATACCACGTCAAGTTACGTTTCAATAATATAATTCAGTCATAAACTTGTACATCAGGTTTATTTTTCGATTCGAAAATCATTCATTTGCTAGGTTGCAGGAGTGATTTGTAGGCCTTCTATCTTTCTAACGGTGTTGAAGTGCAAATAAACTGAGCAACAAGTTAGAAACAATAAATTAACTCTTGTTTATTTATTTGCGAAGCACCAGGGATTCTCATCAACTTCCTTCATCAACATTGTTGGAACCATCATTTTTCAAACTTTCTAGAAACACCAGGGAATTGTGAATCTTTGAATATTTTTTTACAACAGAGGAAGCAATTAACTTCTATGTCTACTATAGTATATACAACTATCTTTTTCCATCTGTCAGAGTCTTCTTCAAATATTTCTTCTAGCAAGTGCATTAGGCATTAATGCACCTAAGCACCCCAAAGTCTCGACTCTTTGAGGAACAGCCATCGGCTGGCTATGCCGATTCCTTTTTTTCACCCGTTTAAAGCGTCCACCGGTGGCGACAGAAACCAAGGAGCTTAATTTAATGGCTGTCTAGCGAATTAACGAGGTGGCCACGTGTCTTGGTTAGCCGACTCGACGGATTTCTTGAGAACGTTTCTCAGTGTCAACCGTTGATGCACTTCTGTAGTATGCCTCGCACAATATATCTGTGTGCCTTGACGCGTTTGCAAAAAATACACTTGTCAGCCTTAGCGCCACCATAGTGATAATTATGACCACCGTGACGGAAATGAGTAAATTGTATATTTCAATTTCCCTTTGCAACCAAGTATCATATTCGTTTGACCTGTTTCTTCCTGTTGAATGGAAAGTATCTTCCCATGGAAATGGTTCAGCAACTTCTCTTGCAGATGTTCAATACATATAATTAACTAATAGAGCAAGGTCGTTTCAGTAACTCGCTTAGGAGAGAAACAAAAAAGAGGTGTTAGAAAGAACATACCTCTTCAGGGGAGATGTTTAATGAATTTTCGTCAAGTACACCGGTGCAAACTAGACGTCGTAAAGCCGGATCGCAAATTAACGATCTAGCGAGATCGTAAGTTTCGCGTGGCATAATACGATGTCACAACACCGGGCCGGTGTTTGTAAGCTTCCGGCGACGGCACTTCAAACATTGCCAGCTACGAGCCAGAAGCCTCTTTAGTCCGATCTCTCTCGGTGGATGTGCCGCGTCGTTCATGTCGTATGAGGCCTCGGTTCGTTCACCTTTCGTCACCTTCCTGTTCGTTTCAATTAAAGGTTCACAATAGTTCTTTAATTTACCTGATTAACGTCATCGATCTGCTCGTGTTGTGTGATAGTCATTAGACTAAATTCAATTTCCTCCAGGGGAAAAAAATCTCCTTTTTGCGAGATCAGTAACGTTCCTTGCGTCTCAGACACGCATGTGTATGTTCCGGATAACAAATTTGCTTCACAATTCCAGGAACTACAGCAAGGCAATGGGAGTTTGGGAGTTGCAGGACTGGGAGGGATGCAAGAGCCGTCCCACTCGTTGAAGATCAAGCAGGAACCGTTCCAGGTGTCCCCGTCGTCGCCCCTTCCGCCTCTGCACCAAGGTGAGCGTCTCGTAACGAAAGAATCGCCGCTGTACAACCCAAACCTTCTAAAACTAAAACAAAACAAAAAAAAAAAAAAAACATACCGCGATCGTTGACAGTCTTTGAAAGACTGGCTTGACGTCATCTCGGCACCAACGATTCCTCTCGCGGGTATCCGAAAATCGTGTTTCTAATAATATGAAACCGGCGCTCCGAGTGTCGCGTGACTCTCTCTCCGTACGATGAAAGGAGCGGCGCACGGAGGGGAACGAAAAGTCCCGACTGAAAGTAATCTGAAAGAAGACAGAGAGAGACGTGTTACGGTGGAACAACCAGAGAACGAGAAAGAAAGTTGAAAAAGGAGAGAGAAAAAGAGAGAGAAAGCCAGCGGGGAATGATATATCGACGGAGGCTGCATCCTGATCTCTCCACGCGTCGTTTAGTTACATTCTCTGGCTCGATTACGCTTCTCCCCGTGTGCTGTCAGTGGCTCATCTCCTTCGGTTTCGGATTAGAAATTGTCACTGATAGAAATAACCCCGCGTAATGCGGCGCACGCTTCGACGGAGTGGGTTTATCAGCTGCGATCTCCATTGTTTTCCACCATAGATAGTATATATATATATATATATGTGTATGTATATCTTGTTATACTAATGTGTCACCGATGCACGAATCCAGGCAAATTCTGCAAGGTAGAAAAGAGACGTGTAATAGCACGTGGACTGCTTGTTTGCAAGCGCGTAATAAATAAAATAAAAGAAAAAAAAAAGAACAGAATTATTATATACATTACATTATATGTATACGATATTATTCTACGTGTAGGAAACGTTCGTGCGGATCAAGGATGATTTCCATTGTGAGTGAAAGAGGGCAGTGTCGGAAAGGGTTAAAGGAGCAGATAAAGCCACGATAAAAGAGGAAACGGGTCGCGCTCGGGGTTTCGTGTTACCAGATTTTTCTTATTCGCTAATCGCTCGAAGATAGACTGGGAGCCTCGTTGAAATCTAAGAAGCTCGGTATCAATATCTCCCGACGCAGTTATGCGTATGTGCATGCGGCCTGATCCGCGAACAGCGTCGCAAAAAATCTCTTTCTGTTTCGCGTTCGGTTAGATAAAGCTCGATTAGTCAGTCTCAATGACGACGCGGAGGATCTCCTCTCCTCTTTGTGGCTGGCGGTTGAGAATTTTTGTAGCAGCAACAAAACGGATCACCGATGACTTTCCCTGTGTTTTTTTTTTTTTTTTTTTTGTTGGAATCGGGGGAGAACCGCTCCGAGTGCTTCTGCCGAGAATTATGGTCGCTAATCCGGGAATGTCGGCCATTCCAGTAATGCACGAGACAGCGACGCCGTTTTCACGAATCTCGCCGCGAACTGTACAGCTCATTTGCTCATTTACGTTTGTTGCACGAAACATTTTGAATAGTATTTCAATGTGTGCGTGCATAGAAAAATTTGTCTGAAAGCGTTTCTCGTTACTTCTTTAAATTCCGTATCTCCTTGGTCCCTTCCGCTTAATTTTGCTTTGAAGATCACCCTCTATCGCAACGGGCGTTTCGATTAATATTTCGCAACTACGGTGAACAATGGTAAACCTGAAAAAGTTCGAAAATACCTTTAGTCACAAATGTTAATAAATGTATAAAATGTCTCGACTCGGTAGGTATATTCTACGTACACGTTTAAGTAGTGCATTGCCGTATTCACGATTATGCGTGCAAATTTATCAAGCCAATAAAGTCTCTGCGATAAGGCTCCATGGAAAGTTGACACGTTTAATTATGCAGAGCACTTGAATCGGGTGCCCCGATTATAGCCAGGGATCGTAGTTTCAACTCTCTTTAGAGTCTTTCAATTACAAGAAAATAAGATACGAAACGTCGTTCGTACGTCGTCCACTCACCGTCACTGGTTACACTGTGTAACACTTGCTTGCTTCTAAATATAGCTATTTATCTTAGCCTATGGGGATCGGTTCAAGATCCTTGGCGATTTTCAACCAAAAATTCGTGGATCGGGCCTCGTTCTCGTCGCCGATAACGTGACCCTGTTTATTTATTCTGAAACCAGGCCGTGAACGTAATATCTTCGCACGTACTCGAGTTAAAATAGATCTGTAGTAAACAAGGGTAACGGCTCTGGATTAATCTTCAATTGATAAGGGAGCCGCGAGCGTTCACAATGATCACGTGGATGCATAATTTTCGTCCGGTCCTCGCATTAACTTGACCGGATCGGATTCACATCTCAAATTCAGTTGGTTCGTGTTAAACAGTCATCGCGTCATGTCAACTTCCATATAGGTCCAGAGCAGATAAAACAAAGTGGTACTATACAATTTGTACTTGATTTCCTTATCGACGTCTTCTGGACTCTCTGAAATGATAAAACCGATCGGAATGACGGGTAGTCGATTGTAAGAGCATCGCGAGAAAGAATATTCGAGATAAATGCTCGATGACGAACCAAGAAGTGGGAAAGAAACACAGTCGGGCCCCCTGGATACATATTATCGCTCAGCTCCCGTTAGGTAATCGTCAGCGTCTGTTTTCGACTGGATCTAGAGCAGATTTTCCTCTGCAAAACACGTATACTCGCTGTAAACATGATAAACGTGACAGGTTGATGATAGAAGGGAGCGAGTTGTGCAGGGGAATTCCTTGCACTGCCAATGGAGGAAAGTCATCTTTGTGAATCAAGCTGGTAAACCTTCTGGTTTCCTTACACCTGTGGGATTAGAAATAAATATCATTGAAATATGTGTAATACCTTTCAATCATCTGATTTTAGTATTTGACGGATTTTTATTACATCTTAAGTATTTCATTTCTGTATATAAAGTATTTCAGAAGAATATAGTGAAGGATAAATAAGAACAGAAGAATTAAAAAAATCTGTAAAGGAAAGAGTAGAAAAAAAAAAAAAGATCAGCAGATTCCATACGCATTTCCGGTGTTAGTAAGCACCAAGGAGAAGATATCGGCACAAAGATGATGTCGTAAGGGCTAGGTTGACGATTGCCTCACGCAGGAGAATACATACCAGAAGATGAGTTAACGTCTCATTTCGATCTTTTGTCTCCTGATTTCAGTTCCCTTTTTCCTTTGTATCCTATCCGGAATTCGTATTATTTTTTACCTAGTACAATACATTTTTGATATTGTATCCAATTGTTGATAAGTTCAAATCAATTGACTACCACTTAAAGATCTTTCTTTCTAAAAGAATTCTGGAAAAACTATACTGTAGATCACTGCATCCTTTTCATGAAATGATAAGGCTCAGTTCATTTGAAACATGATATTTCAATCTGAAATACTGTTACATTACAAGTTTATAAAATATGTTTTGGAGTTGATGGTATTACAATAAGAGACACGTGCCTGTTCATAGTGGGAGTGGCTACTTCAATGGGATCCCCCTATTAGCTGGATCATTGAACACGTGCCCTGACGCCCTCTAATGCTTGTCCTAGCTCGCTATAATCGCCGTGATACTTGATATTAGAGGAGTATGACTTTCACCTTACTCTAACGATCATGTTACTGCTGCGTTACAATTAATTCATTAATTAGCGAAGAACTTTATTCAGGAAAGAGGGAGATATCTGTACATGTACAGATTTTCCCTGTACAATTAAAACACACATGATATTTTTTTCTGTATATTAAAAGAGTGTTTACATATTAAAGTGTAAGTTCAAGAGGTTTTCTTTTTTGGAACTAGAGTATAGGTCAACTTGGTCGAGGAGTAAGGAGAAAGACGTGGCATGGACGAGAACAAAGACGTGCGATTCGCAGCGTGATGTCACGGCGTATTGTATTTCGCTTATCGGCGCCGATTCCTCACGGAACCCGCAGCATTTCAGGAATGCGAATGCCACGATTTTCAGTGCGACAACGACCTTTGTCTCGAGGATCGGCTTTGCTTCAGTTCTAATTGAACCGTATCATCCATCTCTTCTTCTCTTTTCCATCTCTCGTTATTTCTCTTCTTTATAGAAGCCGTGACTCTTTGTCACGATTTGTCTAGTTGAATATTCGGTCAATTTATTTAGTACTAATTTTAGCTAACTTTAGACAGTAACCGAGACGTATAAATGTATATATTCGCAGGCACCTGTGATCAGTATAAATGACTGACCTCTATATAATTAATTACCAATTTTCCAAGAACTCATGAACTCGTTTCCCAAATCTGCAGACGTCGTTAAATCATCGTTACAAACATACGCCGACGAAGGCCAGCAATTTTCGCAAGTTCAGTTACGTCACGAGTTTTCACAACACTTCTGCATTTTTCTGCATATACCCCATTGCGAAACATGTTCTGCTTCGTACAGTGAACTACTTACATGAGCAGTATCATTCTTTAGCATAGGTTAGGGAAATTGTTCTTCAATTTCTTTTCTATATCCAGTGTTTTCTACTGGACGATTGTCTGTCGTAGACGACTGTGAAACAAGGGATCCCGTGACGAGAGCAGATGTGGTCTCGTAGGTGTCGCGTAGCAGGGGATCTCCAGTTGCAGTCAGGTGTGTTGGCAAACGTTATCGCAATCTCGCTCGTTTGTGCACCTTGGAAGTGCACACATAGAAGTCCACGAGCCTGTGTAAATATGTTAGATAGACTCTTCATAGGTCGATATCGCTTGTCGAACTTGGGGCACGTGATCTGTGAAAGATGATGTCTAATCTGGAGTCCTCAAGATGATAACAGATCGTGTATAAGTGTATATAGTTCCTCATTGATCCGTCTCTGCTTTTTTTCACTCATCAAGGATCAAGCAATCGAGTAATGTGTAAAAGTTGCGTAAACTTCTCAAGTTCTGGAAAACGATGATAGAACATAATACTATAGACTATAATTACTATTACACACGTACAAACAAATTTTTATAATAAAAACCAAGTCGTAGTTCATTTGGATTTCTTCAAATTTTATAAATGTAAGATCTAGGAGAAAGAAACAATAGCGGAGGAAATGCTTGAGATTCCTACTTGTAATTGCAACGTGAATTCAATAATTTGAATTGACTAGAAAACTTTAGTCCTTGATGAATTAATTGTCTTTTTCCAATTTTTTCTTTCGAATGTTCAATGTTCAATTAACGAAATGGCTAAAATATATCTGATCACGAATGGTACAGTATTATCGCGTATCTGCTATGAAAACATCATTGTGTCCTGGACGAAGAAGCTTGCTCTGCGCTGAAAATCACATACCCCGGAGCTCTGCGTTAGTGGGATATCATGTTTGCCTGGATTCGCGTAGCCTGGGAACAGATGTTCCGTTCCTAGTGGCTCTGATTGATAACAATGTAATCGATCATTGACTGCAGGCTACAACGGACCAGAGTAAATTGAACAAACTATTTTTTAACTTAATTTCGTATATTCAGTTCTTCGCTCTTTCTCTCCTTGAAACCGATCCGACTGAATTTGCGAAAATTCAATTCCGGCCGCTGTTTTTCCTTTTGTTCCATGCTTCTCTGTTACTCGTTTTTCCCTCTCTGTTGTGCAAGTGCGGCGTGCTTAACTTATCGGTGTCTAGTTACAGTTCCAGTTACATGTGCCGCCGGGCACCGGTGAATATTCGACGCCATGCACGTACGCACTCCTTTTCTGACTCACGTCTCCGTTTTCCACTTATTTTCTTCCGTCGCTTTTGATACTCAATCGTACGATTCGTTTACCACTTTTAGAAAAAGAAAATAAAATGGAACTGAATTACAAATAAATTGAATTATACGATACGACATTATATGATATGATTTATATAATGATAAACGTAACGTGGTACCTATCAAGGTTTCTGTTAATTTAACTAGACAAAGATTTATACTTATGGTGGAAAAAGAATGACGCAGTTTCAGACAAGGGCACCCAGCGCACTTTAGATGATCATTTCTCTAAACAACGTTTATCGTTGAGGCTCGTGTGTCGCCCAGCGAATTCCTTTTCAAAGGTCCAATTGTTTCACCCTGGCTGAGATTTCTTGGAAGTCGTGCCAGCGTGTAGATCGATCGACGCCAGTTCCATTGTCCAATTTCTTGGAGATTCAGACCGTGTCTCGAATTGAAATCATCTAACCTTCCCTTCTCCTTCAACTCAAGCTTAAGCTTGACTTGACTTTTCAGAAAATTACGTGAAACATTATTATCCATCTCTTCTTCGTTCAGGTATGACATTATAAACGTTTATGTTTAACACTTTCAGTGAGCAGCTTCGTGTCAGAGATGCAGAATGGTTGCGTCGGTGTGTCAAAGGATCTGGATTCCTCGATGAGTCTCGCAAGAGGGCTGACATCACATCACGCCTCCCTCGCTCACCATCATTCTCACCATAATTTGCACAGTCCGAATTCTGCGGTGTCTATGCATTCTACAGGCTCCACTCATCACCATCTCGATGAGAAAGGATCATCCCCGACTGGAGCTCTTCACAGTACCACCAACAGCAATCCCTCGACACCGTCGACACCCTCAACGCCAACCACAGTGGCAGATGGTTCTTCCGCGGCTACTGGAACCGGAAATGGAAATGGTAGCAACAATGATTCCGCCAGCAAGAAGCCTCCGTACAGTTACGTCGCCTTGATTGCTATGGCGATTCAACACAGTGCCCAGAAGAGGGCAACCTTAAGCGAGATTTATGCTTACATCACCACCAGGTTTCCATATTTCCAGAAGAACAAGAAGGGCTGGCAGAACTCTATCAGGCATAATCTGTCCTTGAATGAGTGTTTCGTGAAGGTGCCTCGTGACGGAGGCGGTGAGAGGAAAGGAAATTTCTGGACACTTGGTTAGTGGGCATTTTTGCTTTAATCTATTAAAAAAGAAAAAAAAAAAAGAAAATTATAATAAAAAGGAAAATAAAAATTATTGAATAAATGATAAATTTTTTACAATCAAATTGCTCGCCAAGTTAATTCTGACGCAGACATTTCATGTTTATTATTACTTTGTAAAATTATATTTATAAAATTTTTTGGTGACATGTTTTGGTGGGATCACAGGTTTAAGCTAACTGATTTTATATTTTAAAGTAAATTTTTAGATTGTTGCTAGACTTATTCGATGTAACGTTTACTTGTAGATCCACAGTACGCGGATATGTTTGAAAATGGTAACTACAGAAGGCGTAGACGCATGAAGCGACCATACAGAAACGCACCGTATCATAAGCCATTATTTGGCGATCCTTTTTCTCCAACGCACGTCCATTTAGGTCCTAGAAATTTATTTGGCCACTCTCCGCCATCTTATGCTCCGTCTACGTATACCAGATACGACACCAGGTATCATTAATTATCTCAAAATTTGTTCATTATTAATTGTCAATTACTTCGGAGTATTTACATTATTTATTACTGATTATCTTAAAGTTTCTTCATCCGAACATCAAGCATCAAATTTAAGAAACAATCTCTACTTGTGATTACAGTGCTTGGAGTCTTCAACAGTCTCAGCTCTCCTACAGCCACTGTCAATCAGTAAGTAACAAATTCTTAACTAAGTTTCACACTCTTGTTATTCAAAAAGTAATAGTAATAAATAAAAGTTCCCGGTTTGCCTGCAGCTCCAGCCACAGTTACAACCAATGCAGTCCATGCAGATACCAACGATGAATGGTTACAGTCAATTAGGCACCTCATTAAGTGAGTCTCCCCTCTGATCAGCAGATTCTTAGCATTTGATTTTGCGAAATACTCGACGACCAGGCAAAGCGTTTCAAGGCAATTACTTGGATGTTCCAGGTGGGACCACGAGTTCCCCAGGTTCTATGGGTAGTGGTTCCTTTGGCAGTAGCTTCGCCAGGAGGCACGACGCCGCCATGACCCAAGAAACCGTGCCTACCAGATGCTATTGGCCTGAAAGTAATAGAGCATTTGCTTTCCCATTTTAATTCACTGGCGATGTTAAGCAACCATGATCGTTGCAGATTTTTATATATTCATGGAGAATTCAAAGATGCACACTTTCAAAAAGGATGAACGGATCCAAGTGTCATACTTTTTGTTCCAGTGGTAAATGTGAAGGAAGAACCGGGAACCGTGGCAGTATCTAGCACCAGCGTGGGTGGCATGGGCGTCCCTTCAGGAATGATGGGATCCACAACTCCAACAGGGGTTTCTACGACTGGATTCGCGCCAATGGAGTTCCAGTCTCGGTCCAAGTGCTTCATGTGAATCGATTCACCGTTTGCATCGTTGTCACAAGCTGAGAGTCTTATCAGAATCCCGAAGGATCATCGTGTGTCGCTTCAACGACGTTAATTTGGCTGATCTTCATCCGGACGGAGCGGTAAGCGAGAAGAATAGGAATGTTAAAAGTGTGTTTCCCTTTACTGGAAATCCTTGTGGGATCCATGGTGACGCTGAAGAGAAATCAGAGTTGATCAGAGTAGTGATAATTCCAAACAAGTGTGAAAGGTCTCTTCAACTCGAAACGATAAACGTTGCGCCCCTGTCCTCGACTACGTTTTCGACTGCTGCACAGTATTCGATATTTAAGCGAGATGCCTCGTGAATTGGTTTCTATGAAAGAGGAAACGAATTTGCGAGGGTCACTGATCCAGGGTCAATGATTAACGCGTAGTTTAAGGCGCATCCGTGATACAAGAAGGCACTCGAGGATGTTTTGTTTTATATACATATATGAGTAACTAGGTCCATGTAGAAGCAAAAGATAAATGTATATCTAAACACGTAGGTCGCATAACGTAATAGAAAATGAAGAAATAAAAAAAAAGCAGTTTCTCTGGAAGACTATTCGTCGGTGTACATATCTAAGCGTACTAAGTAGCTTGATTAACTAACTGTGAATTATTCCAACAATTCTGGACACACGTGGCAGCTCCTGTAATTAGATGGAAAGTCAAAAATAAATCACTATTATTTATCGTCTAGTACCGTCAACGATCGTTATTTACCTTTCACTATAACACTCTATTTTAAATCAAATGTAACTCCAATTTTATAACTTTTGTCCTATAATATTCTATAATACTATTAAATAATACAATTATATGAAGAAAATTTTTCTTGGTATAATTATAAAAAGTATCTTTTATACATGGCTTAATTCTACAAGTCACGGATCGTGTTTTTCAATTTGTAGTAATTTTATGAAAAGAAAAGGCTAAGAAATTTTATCATCCATCTCTATGTGATGGTTCTATTTCTATTCGATATTCAGAACAAAAGTATATTCGCTTCCTGTGATTCAGTACGAGGCTCTGGGCTCAGAATATCCCTAGCAAAATGAGAAAAAAGAGCGGAAGAGGGAAAAGTAGCCAATGGCTAGCAATGGTTGATGTTTGCGTGGACGAGGATGTTTTACAAACACAGTACGCGCAGTCGAGCTTTAATATTCTTCGTAAAAGAGAGGCTGGCCGTGCACAGCCAGTCAACACCGTACGTGCATCAGCGCAGGAATAGCACGTGCACTTTATTTTTCGTCTGGAAATCGATCGTACGACCACGTCCCTTCTCCACGCCCGCCTCAAAATAAATCTTGCTTGCCCGATGGAAAAGAGCACGCTTGACATGAATGGAATGGAAAGAGATCTTCTCGCTTGCATCATTATACTTTCATATCGTTCATCAGGGTTCTCATAAGTTCCATTTTCCTTTTGAAATTTTCTACTGTCCGTTTCTGTCTCATTGTTCTCCAGTTTCTTCACCATTCAAGATGAATCATTCCAAATGATAAATTGATTGGCCACTGCAACAATATTTCTAACATTATTATACTTAAGAGTGAAGTAAATAAAATACTTAAAATCATTATAATAATTCAACTGAAGTTTCAAATCCTGTGCATGTCCTAAATTTTCCCTTGAAACACAACTTCTGTCTGACAGAATCTTTTTATTCCTGTATTTTGAAGAAGAATATATATTTTATTACTAGGGGGCAATATAAACTATGGGGGAGGGTCAGTATTATTCTTACTCTGCCATTGGTTGGAAGGAACAGGTAGATAGAACCTTGGAGAAGAACTTTCACGAGGACAGATAGATACCTAAATTCTCATTGGTTGATCGAGACAGGTGAGGCTGAAAGGTAGGGAGGTTTTATCTACCATAGGAGATGGAGTCTAACCTTTTCATTTCTATACAACATTTTGTAGTTGGTATAAAGAAAATGAAATATAATAAAGTATCTATCTGTCCAGGATGAAAAAAAGAAAAAGATATACAATAGCTAAATCTTACAAGAAACTCGAAACATAAACGTCGGCTACTGTTCGGTTCACGCAAGCAGTCTCTATAAGCAAACACTGGCGTTAATCATCGGCGGTTCCCCTCCTCGCGGAACGAATCCACTGGGAGTCAGGTAAATCATTCGTACTGTTTCTCTGCAGGCTCAGATTACAGAGATGTGGCCGCGGCGCTTTACAGCACGGGATACGACCACCATGTAGCTATTGTTTCCTATTGAATCAGTCCAGTGAATTGACAAAAGGCAAATAATTTCCTTCATTTTGCAATTGACAGGATAAGAATTGTATCTGACGCCTACTAAATAGACTTGAACGACTTAAGTTGAATTTCGTTTAAGGATTTATCGAATTTGTAACTTTTCTTTTTAAACATAGAATAATTAGAAGTGGAATTCACAAATACTAGTTTTAAAGTAATAATTTACTTACATGTTCATAGATTTGATTTTGTGAAACTAGTGTTTTGTAAAAGTCATAAGTAAGAAAAAAAAAAACAAATTTTCAAATGTGCAACGGCACAGAGGTTTAACTACAACTTGGACTAGCTTAGGAAATTAGTAAAACCAAAGGGAGTAAACCTAAAGATTCATCCGGTTGCATTTTTTAAGGCGTTCAAATGAGGGGGGTAATGTTGCAGGCAGTCGAAGACAGCCGGGAATTCCTTCGTTTTCGTCGCGTCGGGATTCACACGCACGTGCATCGTCCGTGGCGTGTAAATAGAGGGCGGAGGTGACATATAGCGACAGCCAGAGCAAACGTGTCGACCATTTAGGCGACTATTAGCAGCTTCACGGCCTCTTCCACGCACGTGCGACGAAGGAAACGCTTGTTGCCTCTTGGTGCCAGTTAAATTATTCGATCCTTTCATATCATTAACTAACGTCACTATCATTATTGTATTAATAATGAGTGAATCCTCCAATAATAATTGATAATCACGAAGGGTAGATCAGGAAGAGTGGAACGCTAGAGGAAAAGGAAAGTCAGAGTGAATACATCAGTTTGAGATTCATTTAATTTGTAAATTCATGTTTTTATTAAATTTATGAACTCACCAGAATCAGGTTCAGGTTTAGTGTCACTTGAAATCGGGAACAATGGAACATTTGCAGGAATAGATGAAGATGGACGTACCAATTATTATTCGATTTTAAACTTGTTCTTAATTCGTTCACTCAGTGTGTTCCCATGAAAAGGAAAATGAGGAGAGAACCCAGAGGATATTGGTTTTGAATAATATGAATTTTCCTTCTTCTTTCAAGTCTTTATTCTGCGAAAGAATGAGCAAAGAAAGGTATACGTCGAATCTTATTGGAATGATTTTTGCCAGTCTATATTTGGCTCCGCCTTAAGAATTACCCGGCTCGTTTAACGCAGTTGTTAGAGTGGATTTAACTGGACGAAACGGGGGAGAGTGTGTCAGATATCGTTCGACCGAGTTCTGGTAATCCTCGCACGGAACGGACGGCAATAAATTTTCAGCGACACTGGTTGTAAAGGAGGGCCGATGTTACGCGGTCCATTTACTCCACGGGATGTCACCTAAAATCAGTTAATTATATTCTAGACACTTGACCACTTGACCTAGCTGAACTGATATTATTTGCAACTCAAAACGAATGAATGTAAAAGCCACACGACTGTTTATCAAATCATTTTACAGAGAAAGATATGTTCTTTCATTACAGACAAGTTAAATTAATATTACAAAATATTCGATATTTCTTTATAATACTGAGAATTTATTATCTATTTTCAAATGTCTTTTGTGTCAAAGCGGTTCTTTTTAGCCGTCAAATGATATAAAAATCAAACCAATAAAAATAATTTCTCTCCCTAATCTGATTACTTTTGTAACAGTCTTTCCATAATTTATTTTATTTCTAATGCCGAATGGTCGATTAGTCGAAAGGACAGAGATCGGAACGCAAAAATCGCCAAGTATTCCAACGACGAGCAGTCAGGGAGAAAGGAGGGCTCGGGCTCTTTACAAAGAGCATAACGACGCGAACAATTTGTAGCAGAGTGTCAACGAAGCCGATTCTATTTTGGAGACGACGCGCGCGGCTATCTTTCCGCCCGAACTCCCTCTCGTCCTTCTCTGTCTCCACCTACTACTCCATCGTATTTCAGCCTATTGCACCGACTTCCCCGGTCTCGCGTAAATTTACACGCGATTAATCCGTCCTCGTGGCCTTCTCTTGTTATCCAGACACGCAGTTCCTCAATCTGCCTTCAACCACAAAAATAACAAGAATACAAAAAGGCACGCAGATAAATATAAGCTTTTCTAAACGAAAAGAGGTTACGGTAGTTCCAATTTTTCGTTCCATTCGTTCTACTTCCGTTTTCAAAATTGTTCCAACTTCTTTTCAACGATTTCTTCAAACGTTAAACGCTCCATAGACTTTGCTACTTTTTTTTTCCTACATTCCCTCGCCTCTATGCCTTCTTCAGAATCTGCGACAGTCCTGCAAACGAATCAGTATGGTTCAAGCGCCACACAGTGAAAATAGAGATGGAATACGATAGTTAGCGCCTTCCTCGAGCAAACGTGCTGGGGGACGTCGGAGCACGTACCAGTCACGCAAAATGTATCTCTTTCTCTTTCTACAGTAGCCGACGACACGTACGCTTGCATGAAAATCGTCGACCATTCGGTTTTCAAAGAGAGTTAACGTGTACCTCGTTTATGAAGTTTGGATTATTTTTAGGATCCTTTAATGGAAAGTTTGCTCAGCATGGAAAATGTTGTGATGATGATGATGACATCATTGAAAGGAGATATGGGAGATCGACAAATCATTGTTCTTTTTTCACTGGGATGTTATTTGCTGTGAGAATGAATTGAAGGTTTACTGTAAGTTAATTTCTAGGTCAGAAATATTTTCGTTGCATCTGTTTTTCCTTAGAATGATAAGAAGCCATAAGGATGTTTATCTGCAAAATGAAATAAGGATTAAATTTTATTGAATTACTTTGTTGTATGAACATGTAAATTCCCTAAATTCCCAAGCATCAATAAAAAAAAAAAGAAAAAAGGTACCTCAGGATTGGAAACGATGGCTACGGAAAGAAACAGGTGGAAACGTATGTGAACGTTTTGTTATATTACAATATATATAATTCTCGGTACATGTGTGCACAGGCTGAATATTGTGCATGATAAAAACACTCGCGCACAAGAATGTTCTTCGACGGTTTCTTTTCTTTTTCTTAATACTTGATTCTAAACGACTCTGGTCGACTCGTGGGGAATGATTGACGGGAGAATGGAAATTGCACGTGTGAAATACACGTACTGTTTATCTTCCAATCGACGGGCTAATCTTCTTCGAGGAGGTCGTCATCAAGACTCACACCCTGAAACAGAAAATATATTTTTCACCCATTGCCATTATTCACTTTTATCGTCAGAGCATCCAAATGGTAAAAAAGAAAAGAATCTAGAAAAAAAATTTAATTTAGAAGAAAAAAATCTACCATTTTAGAAATTATTACTTTGTAATTTTATTTTTTTACTATTAGTCTCTGTTAGCTTAACAGACAAACAGATACTGTATGATAGGATATATATGATAATTCTGTGAAAGAAATATTTACTGTGTAAAAGAGGAAAGCGTGAAAAAGCAGTGTAATTGATGGAAAGGGTACACAAAGAAAGATTCTGTACACTGTACACCAATGTTATGGCAATAAGGCTGTAAAGAGAATGAACCATGACTGGCGCAAAGTCAATAAACTTTATGGCCTCGTAGCTCCTTCATCGTTCTCTGATAACTGAAGAATCCTGATACTCAATGTTTAGGAAAAATTACACGAAGAAAGAAAATATAAACTTCTTAAAATACAGCTATCGAATTTTTATCTTGAAACGAAGGGTACGAAATCCTCCACTTTCACGTTACCTGCTACGATTCTTTTCTTTCTTTTATTTTTGCATGTTGCTATGTTTGCTTTTCTTTGCTTTATTTAACACGGTGTTCGTTCTGCTCGATAGGTGGAACGTGTTCACATACATCGGTCAAGATCGATATATTGCCACGGACACAGACATCGTTTCACAGTCAGACGCGTGTGTGCGTGCCACGCTTGGTTTCAGACTGTTTTAGTAATGTAATACCCTTCTAGAATTACGCGTCCATATTTAAGGGTATTAAGACATCGTCTAGTTACTCCCCCTTTTGTTCCTTCTATCCCTTGTTACGCTGCTGTATTTGACCTCAATTCACCTACCTACCGTTTTTTCTCTATGATCTTCATACTTCAATTGAAATAATTCCCATCTCACAACGCAACTGAATCCATGTGAAAATAAGTAAAGAAGAAGTAAATGTACTTCTGTGCACGTACACTTACTTTGTGTAGGTAGAAGCACTTATATACGGACAGCATGCACAAGATAAAAGAAAGTTGCATGAAAAAAGGAAAACAAATAGAAGAAACACGTATTGATAATAACACAAAGGACTTACAGTAGTATCTATAGTATCATCGATCTCAAGATCGAGATCGAGATCGTCTTCGTCCACGGTTAATGGTCTGGAGCTGCTGGTTGTCTTCATGATCTTCTCAGGTAGATCAGACTTCCCCGTAGATGATGAAATGATCTTACCAATATCAAGATCCTGTAGCCTCTCTGTTAGACTCTCGGTCGTCGATTCTCCCATCTCGATAGTGCTTGTTGCCACTTTATAGGTGAAACGAGTTGCCTGTTCAGCTGCTAGCATTTCTTCGAATGGTTTTCGTTCAACGTTAGGCTGCAACAGTCATACAAAATTGAATTAAAATTCATAAATTGCATGCATTCTGCGTTTTACTCGTGTCTCAAATTATTGATTTCCTTACTTGTACGTTTGGGAACGCAGACGCCGAAATCTTCTTTTTACTCTCTTCTCGGAGGAACTGTTCCACCTTTAATGCTTCTCTGTATCCAGGGAACAGATTTTCGTACTGTTCAGGATCGGCCAAACTCTGTCCAGCCTTCTTACTTACAGTCGACAGTTTCTCTTTCCACAGTTTCACGATGGACGAAATTTTACTAGGAGCGTACGTTCTCGCAAAGAACGCAGCCTCCGGGATTCTGTCCGTCTTTATGAGAATGTCCAAACATTTGTCCAGGTCTCCAAGGATGAAATACGACAAGAACGAAATGTTGTTCTTGCCCGTATCGTCGGCGTCCGTGCCTAATTTTTGAATCATGCTCGCGTTTCCTGTACTCGTGGCAAGTAACAGGAGTCCACCGAAATCTTGCGCCTGGTGTAAACATTCTTGCGCCAAGCACAATTTCCCTTTCTGCGTGGCGAGAGATGCCAGTTGTCGCCATTTTTGCTGGCTGTTCGCTTCTTTGGCAAGCGAGTGCGCCGTCACAAGGTCTCCCAACGCTAGAGCCAACTCGAACCTGTGCTCTGGATCCGTGGATACAGCCAATGCTTGTTCTTTGAAACCCTACAGCATTTTCAATGTTAATTTTTCATATAAATCGTTTATTAAATAAGAGATCGTTTTAACAATACGAACTTGCTTCTCTAAGAAATGAGCCACACGCGTACGATGTTCTTTGGGGACCGTGGGAAGAACTCTGTCCGCTGTCTCGAAATCTTTTCGCATAACAGCAGTCTGGTATTCTAATACAGATAACAATAACGAATACGAGACAACTGACAGTTCCTTATCGCATAGATACAATCTGTTATCCCTCGGGACATATCCAAGAAGGTACATTGGTCTATCTAAGTGTGACACCGTTACAACTTCTCCACCGACGAAATAGTTTATTCGATTTACGCTGTTCGTGTAAATGAAGCAGTCGCCGACCCAGAGTCCAGTTTTCACAACCTCACTCATTTCTGCTACCATCTAAATTATATCAAAAGTGTTACTACTTTCATTGTATAGGTGTTAATGATGAAATGACAAACCTCAAAAGCATCTTCAATATCTTCTGAATTTTCTGGGGCATTTGCAACGGCGTCGGCATGGTATTTCAAAATAAAATATTGATCGGATGTGGCCAACGCTACCAAAGAGCCATTTTCGGCCCAATAGACGTGTGTAGGTTGAATATCTATACGACGAATTAATTTTAGCATTTCCCAGTCGAAGAATGATAAACCAGATCCGGAAGAAACGCCCAGTAAAAACCCACCAAAAATACCTGTAGAACAAAAATAGTTAAAAAGTGGCCAGTACAACAACGTGAAGAACAATAATTATTATATTTACCATCAGCACCAAAATCAGGTTTAAAGCTTTTCTTTTCTTTAAAGTTCTTAAAGACTTTAACAGTGGTGTTGCTTTCTCTGACAGCATACTGATTTGTATCAGCTGCCCAGATGAATTCCGATGCTTGACCAAAGGCTTTATTTCTTAGTGCCATAGACGTATAAATAATATACTCTCCATCTCCACAAACCACCAGAAATCTTCCATTTGGATTGTGCTGGATAGTTTGTGGATAGATCTCACAGGCACCCATATCTTTCACAGCCAATGGGAGCCTCTCTCCATCTTGTGTTTCCTCTCCTAGAGCTTTCAAGTTTACTTGTTGAATTTCACTGTGCTTTGCCCAGACAATCTTGCCACCTAGTGAATCCATCGAGACTGCGGGCTCCTCTCTGCCAACTTTCACTATAACACTACTCTCATCGTAACCAATTGCAACATTGTTCGAGCCCCGTAAGCAAGCAATCGTCCATACTCTCTCAAAACCATAATTAAGGGAAGATTCTAGTCTATATGTTCCAGCATGCCATATTCGAACTGTTCCATCTTCAGAACCAGTAAGAATAATGGGCAATTCCGGATGGAAGCAAACAGCACAAATATTTTGTGTGTGCCCCTCCAGCGTCTGTACACAAGTTTTATTCTGATAATCCCAAATTTTGACATAATTATCATCTGCTCCTGATATTAAGTATGGTTTGTCTCCACCGTGATAATAGTCAACACAATTCACGCCTTTCTCATGACCGTCTAAAGTGAAATTGGCAGTGGAAGATCCAAGCTGCCAAACTTTTACTGTTCTGTCTAATGAAGCGCTTGCAAATGTATTGTTATCCTTTGGATTAAATACTACTTGCATTACATAATGTGTATGCCCTTCGAATACCTGCTGTCCTATCCAACCTTTCTCCCAATTCCACAACTTGATTAACATGTCATCTAAGAGGAAAAAATAAAAATTAATCTATAGGTAAAAGCATCATTAAATTGTAACAGGTAATGATCAATACACATACCACTGCTTGTTAATATGAATGGTTGCGTTGGATGCACGGCAATGCATCTGACATAGTCGCTATGTGCTTCAAAAGAATGTACGCGTTCCAAAGTATTATAATTAAATACTCTGACTTGCATGTCATCTGAACCAGTAACAACCCAATTTTTACGTGGCACAAACTTGGCTGTACGAACTGGCAGGTCGCATACTTCAAATGTCTTGACCAACATCTGAGTTTCATGATTCCAAATATTAACATTTCCCTGATACAATGAACAGAGCATCCATGGTTCTGTAGGATGAAGATCCACACTCTTCACCCTGTCTGACCTAGCAGTCAGTTTCCGCTTGATATCTAATCTCAGTGGCTAGAAAAAAGAAAAAAATATATTTATAATTTAAAATAAAATTACATCATGTTACATGTGCAATAAAAAGAAACAGAACAAACTTGATTAAAGTACTATAGTGAGCATGTTTGAGGATGTATATTTTCTAATTTACATTTATTTCAATAACACAAGTTTCAATAACCTCTTTTTACTGTTTATAATTTAATAATATTATTTTTGATCAGTATTAGGATTAATACAATATCAATATCTGATAGTCACATCTATATCCATACACTATTATTATTATTGGTTAATACTACTATCAATTAAAGATATAGAAAAAATTCTGAATCAGTGAAAACTAATGCAATGAAATCCTGTTGATGATATGAACATAACTTATATTTTATCACAAAACCATTTATACAAAAGGCATCACACGAACAATTGTATATCATTTTTCAATGTAAATCTTTTATTATTTACAACACATGTTCTCATAAGTCAGCCAGCTGTCAAAAGTGAGAGAAAAAAAGTAAATGAAAAGAACAAAACAATTTATTACCACATACTGTGCAAATTAAGTATATTTGTATCAGAAACAAATTATAGTAATTATTTATTGAAATACAAAATAATTAGCGGTCCAATTGTTCGTCATTATCGCTATAGTGAAATAGCAAAAACAGGTATACAGAAGCAGATGACAAATTTATGAAATTACGTTACCACCGTTTCCGAAATACATACCATTTTTCACTGTACAATGTGTATTTACAATATTGAATAATTCCGAGCCTAATGACGTAGATACGGAATTTAAATCTTTTCCCATGAAGTAACTACGTGGCCCAACCTTTCCTCCACCGCACAACTTGCACCATCTAAAAATGGCGTTGATCTGAAGACTTTGTCACACGTTTGCAATAATCAATCAGATATATTTATCATTGAATGGATCGTTCGGATTAATTACACTATCGAATCTTGCAATAAAACACTGATAATATCTTTTTTTATGCATTAGGTGTACTGTAAAATTTCAATATTTAGTTATGAATTTGGTGAGACATCACGTGATGTGTCACACATCCTTAATCTGCATTTTCATGTGGCGCTGTCGCTGAAATGCCTTCAAAATAAAAAACGTTTAATAATGTTTCCTTAGTATTATCATTGACTAGCTATGAATATTATGTTATCTATGTTTGAAGAGTCGGATTTTAATCTTAAAAATATACGTGCAGAATCACAGACGATGTAGATATATGTAGATACATCTTGTAGGATTTCGTATTACATGTTACATGATTTCGTTTTCTGACATACCGACAGGTAAACATGTCATTGTTTCTTCGCGTACTCTACGTTCAAATATAGACAAGGTATATGAATAGACATTGCATACAATGTATTTTTTCGGCTACGATTTTGAGGTTATCGTAATCTCATTACCATTTTTGTGTCACATTCTGTTGTACCGATTCAGGCAGATTTTGCATCGCAGCACCGCAGATACCGACGAGGCCATGAATAGAACTAGTAATCCAACGTATTTTTTCGGCCAAAGATTTCAGTTGACTGCGTTACCATTTTCGTGTCACATCCTGTCGTACCGATTCATGCAAGTTTTGTACCGCGAAAATCAAAAAATATGGACAGTGTTGCCAGATTTATTTTTATCATATATTTGGACAATGATGCAAAATATTGATAAGTTTAAGCATTCCACTCTGATTAATAGAGTAAATATTGACAATAAAAAAGCACGTGCTGACTGAAAAAACGTCATCGAAGGGAATGAGAGGCAATCGGTATTAATACGTCAGTGTGTTGAGATACGGTGATTATAAATTCGTATAAAATGCGAGTCATGAAACTATTTGGAAACGTTTAATTATTCCTCACATCTAAATATATATGATGAAGTATTTGTTACTTATTTTTGGTAAAAACGAAATATATTTCCAGTCGTTTGTTTCATTTATTAAATTTCACTGTTGATTTTAATTTTCATTTTATTTCTTACTCTCCAACTTATTCTCGTTTCGTTTGTTAAACTTACTTTCACTCATTAAATTTTGTTATTTGTTAATTTCTAATTATTATTTATTAAAGAATTTAATAAATCTTACGTGAAACTGATTGCCGACGTTTAGGTGTCATCCTCGCTTCTCGAAGAGCATCGACCTTCACATTAGCGAACAAGGAAGTGTTTTATCAAAGTTGCGAGATTTTCAACAATTCCGATATCTACGATGGGCTGATTTGTGGCAGCGATGGGATTACCTATGCAAACAGTATATATTTGGACTGTGTCAATTATCAGACGTTTCAAAACGGTAAGCAACAAATGAAGTTCACCCTCTTTGCAATTCTAAGCTCCGTGCCTCGTACAATTAACGCGAGTTTGGGTCACGAGAAATTTAAACATTCACCGGCCACGTACACGGCCCGTACATGAATTTTTAATTCCACGGAACGCCATGCTGCTCGCTGTACCATACTCGCTTTCGGGAGCCGCTTAATTCGACGAAGAATACGTAGCCCAGCTGCACGGCGAAATTATTCAAACTTTATTCATCTTCTTTTTCTTGCAATTTCCTTTCCAAGACGTACACTTTATACGCTATCTGTGTTAGCAGATATTTTTCAACGAGGCCTTCGATCCATCCTAATAAGAAACAAAAATTTGAACGTGTGAGAAAGTTGGAATATTGTGTATGCCTCTTTTTTAATAGGATAATTTCTAAAGTTCAGTATATATTGTACATCAAAACTATTTTCTCATCCGATTTTGAAATTAAATATGTACATCTTTTTCTGTCACTTTCTTACTGGTAATACTAATTATGTAGATCGTCATGTAGTTATGTTAACTAATATCAACTCATTTTTCACGAAGCTTTCTCTAAATTTAAGTTTATATGAGAAACCCGTACAAGTCGCAAGTAAATTGTTGCACATTACAAATTAATGTCAGAATAATGTACTTTCAATACCTCAACATTGTACGGATATAATTTATAATAAGTCTTTTTACTAAGATAAAATTTAATGGTTTGCATCATAATTAAATTTTAACGAAGCCACGTACCAACCTAACGAGTAAAGATCATAAGATTTAATTGAATTTAATTGTCGTGAAGATTTCTTGAAAATAAAATCATAAAAATACTCACAATTCGCGTTGAAGATTATATTTGTCTTGGCAAATTACACTTTAACGAGCAAATTACTTTTCAGTCGTGCCTGTGCATTCTGGAGATTGCTTACCGATGGACGATTACTGCAAAATAAATCTATTTTATCGACCGGTCTGCGGCTCCGATGGGCGCACGTACACGAACCTGGAATCACTTTTGTGCGTTAATTACAAGTATTCGCTAGGTAAGCAAGACAAATTCTACGTGCATTTACCGTGTATGCCGTTAATACGGATTAAAGTTGGGGAAAGTTAGCTAGAAATTTAGTTGACCAGTCGGCCCGTGAGAGGTTCGCGAGGCCAGAATTCCAGCTGGCAAACTCCCGGCTCGTTGTTACACGCTAATGTCCGTGGCTATTGTTACATTTTCTCGTCTGACCGCCGACTCGGTGTAACAATACAAACTAAAAATCCCTTATCTTCGAGTTAGCGGAATTCCGCGAACACTGCCAACGTTACCAGAGACTTTGCAGTCTCTGTTAGTTTCCGCCGACTAGGTCCGCCATGGATCTGACACAGAACTAGAATTTAGCTGGAGTTTGTCCTTGTTAAGTTTGAACTAGGTCCGTGCCCTGAATGAGATTTGAGAATTGTCAGTCCAATTTTAAGCTCATTCAACACTGTCATTCATAGACGACTTTCAATTACGATTATTATTTTAAATTTTAAACTTAACCTAATTTTCATAAATAATTTGTGATGGTTGTTATTCTCGTTATTTCAATATTGGGGAAAGGAAGATATCCTCCGTGAGAGGAAATTGATATTAGATATCTAAATTCTATAATTTTGTGAAATTCTAAGAAACTGAGACATTTATAATATTCTGTAAAATTATTCATTGATGCTTAATAAGTAAGTAAACTTGGCATCAATTTTAAAATAAAAATATCAGAAGCTCGTTGTTGATTGCTATGATTAGTTAGAATATTTTTGCAACATAAGTTTAAAAGGAAAAGTGGAATGAGTTCAATTTTTATCAGTAAAATAGTAAATATGAATATTAAGTATTAAGATATTGAGACTAATTCGGTAATCTCGTTTTAGATATAATGGTGGTTTCAAAGAACGCGTGCAACGTTATAGATCAGTGTTACGGCCAAGAGGCTACAATGTACGTTTTCAACCCTGTCTGTGCAAATAATGGCTTCACGTATCAAAACGCGGCTCAGGTGAAGTGTTTGCAACGATTTAACACTGGTAAGTGTTCATGTATAAGCAGAAACAGAAACAATTATGTACAACGTAATTATGTTTCATAAAGAAGACCAAAGTCTTTTGTATCTAATATTTTATATAGATTTAAATATCTACCTTTAGATCTAAGGATTCTCCACAATGGAGGCTGCAGCGTTAAGGAAGTTTACAGCATTTACGACAGCATCGAGAAGGTCTGTGACATTGCCAACAGTAGGTACGAGTGGAATCCCGTGTGCGCTTCAGATGGCGTTACTTATTCCAATCCTTTTGAATTCTTGTGTTATCAAGCTGGTAAATATTCGCGATTTATTCTTCGTTATCACTAGATTGCCGATTTTTATGCATTCACAAGGAAACTTGAATGTGCAAGAATGCAGAAATACAGAAAACATTTCAGATTATACGAGTCAGTAATTCTACAACATTTATTTTACTGTTTTACTTACTTTGTGATTAAATTTGGGAAGATAAATGACCTGTCTTGAAGCCAACCTTCAAATTTCCCACGGCATTTATTTTATTTTACGATTAAGTTTGGCAAGATGACGTTACTTCACCGGCTTCTTCCGAGCTGTATTTCAGATTCGGAATTGGTCTCGGATGACGAGTGCGGGAAGAGCACGCAGCAGGTCTCGTGTGCTGACCTCACGACCTTAGACAGTGCCAGTGGGACCATCACCCGGGAGGACGAGGTTTGCGGAAGCGATGGCGTCACCTATCGAAGTATTCATCACCTGCAATGCTACAACAGTCAAAATAAATGTTAGTGTCGGTCTCGGGAAGGCCTTATCTAGCCAGACTCCTTGAGCCTTTTGCAATATTCCCCACTGATATATTCCGGATACCATTCCGAGATCAGGCCTGATGTTGGATCGAATTACAGATTGAATCTCTTTGTCGTACGAACGAACAACGCAAAAAAAAAAAAAAAAAAAAAAAAAAAAATAACCTTGTGAGAAAGATTCCTTCGAATAGTAATGAAACTTCGGTTTTATTTATTACTTGTCATACCTGCGAAATTTAATTTTTTTTTTTTTTCAAGCTTCATTACATCTGTTTGAAATTCAGACGTCGTTGTTTCATTTTTTTTCTTCGACAGACTTGTCCGTGAAGCGTTCTGGAGCTTGCGTAGAACCGGAGGACGACCCGTGTATGTCTATACCCGAGGAAGATCTTCGACTTCCGGTGTGCGGCAGCGACAATTTGTCCTACGTGAGCCCAGAGGCTCTGTGGTGCGCGAAATCGAAGTTCCCAGGTAAAAGTGAGCTAATTTTCCTTTTGTCTTATTACGTTGGACACATTAGCTTCGGTCTTCCGTGTTTTCTTTTTTTTTTTTTTTAAACTCAGAACGCCGAGGAAACGCGTTTACGATAATAAATGTTCTTTTCTTACAGAGTTGACATTTGCTTACGACGGGCCTTGCTAGCATTCTCACGCGATTAATCCACCTTTCATTCGGTTTGCTCTATCGAAGATGAATGACTCGCCTCTGATGGCTCTTCCTTGAGAAAATGACTTCAACCTTCAACCCCGTTCGTGTCGAATATTCTCTGTCGTTTCCGGTCGTTCACACATTAAGTCAGATCCTTTACTACTGTATTTGAACGAACAAGTCAGATAATATTTGAATTATTAAGTCAGTATTATATTAGATATGTTGCTGCAACTTTCAATCTTCCCATAAATGTATAAAAATCCACTGCAGTCTAACAAACATCATCTGACGGGCGTCTTTTAGTTGCTAAGTCCCAAATTGTTTCGCGCGTTTGCGAGAATTTCTGTGCCATTTCGTCCAATAAATTTAAACAATGTACAAATGTCGTCCACGCAAATTGAAACGGAAGATATTACTGCAATGGCACGTCTGGGGCACAAAAATGAGCTGTGTGACTCGCGCGGGATTTTCATTGGAGTGTCTGTTATTGAAAATTATCGGTAAACAGCCAGATAGCTGTAGAAGGTAGAGATGGAATCGAGTGCCTCGCAAGTAGATTCGAACCTTGATGGAATTTCCTGTAGGCATCAATATCTCGGCGCGTGTGTGTCAGAGATTGTTCACCTGATTTCAAGTATATCCTTCGTTTCATTAGACTCGCTTCGAATATGCGCTGTAGCCTAATCGAGGAAGAATAACTAAAATATCTTTCAATTCCAGGGAGTCCCCAACTCATTATGTAACAAGCAGTTTTTACTTTCGAATTACAGTAATCAGAAGCCCCCTTGAAACGAAATTTAGGCAGGACTTGATCCAATCTCCGTGTATTTTTCGTTGTATCGTAATATGTGCTTTATTCGCCAGCTGATGTCATTCGACTCGCGTGGACACCGTCGTTTTTTTCTTTTTCTTTTTTTATCTCCTCTTGTTCCTCGCCTTTTACGACACCGAAGACCTTAAAAGCATCTCTTATTTCATTTTTGCCGCCGCGGGCGTCCGTGAGGTCTCCGCTGGAAGGATTCTTGACATGATCTTTCGGTTTCTCGTTTAACTGACACACGCTCCTGAATCTTCTTTTCGTTCATTGTTCATCGCGAACTTGCTCGATTGTTTCATACGAACCAATTTTCAACAAGCTTATTAGTAAAATAATCGCACAAAGGATATGTTGTATGTCGTTGATGAAGTGAATCGAAGAATAAGAAGAACAAAAAAACAATTGCTAATAGGTCGTAGGCTATAAACTTCCTCGACGTCTCACCTGCGCCAGATCGATTAACATGCCTGACAATTACTCGTAATTATCGAGCTTTATTAGGCCATTCCCAAGTGTTTTATTTCGTGTTTTCGTTCTTGACCCGCTTTTCCGTTAAACATCGTCGGGAACCATCAGGTCAGAATGTTTGAAACATTTATTGAACCGTATATACGTTCGCGCGTATGTATATATATATGGTAATACAATAACAGGATATCTGAAATATTATTAATTACATGAAATATAATTAATTATATCTAGAATATTATTAGTCGATTGTTAATAGAGTTTTATTATTGTAGAATTACGTATAGAATATTTAGAATAATCGTACTGTTAAGATACGTGTATTCTGTATATGATGTAAATAATTAAAATTTACATAACTATAATTGTACTATTAATTATATAAAGTATAGTAATATTGTAATAATATAATAATACTATATTTATATTATAATTGTACAAAATATGGTAATATTATAGTGATATAATAATATAGTATAATATATACATAATATAATAGTATAATACAGTAATATAATAATATAATATAATATAACAATATTGTAGTAATATAGTACTATTAAATATATAAAATATAGTAATATTATAGCAATATAATAATACTATAATTGTATAAAATATGGTAATATTATAGTGATATAATAATATAGTATAATATATATATAATATAATAGTATAATATAGTACTATTAATTATATAAAATATAGTACTATTATAGCAATATAATAATACTATATTTATACCATAATTATATAAAATATGGTAATTATTATAGTGATATAATAATATAATATAATAGTATAATATAGTAATATGATAATATAGTACTATTAATTATATAAATTATATAAATAATATAGTACTAATAATTATATATAAAGGATAGTAATATTATAGTGATATAATAATATAGTATTATATATATATATATAAAATATAATAGTATATATTTTATATATATATAAAATATAATAGTATAATACATATATATATATATATAAAATATAATAGTATAATACAGTAATATAATAACATAATATAATATAACAATATTGTAGTAATATTAATATAACAATATAATTATAATATAACAATATTGTAGTAATATTAATATAACAATATTGTAGTACTATTAATTGTATAAAATATAGTAATATTTGGAATGTTAGTCGATTGTAGTGTATTTGGAGCGTTCATTTCATTTATGCATTCAAAATACAAAACGTCCAAACGCATACACATATATATGTGTATCAACAATTATTAATTGGCAAGCGTCCATTCGTTGGTTTCGATTTCGCTGTATCATTTTTCTCACGAACGTTTCTGTCTCTATTTCCCACCAACGCGTTGAATCCGCGACACAGAAATCGGGGCTACGTGTCTTCTATCAGCGAAAAGAAATTATCGTCCGCGGAGATTCCTCCGGAGAAAAATGAGTTTGTGATTGTTCTGCCCGCGATCAGGTGAACAAGTGACCTGCTTTCTGAACTTTAACCATTTAGAGAGCGCCTCTGAGGGAATCTTAGCAGTTTCGCGATTGCGGGCTGAACATTATTTTCCTTTTGCTGCTGCGGCGTTGATATTTGAAAGGAGATGGAAGATCGGAAGGTATGGAATGTGGAATGAGGTTTCGTTTGTTTTGACTTTTCTTCCATCTTCGCGTTCGACTCGTTAACGAGTACGAGGAGGGGAGCGATTAAGTTATAATTGCTCGGCTGATTATGATGTTTACAGCCGGCGAATAATTGACCAGCGGTAATTCAGTGTAATTTGTAATTAGTTGGCCGCTCGCGTGTTTATGCAAATTCGAGGAAGCGGTGGTGGCGGAAAAATGGAAATTTGTTTCACTCTGTATGCGAAATTAAGTTACAAACGTACGTAAAATAATTCAGTTTGCGTTAAATTTACTTTATACGATAAGTTTCAGTATTATTTTAGATAATTCGGGACGCTTTTAACGATTTAACAACGTGCGATACGCAAGTTAGAAATTAAAATAACTGAATAACAGCAAATAATAGAATTAAATAGCACAAGTGACAGAAATAACATAGAAGCGGAAAATTAAACAACAGAAATAATGCATAGAAGTATAAAAGCGTAGAATAATTTAGAGAATTTTAAAACGTAATGAACGTCAGAAACAGAAGAGACATAAATCTTTGTATCCTTTGAATAAAGAATAGAATAATAAAACTTACGAATTATTGAAGAATCATTATTAATTATTACTATGTTATTAAATAATTAATGGAAGCTAATCAAAGGATTACAGTAGAAATACATAAAAATTTAATTCATTTCCAATCTAGCAAATAAACATCCAAATTCTATCAAATTCATTCCACTGACCAAACTAGCCAATAAAAAAATGGTAAACAATTCCCAGTTTCCAAATGGAGTTTAGTAGCCTCCGGTCGTGATTACGCATTATCTCTTTCGTAAGCAAAGAGAATTCTGCTTAGAAAAGGCCGGTGGTTCAGGAAACGAACGATTACAGAACTGATTACGCCAAGTAATTCAGAGACACGTCGATTTCCTGGATGCCACGCGATCGAGAGAACAGAACCTCGCCGGGAAACGGATACCAGAAAGTCCGTGGTAGCCGGAAGTCAAGAATCAAGAACCAAGATCCATGATGCAAGCAAGAGAAGAAGAAGAAGTAGAAAAAAAAAAAAGAAAAAAGAAGGGGAAAGGAATTCCTCTCGTGGCACTGTCACTCATTTCAAATCTTTCTACATACGTGTTCCGATAACGATGAGAGATTGCCGACGTTTTAAACTGTTGTGGCTTGGTGAAAAGGAAATTGTACAACAGTTCATCCGCTGTTGTTTTAAAGCATCGTAGCGAGAGTATTGTTTCCCCCCCCCCAAAAAAGGTTCTTATCTTCTTCTTAACGTTTGATCGATGTTTGATCTTTTTTTTTCAAATACTTTTGAAAGCAATTTTCTTTCCTTTTTTTTAAAATGTTCATCTTTTCTTGAAAGTACGAAAGAGGTGTTCTTTTCGACTTTTTTTTTAAAGATATTCTCCTTTTCTCTTAAAAGAGCAAGGACACTTTCATTCTCGAAAATTGTAACAAAGTTTAAACGTTCGTAAAATACTTTTCCACGATTAGGTTTATCACGATCTTGGATATTGAAATTTTCTCTCTGAGAACGATCCTTTGAGACTTTTTTAGTATACAGAAATAGGTAATAAATAATGGAATTTTGGAATTTGTGGTTTCATAAATTTTTATGTAATTTTGCGTAACGTTTCGGACAGTTGTTCGCGATTTCAGTTTTTAACAATGGTTTTCTGCAGTTTTCCGCGAAATTTCGCGTAGCTCGCTTTGTCCGCCGGCCTGCTAACCCTCGGATATTAAAATTAAAGTCAAACGGCGAAATGTTAGGATTTTCTAAAGAGCCAGACAAATAACCCGCAACTTGGGCAACGTAATCGTGACGGTGTTCTCGTTCTCGTTTTCGAGAAAGGAACAGTAGGTCACTCGTGAATGCGCCTAGTTCCAGATGCTTCATAGAGACGGATTAAATAGTAACCGTGACCTCCTACGACTTACAATTTACGATACTCTCGCGAATAATATCATCGAACGTGAAAAACAAATCAGAAGAAGCCTACGACAATTATCTTCTAAGATTTTCGTGAGAATTTGAAAAATTTATTCATCAGAAGTTTCATCAATTTATCTCATTTATCACAATTTTATTCATTTGTCTATTTGTTAAAACATATTTTTCGTTTATTTTATTAATTCTTCTATTTATCAGAATGTTTTTTTAATCCTTTGTCCCATTACAGTTTCATTTATCTATTGATTTATTCAACGAGACGCGCCCTTCAGTGCAGAATCATAGAAGTGACCAGAGTACAGTACGAAGATAAGAAATTCGAGTTGAAATGAATTTGATATTTAACGCTATGTAATTTTAATATCAATGTCTGTCTTCAACTATTATTTGTTATTTCCATCGCGCTCTGGTATTCCATAAACGGTATCACGGTGTTATATCGTGGTGCAAAAATTCGAGACACTTAATTTCGCATTATCTCTGATAGAGGCTGCTCAATAACGTCAAA